TCCCTTCAACTTCATTCTCGCGTGCTCGAGTGAGAATCGATTTCTACGGCTTGCAGTATTGCCAATTGGGCTATTATAAACAATTACCCATCAGGAAGTGCTAACAATTCTGCACTACGTACAAGCTATTGCTATGGGCAGATTAGTCCGTTCGGCGCCAGCACCGTGAAGCTCCAAGTGCATCTACCACTTACCTGCCTTCAATCATTTACTGGATTATGGAATGTGATTGGGACTGAAGTTTTCTGCAATGAAATAGCTACTGAATGTACAAGGATTCCCAATTGCTCAGAGACTCTCATGCGACCGCGATCAAGGATGCATAGGCAATGCAACAAGCACCGAAGAACTACAATTTGCAGGAGTTTAATCAGGCACCAGACGTTAGAACTTACTACCATAGCTCAACTATGTCGCACATGAACATGAGAATGGTGTTACGCATGGTTTTTTCCGACTGGCTTGAAGCTGCGGCTCGGAAACAACCAGATTGATTGCCAGGGCACGGCAGCGCAGAACGGCATAACCCTTCATGTGATGGTGGCGGATCCGCTGCTCGGAGCCCAGGCATTATTCTATGCCTCGAGGAGCACCGGAATTTATCTTGTTTTGATTTGAGAGTACAAAACGACTGGTCGCCCTCCCCATGCGGATGCTGGTCGGCTTGAAATCAAGTCGGATACCCAGTAGGACTCGTGCGACCCATTGATCAGCGCGCCTCTCAAACCCAAGCAATGGCAATTATCTAAGAACGTGATTGTTATTGACTCGCTGAAAATACCTCCAATGCAGGCCGTTCAGGGTCGTGATGAATGAAACATGGAATTGGCTTTGGCCCGCCTTCACATGCTCCGATCCACCCTCTACGTCATTGCCATCATCATCATTATCGCTTCCGTCCGGTTTCCGCTGCCCTAGAAAAGCACCCCTCCCCGTTCCTATTCTTTTATAAATCAAATGTCCCATTCTTTTGTTTTTACAGTGACCTATATTCATTGACTACAGAATCTTTACACTAATCTCACTCGCTCAGCCAATCGCCACCATGGCGGAATCAGAGTCCGCTTTCTCCTTGTCGGCCTTTATCCGCAACCCCCTCCTCCAGTCTTTCACCATATGCTACATGCTCTTCCAGAACCTGCTCAACTGGATCTTTGCACCTAACCCGCCAAAGCCTTCCTCAATTGCCAATGGAGTTCCGAAAAAGCGAGTGGCCGTAATTGGAGCCGGTCTTACTGGAGTATCCGCAGCCGCGCATTGTGTAGGCCATGGCTTCGACGTGGAGATCTTTGAAGCGAGATCGAAAGACAAGGGACTGGGTGGTATTTGGAGTGTAAGCCAGGGCCATACGAAACCCTCATCTGGATGCCCTTACTAATTACACACAGCGAGTGAACTCTACCTCCTCCCTGCAGATCCACAGCATCATGTACCGCTTCCATCCTTCAGTGCAGTACGACACAGCCTATCCCACCCAAGCAGAGATCAAAGAACAGATCATCGACCTCTGGAAGCGATATGGCCTGCAGAAACACACCACGTTCAACACCCCAGTGACTTCCGTGAAACAAACAAAGAACGGCCGATGGATCATCAACAACGAGGAAGACAAATATGGCCGCTTCGATGGCATCATCGCATCTGTTGGCGTCTGTGGTGATCCGAAAATGCCAACAATGCCGGACCAGGAACGCTTCAAGGGCGAAATCTACCATTCCTCCGAACTCGACGGAAAACAAGTCGAAGGCAAAAGGGTCCTCATTGTCGGCGGCGGTGCCAGCGCCATCGAGGCCCTCGAATTCGCCGTGAAGTCCAAAGCCGCCCAAATCGACGTGCTCTCCCGCTCCGACAAATGGATTATTCCCCGAAACGTCTTCGTCCAATCCCTCCTAGCCATGAACATCCTCGGACAAGAAACCTCCCTCTCATGGATCCCCGAATCCCTCCTCCGCAAATTCTTCTACCGTGACCTCTCCGACATCGCCCCCTCGGGCGGCCTCTTCACCCAAACCCCGATGGCCAACTCCGAACTCTTCGAACAAATCCGCGACGGCAAAGCCCGCTGGCTCCGCGGCGACATCGTCACCCTCGAAGAGGACGGCGTGCGCTTCAACTTCCGCAGCAACGGCGTCCCGAAAGGCGGACCCGGTCACGAGGACCTCGTCCCCGGCGATGTAATCATCCTCGCCACAGGCTTCAAACGCCCCTCCCTCTCCTTCCTCCCCAACGACGCCTTCGAAGAACCCTACTCCCCTCCAAGCTGGTACCTCCAAGTCTTCCCGCCCAAATACCCCAGCATCTGCGCCAACAATAGCACCTACGTCAACGCCATCGGCACCGTCGGAAACATGCACATTGGCATCTACACTAGATTCCTACTGATGTTCTTGACGGACCCGCTGTCCCGTCCGACGGAAGGTCGCATGAAAACCTGGATTGACTTCACCCGGTTCATGAAGAAGCTGTCGCCTGTTGGCGCGTTCGATTTCTTCACGTACACTGAGCTCTTGTATTGGTTCGTGTTTTGTATCCTGGTCAACCCCTTCCGGTGGAAGTGGGCTCCCTTTGTCTTGTTTGGAGTCGGGTGGACGCTGCCGTTGGAGGTGGTCAAGCAGGAGGAGAGTTTCCGGAAGGAGTTGAGACGGCAGCATTAGGGATGGGAGGGGGAGAAGGGATCTGGTGTGTTAAGAGCTGTAGTGGAGAAAAGGTGGTTGGGACAATCAAGCAACGGTTAAGGATAAGCCCTTTGAATACGGTATTTGGGGAATATGGGATGTACCATGTCCTTGATGATGACTATGATGATTGAATATTTACTACTAGCTATGTATGTGATGTGTTAATGACCTGCATGCAGTAATAGTGCATCAAATGTATGATTGATGATAAAATCAACTATTTACTATGTGAATTACCAGCTTGGATGAGGTTATCACTCCAACTCTGTCTGCACATGTATAGCACCTAGATTGAGAGATATTGATACCAGTTGGGCAGGCAGTAAGTAGTAGTAGACACATTATGGCCAAAGACTAATTGATCAGCCGCAGTGCGACATAAAAAGAACTCACCATGGAAGATTCTGTACTAATAGTGCCTAACTCTACTACTACGTTTCTTCCATAGACATTAAAATCTACCTCATAAGTGATATTCCATCTATCTCCTCTATGTCTCCGAATATATCCAAGAGTCTATACCACCACTAATCCAAAACAACCACATCCACCTACCTATATAGCACCAACGTCTACTTCCCCTTCTTCAACAGATACTCACCTCCCCACCACGCCCGATACACCCCATACAACCCACTCACCGGCCACACATTCCACATCACATTCCCGACCCACTGGCCCCATCCCATCCCAGCTTGCCTTTCCTTCTCCGTGGCAGATGGATCCAAATCCACCCTCACCTTCTCATACAGAGTCTTCAGGTAGCCGGCATGATACTTCTCCCGGAGGGCATCATACCGCTTCTTATCGTATATGTCCCAGAACTCGTCCTCCGTGTAATACGCGCACGCGTATAGCCATTTCTTACCGCCTAGATCGCGGACTTTGTGCTCAAGACGGCGATTTTGGGCGATGAACTGGGCGCCGCGGTAGGGAGAAGGCGCCCAGAGGCCGAAGTTGAGGAGGTATTCATCTTCTTCCTTCTCTGTTGATGAGGAAGATGAAAGGGAGGGTTTTCCGCGGCCGATGATTTGGGGGTTACTTGTGCTGGTCTTGTCAGTGACTTTGAGAGGACAGAGCCAGATTGGGTATGCGCCAAAGTTCTCTGGCTTGTCGAGCCACGTGACGAAGGTGTCTGCAGAGGAGTATGGAACGGCTACGTCTTGAATGATGTATTGGTTGGAGTGTCCGCTGGCGTGCAAGGCGTGGTACATGACGCGCGTGTGCATGAAGTAGTCGAGGAGGTAGCGGGTAATGCGATTGAAGGGTGTTATGAAGTATTTGTAGGCGTAGCGGCCGGTCCAGAAGGCACCGCGGTCGTAGCGGAAGAGGTAGTCAGGAAGAGGCACGAGCTCGGTCGTTGGTTCTACGGGGGCTGAAGATGGGGGCGTTACCCGCCCGGAGCGTTGAGCATGGAGATAGAACCAGGGATCGTGGGGACGGGTGAAGTGTTGAACCTTATATCTGTGTGTCTTGTCGTCTTTCGAGAGAGAACCATCGCTCAGTCGCCCCGCGCATACCACTACATGATCCTTGGCGAAGACTATGCCGTCCAGATAATCAACATCGGGGTCCTGGGTCTTCTCATGGAATATCTGCCGCGCATCGCTAATGCTACGAGCGGGGATATAGGACAATTCGACAAACGACTTAGCGTCGCGACATTGGATCTCCAGCATGGTGATCACGCCCATGGTACCGAACGCGGAAGCTGCGGCATTGAACAACTCCGCATTTTCGGTACGGGAGGCCGTACGAATCTCCCCATTACCAAGGATTATCTCAATGCGAACCACTGTGGCATCGAAGAAGCCGTGTCGGAAGGAACTGCTCTCGCCGGAGGTGCCGGAGAACCCCCCGCCTGCGGTGATGCCGGGAAACTCCATGACGACCAGCGGGACGAGGTTATAGGCGAGTGTAGCATTCAAGAGAGCATCCATTGGGACGTTGGGCTCCACCTGGATGGTTTTGGCAGCATGATCAACGGAGAGGACATTGGTAAGGTGTGCGGTACTGAGGGTATTGGTGGGGGTGAGACTGGCATTGCGGGTGGAATTGGTGCTGCCGTGGTATATGCGGAAGGGAGTGTGGGTTTCGTGAAAGTGGGCGATTTGGGCGCAGAGAGGATTGATGCGATCGGCGTGGGTGGCCATTGTGAAGAGGAGGGAGGTGGGATGGAAGGGCAGGAGGGAAGAATGGCGGGACTCGAGGTAAACGTGCGGAGATCCGGATAAGCTGGGGACAGATTGGCGGTTGCCTGGTGCGGGGATGATATCATAGCCCGGGGATGGAATGATGGATCGCCAACCTCCTCCAAATCCTCTAATTTTCAACCACAATCCGCTGCTCCAAGCGCGGCGAGATACCAGGTGTCCACGTCGGTGTGAATTCCCCAACTTCATCCGCGTCATTGATTGGCGATGGCTGCAGCCCCGTCCGGTGCATCCATGTCCGGACGGCCTTGCGCGCCAGACGCAGGCGCCGTTCCTCTTCCGTAGCGGACCGTGCTGGCAGAGTTACATAGTTCGTAGTCGGACGAGGAGAGGTCAGGATGTCGGGGTCAGTGTCCGAGTCCGAGTCCATCGACTCGTCCTCACCGTTCAGGCCCACGCCTCGGCTCTCCGTCTCCTCGGTTTCCACAATCTCGGGAAACCGACCATAATAGTAGTTCTTCGACCGCGACAAAGGCGGCCGGTACGGCACCTTGTTTGATTCGGGAGACGGCTGGCGGGATGGCGGTTTCAGCCACCCATTGCAATGGAGGCTATCATGCACGTTGCTCCAGTGTCGGGTCATGCTGGGACCCCAGCGACGCCATCGACCCATCACCCGCAAACTCAGGAAATACTGGCGAAGTAGTGTGCTGATCAGGATGCCACTCTCTTCATCTACGATCTCTTCAACTTCGCCGCCCTCTGACTGCACCAGCAGAGACGCAAAACCGTCTTTCCCACGAGCCATGTATCCGCGGGTCGCCAATGTGTACTGCCCATCGAAGTCAATTGGCTCTCCGCCGACCTGGGCCCAGTTGATGCGGGAACCCGAAGGGGCCGAGGGGTTGTAGCCAAAAGCAATGTTAGATACCTGGGTAAACCGTCCTTCGAGCGCTGGAAGTTGGCTCACTCCATTCTCCAGGGCATCGAAGAGCGCACGACCCTTGATGCGCAATAATACGACCGGATCTTCAAATGGGAAGCAGTTGAGGATGTCTTTCAGCCGCAGGATCCCTGGCGGGTAAATTTGGTCACCACGTATAGTCCCGCCAGCCATCATCGCGCAGTCAGCCCCATAGTAAAACCGCATGAGATCGCACGCAAAGTTCCCCAGATTTGACTCCTTCTGACGCACTGTTGAGAATCGACCATCCAGTGCGACCGAAGTATACCCGATCGGCTTTTCTAACTTTGCCGCCAAGCTAGACGTCAACCGATTCACCATAGCCGTTGTTGCGGGATCCTCCGGAATTGACCGAACGATATCTCGGCGCACGATACTGAAGTCCCATCCTTCACCATCCTCCTTGCGCCACGCCTCAATGTAGCTAAGTTGCTTGAAGTCCGTACCCGACCGGAGAACATGCGTGCCGTTGACGACGGCATGGGCATAGAAATGATCGTGACCACCTAAGATTATATCAATCATTCCCGGCGGAAGCTTTTGAGCCAGCTTATAGTCATTCGGTTCACGTTGGTGGGTGACCGCCACAATCAGCTCAGCGCCTTGTTCACGCAGACGCGGGACCAGCTCCAGCGCTGTCTTGTACGCAGACTTATAGACCAGGTTCGGAGGGAGGGCATTGATCGTTCCGAGCCTACTCAGCGTTAGCCTACCCACCCATGTGTACCATAAACCAGGTCATCAGACATACCATTCCCTCTCACCCAAGCCAATGACACCGACCTTGATCCCGTTAGACGAGGTCAACATCAACGTCTTCTCGCAATTCGCAATCGGCACATCCTTTCCCAAATCCAGATCCAGAACATTGGCCAGTAGCCACGGAAACCGACATTGTGTACGTAGATGGCGGAATTGAGCGACACCGAAATCGAGATCGTGATTCTGCCAGGACCCTGTCAGCATTTCCCCAGTGCAGCACGGATGTAGTTCTAACATACACCAACACAAGCTACATCGGTGCCCGCCTTATTCAGGAACGGCACCATGTGCCGCCCTTTGGTGACCGTGCTTTCGAGACTGGGGTTGTAGGCATCGCCGGAGAAGAAGGTCAGGACGTTAGGTTGTTCGGAAAAGGAGGGGTCGTTGCGGTAGTAGTTGACGACGGATTGAAATCGGGCTACGCCGCCGACAGGTTCTGCGGAACCTTCTCTGAAGGGGTTGTCAGTTAGTGTCTTTGCGAAGTGTAGATGGTTATTGTGTAGGAGGAATTGGGGGGGCATACTCCACGTGATAGACGTCATTGTAGTGGATCAGTCGGAGGTGCGGCGGACCGGACCTGGAGGAAGGGTGGGTGACGGACAAGCCGTCGGTAGGGACAGAGGGCATTCCTTGGGGAATGGAATTATTGAGGAGTATAGTAGTGATAACAATAACGACTGACAGAGCGAAAGAGTGTGTGAATGGGAGGAAAGAAGGCAAGAGAAACAATGAGGGAGGATGAGGGGCATCCATTCAGTCAAGGGACGTCACGGGTCCAAGTCCAATCAGGCACCGCCCATTAGGGACCTGAGGGTGCCGATCGGATCGACGGCAAGTCCGTGCGGAATCCCTGACGAACAACAACATTGTAACCAGTTTTACTACAATATGATTCCAACCATATAACTACCTACAAGATATACACAGTACTCACTACTATTGCCCCATCAGTCAACAACATACCCCTCTGTCCCCTCATCCGTTCTCTCAATTTTCAGATCCGCCCACTCCACCCCATCCAGAACCGCCACTCGGATCGGCACAATAGCCAACTTCTGCTTCAAAATCTCCTGCTTCTCTAGCGGAAGATTATCCACCACCGACTGGGGCGGTCCATGCAACTTCATACTCAGCTGAACACCACATATCTTGCAGAATTGGTGTCCTGTGAATCCCCTTCCAAAGCGATACTCTGTCAAATTGTCTTCGCCGTGGTGAGTAACCTGTGACCGGTGGGGATATATACAGATATTGGCGTTCTGAGAGAGTAGTTAGGACAGAGTGCTATTTATGATATGCGATGACAGGTAATTGGATAAATACCCGCTGGCAAATACTGCAGTTATCCTCCTTCACTTCACTTTCTGGTAGTGGTTTGGTTTGAACAGTAAGGCGGACTGCGGTGCAGTGGCAGCTACCGGTGTAGATCTTCTCGGATGGGGTGTCAGTGTCAATGTGGTTGAGCTCCGTGGGAGAACTGTCATGCGACATATTGCCCGGAGTATAACTACATGGATGAGTCGGGTATATCCTTTAATAAAAGACGGCATGTTGAGGGCTAACTCACCTCTCAACCCTTAGCTTGAACGGATTAACTCCCAACAACGCTCGCGCCTTCATCCAGTAGCAGCCAGTCAGTGAACCCTCACCCTAAACACATCTCAATTAAACCACTCACATTAACCCCCATCCCAATCTCCCCCGACGGCATCTGATGTCCCCTTACTGATAGCCCCGTCCCACAAGTCGGACAAAACTAAAGTGAGACACAGTTTAACATTTAACCAACATCGTCAGTCCCTGGCAAGGACCTTACCATATGCTCTCCATGACCCCCATTACCAGGGTCGTAGCAAACCAGCCCCCCAGCCCCCCGTATAACTTGGAATTCTTGTTCAGCAGGGAATAGCCACAGGTACCCCTTCTTGGCACAGAGTGTGCAATGACATGCATGCACTGCTTCCAAGGGGCGGAAGAGATGTAATTCGAATTGGAACCGGCCACAATGACAAGTTCCCTTGTATTCGACAGTGTCTGGGGTGGAGGTCATTGGGTTGGTTGGGTGGTTGGGTTTGTAAGACCAGGGTACTTTATTTGACAAAGAATGGGTGAGGTGAGTAATAACAAAGCAATAAAGACAAAGTTATCGAGAAGAGACATGGGTGATGTTATAAAGCGGGAATAACATCCTTGTGAACAGGTGGCTTATCGCTCAAGAATTGATTGGTTCCCTCGCTTGTGGTGGCTTATCTTCTGCTTACTGGTTTATTGACTTCCATCATCGTCTGGTTGTCAGATAACCAAAAGAGTCAAATTGAACGGTTTCATTAAAGCATTAGGTAAACACGGGTAGATCCAAGAGGAACGCATGCAGATAGATCAACTCATAGGCCGGTAAGAGCCTGGTGCGCGAAGAGGTAGCCACATAAAGGAGAAAATAAGCATTCCACAACATCAGTGAAATATAGCGAGAACAACATAGACATCGTATGCTTTTATCGAAGCAAGGGGTATTTCATCAATCATCATACTTTGCAAGTACCCAACAAGGATACTTCTACTCATCATGGGGCAGTCATAAATCATCATACCATACAGCGCGTGCTGATCAAGCCCAGGACCCCCGTCGCGACGTATCAGAGGAGCCGTCAATCCAGCGGAAAAGATCGGTTCCGTCGTCCAGAACAACAATCTCTCCGTTCAACCAGTTGGTCGCCAGAACATCGGGCGGCAGGGTAGCAGGCAGTGCGGGAGGATTGACCGTTAGGATACGATCCAGAATACTAGAGATGACCCTTCTTGCGCGCTGACACACCTCATACATGCCATCATGCGGGCGGACAACATACTGCAGGTGTGAGGCGAAGACGGTCAGTTTCTGGATGACTTCCGATCGCCGGAAGACGGTGGCGGGAAGCTGGGACTGGGATTCGGCTTGGCAGAGCAGCTCGATTGCTAGAACGCCGGCCGCTGGAACACCGAAAGATGCAGCCTAAAGACAGGTAAGCATAAGATGGCAGGAAGTGAAGGGGTAACAGCACGCACATTGTATCCAACATTGTAATTTCCCGTTCTCGATCCGATTTCCTTGCCGATGAGCTCAAGGATCGTGCCGAGAATGTTCTGTGACACACTAACTAGACCCTCGGATCCACTTTGTGCCCGGCGCACGAGAACGCGGTAGAGGAGGAAGTCATTGTAGAGGAAGTTGAGATACAATGGAACGAGAACGCTGCTATCGTTGGTGTCCGGATCACTCGGGCGCCAACGGAGGAAGCCGGGCAAGTCGTTCCATGTCTTGTGAGATTGCTGCGACACCTCCCTAGGATGCACATTAGCTCCGATCTGCAATTCTGCAGTCGTTACTTGTGAACTGCGGCACACTTACTGGACTTTGCGCGGCAACTCTTCGATACGTCGGCTCAAAGACAGCTCAAGAATCTGTTCTCTCGTAGATCCAATAAGAAGGGCGATGCGCATCCACGCAGCCTGTCCCACGATCCCCTGGGTATTCCAGCCAGTCTTGTCAAGCAGGCTGATGGCAGCCTCGCGGACCTTTGGCTCCGCCAGAATCTCTTCGTAACTCAAGTCCAGAGGAAACTGCACATCGTAGTAGCGCCAGCTGATCTGAGGAGGCCTTCCCAAGAAAGTTGCCAGCTGCTTGTCAATACTGTAAGCCCCGGCAACTAGTCGCTTGCGAAGTTCAAGCAAGAAGAATGGAATGCGCTTCTCTTCAGGTGCATTATGACTGAGGGTAAAGACCGTCGTCGAAAGATCAGCCAGTCTTCTCCACGCCCGAGGATCTATATTTCAATTAGCAGAGCCCAAATACCCAAATGAACAGACCAGGGAAGAACATACCATTCTCACCGCACACCAGTGTTAGCAGATGAATATGTTGAAAAAGAAGCCATCCCAACGGATCATTAACCGCCGTAGAAAGATCACAGAATTGCAAACAAGCATCGCTCGCACTAACGGCCTGAGCAGCGAGTGACTTCTGATCCCTCGGCACATTCGCCTCACTCGAACGGATAGATCTCCAATCCCGCTCAAGCATGGCACCCTGACCAACAATCGTAAATACCAATCCAATACCCTCCCACCGTCCAGAAATCCGACGGATGTAGTCCTCTGGCGTCATAGTTGGCTGAACAGCCAGTGGCTTGGCGCTGTCATCAAAGATCTTCTGCGACCAGCGAAGCAAACTCGACTGCAAGTCCTTCGCATCCGCAGCCAGCGCCCCATGCAAATCCTCCAACGCCTCAAACATCCCGCTCACCAGCCGATGACCCAGGACACATCCCTCGGGCCACACCTCGACCGCCGTTTCAGACAGTCGCTCATATAACGCGAACTGCTCGAACAGCATAGTGAGCAGTCGAGCGCCAAGCTGGATCTGCTTCGTATCGGGCCGAGCCGCGGAGGGCGCATCGATGACCAGAGAGCGTTTGAACTGGTCGCCAATGTCGCTGAATGTCGCCGAATTATTGGTGGTGAAATCGAAAGACAATTTGTCGTCGCCGGCATTGAATGAGGCTCGGTTCTGGAGAGCAGCGGAGTCGGGGCGGGGTTGGGCTGTTTGGGGACGTGGTGATGCGGTGGGTGAGGGAGCATTGTCCGAGTACCAGGTGCGAGAAGCCGGAACGGGCGTGTAGACGCAGCTGTCTCCCTTACCGCGACGGACACAATTCTGGCATGTTGGGGTGGCACTATCGCAGCGGATTTTGGCTTTGCGGCAGGGCTCACATGGCAGAGCTTGCCCGTTGCGGCGGGAAGAAGTCATTGTCAGACTCGGAGAAAGGTGAAGGAATGACGGGGTAGGGAGGAAAGAATGAGGGTGGGAGAGTTTAATTGAAGGTTAACATTGCAGGGGAAGAAAGGGGGAAAAAGTATTTAACACCTGCAAGTCATGGATGTTAATCTCAGCTGAATTAAAATGCAGTGGCAGGAAATCGAGCAACAAACCATGAATCAATGAAATTATCCCGGAGGTTGGATGCCCCACTAGCCCCGATCTGGACTAGTGGCCTCGTCATGGGATGCGGGGCCCCTGTTACTAATTTAAGTCATTGCTTCATTTGATTTGGATCGATCCAGATCATCATGAGACCTTTGTATACTATCGCCTCATACCTGATATGCATACGATTTTACCATGGCTTAGACGATCTGCATACCTTGCCATTGGTACTGTTGGCATAATGAGGGTTTTACTTATGAAGATATCCTTATCTCGAGGAATCCGAAGCCTTCGTTAGGGTAGGATAATATGGACTTGTGGCATTTCAAAACAAAACAATTGCGTGTCATGTCACTTTCTACGAGCCATTCGTTACTACCTTATAATGGACCGCACAGCTAGCTTTAGGTTCTGTCGTGGCCAAACAGTTGCGTTAGCAAGACCGGCTGTCACTACCGGCACTGATCCCAAATACTCATTCGAACGCCTCATCCACTATATCCTCTCCACACCTTCTCTATTCTCTGTGTGAAGCCTTTATTTAGCTCTTCCTGCTCTAATGTTTCATTTAAATGATACAGCAGTACTCAAGGATTACTTACATATTTGTTAATGAATGCCAGCTCCCAAAATCACACAGATGTTACCAACCACACCCACAGCTTGCCACCATGATGTACCTAGTACCCCCAAGAATGAGCGACGAATATATTCGACGCTGATTTTAAAGCCTATCAATAAATGCCTACTAGTCTATGCAAAAGCAATAGTGCTTAGATCACAAACTACTTCTACTTGCGACTCAGAGTGTATAGGTTATCCGCATATATACCAGGACACCGTATCCAAAATAAAGATTGTCCAGTTTGTTGCAAGATTCAGGTTTGAGTGCATGTTGTACTGATTTACGAGGGATAGGCAGGTCGGTGGTATAGACATAGCAGCTGGATCTAGTATCGAGCATCGCCGGGCTACTCCTACAAATTTGCGTAACAGTGAAGATCCGAGGTAGTGGTTATATATAGTAGGCTTGCGGGTCCTACACATTCACATAGTAACGTGAGTAAACTGTCATGTTGTCGACAGACTGGATGCTCTTCTTGACATAGAATCACGCATTTCTCCCTGAGTAAATTTTAAGAAGGCGAGGATTGGTTTGATACGAAAATAGGCTAGAAGGCAATAGGAGGGTTGATTAATAACCGGAGATTGCCCCATGATTTCAATTACCTGATCGCCATGGAATGCTTCCGATCCTGTAGTGACAGAGACAACATCCTTGAGCATCTCCGCCAGATCGGAAGCTTTCACAATCCTATCAGTACTAAGGTCTGCTGCATATTAGGTTGGCAGGTATGACTTACCAATGCCGTCATGCCTTTCACCCCCAAGTCCCTCCTGATGAGAAGGCAACGATTGCCTGTTGCTCCTTCTATACTCCTTTTGGAAAAGGCTAATCTGCAGAAACGGTCTTTTTAGGGCCAGATATCTGCTCCCATATTGGTAGCCATGCTTCAACTTGTGAAGACATTGACCTCTCACCAGTCCACACGTATATCCACCCCCGAGACCTTGATTGCGGAGCTCATATTCGCAGGAAGGTTAGAATACCTGGCTAATTCTGGAATGAGCTTTCCCAATGTCATGCTTGCCACAAATTACGCAAGAGGCTCTGTTTGGCATGCGCCCCGAAATTAAAATGCTTGCTGTACCATGGTCACAACAACGGATTCCTGATCCCATCACCCGAGATACTTGGTCATGGAAGGTCTATTAAAGTTAGAGTTTGCGATCATGGCGCCAGCTCTACACTACTTCCACGACTATAATAAGTAACACCAGCCCCTCATGTGTACGAAGGTTAGACCAAGAGTCTTGCATTCACTCCTGGCCTTCATTGTGAACCTAGTGGAATTAATGGCACGGTATGTTAGCACCTATCTCTTTCTTCCACACAACCCTTATAATTCATGGACTAGGAGTGCGGCCGACAAATATATCAGCCTTGCGAATGCACTGGAGCAGCTAGACCCTGCGGAGGTTGATCATGTCTACAACGAGCTTGAGCCAGTCGATCCCAAATCCCTGAAAGGTGAATGGGATATGCATGTCATTGATACGGGGCATCCTGCACAAGCGTTAGCGGAGGACATCCTTCCTCTATTGAGTACCATGGACTTCGATGAAGACGCCGAGAAGGTCAAACAGTGCTGCATTCTGCCGTTCAACTTTTCTAACTAGCCATGTGTAGGTCCACAAAATCAAGTTCCACGGTGCTCCTGGAAATCTGGTCATCCCAGGTGATCAAGCATCAACGCGGCGTTTCCGCTACGTGGATGCAAGTACCATTGCCGCTACCAATGGTTACAGGGCTTACTATGGTAATTCTGGTGTTCTTCATTTCTACCTTACCCGAGCAGAAGACCAGTGCTACATAGGTTGAGTTTCCTGGCAGAGGCCGGATATTCCTTTGCAATTAATGATACACAAAGCTAGTTAATTATCAAAATCTGGAGCCACTAATTAAATGCGATATTCATATTGAGCGAGAAAACAGTTTTTTTATTTTTGGATAAGATTCATTATGGGCCTGCAATACATCGATACAACCAGGATTCATGGTCCTGGGATCAAGCTTGCAGTCTACTGATTTGCTCCATCAAATCATCATCAAGCCCCAGCTCCTTTGCCTGAACAAGCGCCGCATCTCGGGCACTTTTTGTGAGACGCATACGTGGATGAGTAAGCAGCATAATCATGATCGTCTGATTGCGCTGCCACATAGCTTGACCCAATGGGGTTGTATTGAAATCCCATACTTCATGAAGCTGCAGCAAGTCAATATCCGGGTGGGCGATCATAGCTTTGACGGCTTCCAGGTGGTTCTCGCTGACAGCCAAAGCCAGGGCTGAATTTTGGTTGTAATCCAGCGCCGACAGGTAAATGGGCAAGCGAAGCAACTTTTTAACCATGTTAACATCATTCTTGTTTCTAATTGCATAGTGTAGAGGTGTATAGCCCATAGCAGTTATCTGACGAGCCGCCTCAGGTGCTCTGGCGTCAATCAAGTCTATGATTTCATCACAACCCTTGCCATGCCTTGCCAGACGATGTAATATGAACTCAAAGCCACTATGTGGCCAATTAGCAAAGAGACCAGGGGGCTCATCCAGGACCCTCTTCAGGAGATCGATGTCATCATACAGAAATATACTGTCGAGAACATTGGTATAGCTAAAGGAGCTTCCGGCGTTGACCAGTATTTGAATAATGGCTTTATGGTCGCGACAGCTGTCACTCAAAGGAGCGGGCATGATATAGTCAAGTGGCCCTGCAGCGAACCAGTAACCTTTCAGACTGGGGGATGCAGTATACCTCAGCAGTAGCTCAACGCACTTAACTTGCATATGTACCACCGCTAGAGAAAGCAATGAGAACCCCGCTATACTGAGTCCATTGGGAAGCAGGCCCTCTTGAAGCCGTTTTTCGAGTCCTTGAACGTCACCCTTCTTTATCATGTCGACCACGCCACCAGAACATGTGGGCTCGAAGAGGCATGTCGGCACTTTAAGGTCACAGATGCTTTTGCGGTATGCCAATGCGGTCTCCTCATATTTACCGATAGGCTGCATGCGGTTAGACGGAAAAGGGTGTTCAAGGGTTTTTCTAGCATTTTCTTTCATGATCTCGAAAAAGTCGGGCACATCCTGCAAATTGAGGGCCTCTCTCACCGGCAACCGAAGGCATTGTTCGAGGTGGAACAGGAGCTCAACTGGATAGTCTCTGAAATTGTCCCTACGCAATCGACTGGTGAGGTATATAATTTCCATGGCTTGAATTCTGCTGTCTAAGATGAGATTTGCGTGTTCGAGGGGGCTGGTAGGAGACAGGACTGATTTTTGGGTATATTGCTTTTGTCGATGCTGAGTGTATAGCCATGAATAGATCGCACTCGATAGCCCCATATATATGTAGTATTTATATTGAAGAATGAGAAATGACTAGGCTATGTTGTTAAAGATTGATAGTCAACATTTACCCCTAGTCGGCACTTATCGGCAGTGTCCTCTCGTCCCAGTTACGGCAGCGGTAATAGCCACTGTTATACACTTTGTCTTTGGCACTTCCTTGTTACAACATAGTTGTTTATGTCTCTCGATGCACATTAAAGTTTAGCCGCTTTTGAAGTGAAAGACATGTCCCGAATGTCGTCAAAGGAATTTCCCTTCCTTGGAAGTTCAAAGTTAGGCACAGTTGTGGTTGAGACGCCATTATTCTAGGTGTGGACTTGGAGGAATTATCCTTCAAGCATGGGCGTGAGAGATTTTAACAGCCATCTCTTCCCGAGCAGATATGAAAAAGGTTCCGCAATATTGCAGGTATATCCCAATTCTAGCAGGTTCGATAGGGCTAGGACACGGCAGCGCAGGTGCCTTGATCTCCACTGCGGGATGTCTCTTCATTTACCTCACACGATCTGTTATTGTGGGATGTACAACTTCAACAGAACTTGAGTGGATGCTTATTCTGATGCCTAAATGATCAAGTGGCTACTAAGCTCAGATGGAAAGGCAATATGCACACCGGCGAATTAAGCTCAGAGAAGCTCATTAGCCTCGGAGTTAGCAGAGCGAATGATCGTGCGATGCTCGATGCGATCAGGTAATGCTATGACGTTCGCAAGTATCAGCTATGCCGCTAGACTGTACTGGGACTGGTGAACAATATCTCGAACACACTGATTCCTGATATTCTGCTTGAATCATTCCACTTTCATCAGAGGGTATCTCCACGGCGATCATCCATACCTGAAGTAGACTAGTCTCCGCAGCGCCGCCTTATCAGATCGGAGATCCACTCGCCGTTTGAAGCTTTGGAGTAACCGTCTATTCCCTGTCCATCTGGGGTACGCCCGGACGCTTATTCTGCATTGTTGCACACAATGTACATACCAAGTTCTGATGTTGTAGTTATTGTGTACGTCTGCGTGATGTTTGCTTAACACAATGATGAAGCATGAACTGATGACCATGGAACACTGCTCCTTAAATCACCAGAAGATGGAAACCCCATAAACTATTATCGGACATGACGAGTCTATGTCTGTCCTCGGTCTTCATCTCTGAATCAAGCAACGTGCCTGAAGATCACTGCACCACTCCAACACCGCATCATCCACCTCCATGCCGTGCGATACTTCGTCCCGTCTTTCTGCAGAAGACATGACGCGTCTACTTCTGCTCAATAACCACCATGGCGCATAAATAGCAGAGAGTTCCTCTGGTGTTCTATCCTCATCAGCAACTCATCCCAGTATCCAATTGACCGCACCTCACCTCACAACATGAGGTACCAGATCCCACTGGTGGCCTTCCCCTTCGTGGGATTCACCGCGGCCACTGCGATTTCCAGCACCAACTGCTCCGCATCTGCATTCCAGAAGATCATCAATGCCAATGGCACCGAAGCTCGCGTTCAATGGGCCACTTACGTCCCCGAAGGTGGTTCTCTCAACCCTATGAACTACACCTCCGCGTCCGAGTACCCGACCGGCCTTCCCGAGTCGTGTGCCGTGCAGGTCAACGTCGCGTCCGAGGGTAACTCCAGCTACTTGGTTGGTGTGATCTTCCCATACAACTGGAATGGACGGATGCTGTAAGCTTCCCACTCGCTTACGCTATTCTATACCGCTACTGCCTATACTAACACTCCCCAGCTCCGCAGCAGCAGGAGGCGGCATCAACTGGGTTGACATGGTACTCCCCATCCTCACATACCCACTTCATAGCCACCAACTAAACTCACTAACAGGGCACCGGCACGCACTACGGCTTCGCTGCCGTTTCCAGCAACCTAGGCCACGAAGGCATCGACACAGAGGGAACCTGGGCACTCGGTCGCCCTGAAGCCGTAATCGATTGGGGCTACCGCGCCTGGCACGGCGCCACCACGCTGGCGAAGCTCCTCATCTCCGGCCGTTACGGCAGCGGCCCAGCCTATAGCTACTTCTACGGATGCTCGACCGGCGGTCGCCAAAGCATGAAGAACATGCAAGTGTACCCCGACGACTACGACGGGATCATCGCAGGCGCCCCCGCCTGGTGGACCACGCACCAGCAACTCTACAACCTGAAACAAACGACCTACCAAGCCCCCGCCAACAGCTCCCACACCATCCCCGCGGAAATGTTCCCCGTCCTGGCCGCCGAAGTCCTCCGCCAATGTGACCCGCAAGACGGCCTGGTTGACAACATCATCTCAAACCCGAAGGGCTGCGTCTTCAACCCATCCACCATGGCCTGCAACTCCACCAGCGCACCCAACACCTGCCTCACCACGAACCAACTCAACACCCTGTACAAGATCTACAACGACTGGGTCGACACGAACCAGACCTTCGTCTACAGCCACCTCTTTTACGGAAGTGAATCCTCCTGGCTAGAGGGCAACATCGGTCTCGGCGAGGAATCGACCATCTCCCAGCAATACTGGTACCTGCGTGATCTCATGGGCCTGGGTGACTCCTTCGTCTGGCAGGACCTCGACTTCAGCACCGTCGAGCTAGCTGACCACTTGAACCCCGGTAACGCGACGGCAGGACAATACGACATCAGCGAGTTCGAGAGACGCGGAGGAAAATTCATCCATTACCATGGACTCTCGGATAGTTATGTCTCTCCCGGAGCGAGCACGTTCTATTACGACCAGGCGAAGAGCGCCGTGCAGGCCAACGGCGTCGATGACGTGGATGATTTCTATCGTCTGTTTTTGATTCCGGGCATGGAGTAAGCCCCCCCCCCCCCGGCCCCCCTTTCACCAATTCATTCCCCCATGCTAATTGAAATGTAATTGGTACAGACACTGCTACAACACCCCCACGGACATGAACGCCCCGTGGTACATCGCCGGCGCGGACCAAGCATCCTACATCAACACCTCAACGTGGAGTGTCCCCGGATACAGGGACGCCAAGCACGATGTGGTCCTGGCCATGATGGCGTGGGTGGAGAATGGCACGGCCCCGGATAGTATTGTTGCGACAGTGTGGAAGAACACCACTACTGCTGACGAGGTGCTTAGGCAGAGACCCGTTTGCCATTATCCGTACCAGGCGAAGTATACTGGGAAGGGGGATCCGGATGAGGCGGAGAATTGGGAGTGTAAGTTGTTGTATTAGATAATTGTAAGTGGTGGATCTGGATTTCTGGGTTCTGGGGTGAGGTGAGAGGGGGGGTTTTGTTGATCTTGTATTATTTTATCTGTATTCTAGTTACTAAGGGGTGGATGATCGTGGAATTTAAATCCGGGATAGGTGATTTTCGAATATAATGATCTTACTCCAAGTGGAGTAGGAGGTTTCAAAGTCTATGGTGTGTAGCACCTTTTCTTTTTGGATCATTTCACCAAGTGCTTTGGGGGTCTGGGAAATGAGTAGTGGAGTAAAATCATTTGGTAGGATAGTGTACAATTACTTAGCTAATAGTAAGTCATAGTGACAGACTGAGTTAGATACTCATGTCAGCGCTTGACAGACATCTGTATGGCCTCTAATGATTTAATCCAGTAGATGGCTACTATTCGCCTACTTCAATTCTGCATCATCATCATCATCATCATCATCATCATCATCAAGTGGTATCAGCAAGGGTATATTAACTCCTGTCAGCTATGAACCGCTATTCACACCCAAAACTATGCAATCTAGCTAGATGGTCTCATCCCAAACTCCAAGCCTAAGAAACAAACCCGAAATACACAATTAATATTATTTCAACCTAGTATCATCATGGTCGTCGTTCAGTCACAGTCCACCGACGCTTGTGTCCCGCTTCACGGTCCTTGCTGAGCGGCGCGCTCCCCCAGAGTCCGCGCTGGGAGAGTGTTCGCTGTGGCGCTTGTTTGGCAGACGTCGGTTCATCCACCTTGGCCTGGACCGAGCTTTCTCCTTGGACCGGCGGCGCCGGGGCAGGCCAGCCAAAGTTAGGCACGATATCGTCCTCAGGGCCATCGACGGCGCTAGACCCCCAGAGCCCTGAGGTCTTAGGAGTGACAGCCGTAGAGGGTCGCTCGGCATTCCAGGGAGCAGTGCTGGGGCCGGATGTCGACGAGGGTCCGATGATGAACATACCTTGTGACAGCGATGGACGGTTTGCTAGTCGATGTCGGTAGGACGAGATTGAGGGGGAGGTCACCTGGCTCGGGGAGGAGACACGTGACGTGCTGGGAGCGATGCGGAGGTGCTCGGTTGAAGCCACCATTTTCATGGCATAACTCTCCACGCTGGATGGCTCGTTGGATCCCTTGGTCCGAACTGGTCCGCCAATGGTATCATCTTGAGCCATTTCGGGCATGTGATCATTGCGGACCGCCAAGGTGAGAGATGCAGTGCCGACATTCGCTTGGGATGGCTCCCCGGACAGTGCTGCGATCATTGCATTGCAACCCGCGCCGTGCGTGATCAACACCAAAATCGTCTCTGTATCGTTATCCGCTTCACTGCGGGAACTGGCTTCGCCAGAACTGTCGAGCATCTGAGAATGTCGTCGAGGCCGACCGGAAGAAGTTGACTCGTAGTCCCGATACCACGCAAGCATGCGGTCGAGTCCCGTACTGAACCGCGTATGCATCGTACTCCATTCCTCGCCGTACTCGCCTCCATCACCCCAGTTCTGCTCCCCGTGCATACTGTCCCATTGAAAATCGATCTTCACACAGGCGTCCCGAGCATGCGTCACGTACCCAGCTGGAATGGGGTCCGAAGGAGAAATGGCATAGCTAGGCGTTGGAGGCACGTAGGCGGCATCTGGAATGGAGGGGAGATTGGTATTGATCTTGCTCAGCATCCGCCGTCCGCGAGTCGTTTCAGCAACGCTGAAGGTGTCACAGCTGCCAGCGCGGGACCTCTGTGCCTGCGTCTGACGTGTACTGGGTGGGGCCTCTGTCTTCATCTTCGCTGTTACATCATTGGCGGGAGAAACCGGAGTAGATGCACTCCCCCAGCCACCAGGGAAAAAGCCAGCGGAGGGTCTGGGGACGATGTCCGCCTCGGGAACGAAACTGTGCTCGCGACGCAGCAGCTCGAGCTTTGCAGCCGTGATCATGCGATCCGAGTTGGGCGGCGGGATAATCTCGTCGAAGTATCTAGGGCAAAGCCATTCCCCAAGGAAGGCATCCACTCGTAGGAGACATCGATGGTCGCTTGATGTAATGGGACCAGGGGTCAAGGCAGAATCTGAATTTGACTGGACTAAACTGGGGACTTTCGAGGACCGGTTAAGCTCTGGCTCGCCCGAATTCTGGCAGATCCCCGAGCTGACCGCGATGGCTGTCTGTAGGCATCGAGTGAAGGGAGATGAGTGAATGATAATCCTGCGCTTCGGTTTTGGCTTTTGTAGACGGTCGGAAGGCGACTTGATACCGTTGTCAACTTCTGTTGTAGAGTCCAGTGAGTCATCCAGAGACTGGACAACGTCATTGATGCGGGCCCCCAGAGCCCGAGACTGTAGCCAGCCGCCATACGAGAGGGGAGGGTCATAGGGGGTAGGCGAAGTGAGATGCCAATTCTTGTCTGCAACATCCAGGCGAGCGCCATGTCTAAACAAAGGAAAAGAGTCAGTTTCCGATTGCGCATTAACCGAAAGAAAAGGTGGACATACCTGGCGACGATGATGGCCGCAGGGAATTTCCCCATGACCGCAGAAGTTCTATGGCTGATAGATGCTTGAAGTGCTTGGGATGCTTGAGATGCTTGAAGGTAAGGGAAGAGGTGCGAAGGAGACTATATAGAAGACGATGGGAGAAGATGAGAAGAAAGGAGGAGGTGGAACACCGACAACAATGAAGGTGGAGGGGAAAGTTGCCTATTGTTTCTCTTGAAGGTCCGGCGGGGTAAAGCATTAATATTCTCCAGCCACGATCACAACGCGTCACACACGATTCCAGATCTCATGGAAGAAAGCGAGGGAGAGCAAAATCAATGGCATGGTGATGGGATGAAATCGATTGGAGTACGATCGGCAACTTCACATAATTTTTTCTTTCGAGAATAGGGAAACCTGATGGATCTTTTTGCGCGCGTTTCTTTTTCTTTTGATTGTTTCGTGCAGGCGTTGAAGCCCCCGACTTCAGGCCGCCACTCTTTTTTTCCTCCGGTTGCATGTGATGCACCTGCTGTCTAGCCTGTTCCAGAGGCGGTCAGGAGCTAGCCGGCGTTAGCTCGTTTTACTGCCTGTCACGGGATTGCCGATCCTCGGCTGTCGTCGGCTCCACTGGCGATGTCGGAGATCCCCTTTCTTCATCACAACGTGAAAACGTCATGTTCTCTTGTTAGCGGTGCAGTATATGAAATGCTTATTTGGAATTCTGGGTGATTGGATACCTTTTCTCCGTGTTTTTGCGTTTCTTTGAGAGCTCAGCCCAGCTCAAAAGTGCTAATGAAGTCAGATATGCTTTGTCTCCTTTCTGACTGACATCACTTGAAATATGACCCACATTATCCAACCAGGTGGGTACGTCGCAATGTGGATTGAGCGAAGAATCGGAGATTGACTCGCAAATTCTTTGGCAGTATGTGGGTGCTAATACTCAATTCAATATCTCTTTCATGTTAGGAGATGTATATCCCGCTTAAATATCAAGGGGACAATACTCTTCAAACTCATCAGGAGAGCGCTAGGACCACGTATGCTGAATATCCATTGTATCTTCAGGACAATAGCGTTGCTAGGATGCTGATTGAGGAGTATTATGCGGGTATACCCTTACGTCTGAGGCTCTTTGTCGTCTCAATGTCTCCTTTGAACTCAGCCCATTGCTCAGCCAAGCGACAACTAACTTACTGTCCTTGTTCTTCCTAAACAAAGCTGATAGTACCAAGACTATCAGTAGGAATCAGGGTTGTACCTTCAGAACTCCACGTAATATCAATTCCTTCGTGGCTGTGATCTATCCTAGCCACAAATTCTGTTCAGTCTTGAATAATGCAGTGATACAGCTGGGCACACATGATTGGTGTCGCCTGGGGAACAGAGGATACTACCACTTGTAGATAGTAGAGCAGTTGAACACAGTTTGTCTGCGTCAAAAGCAAAGTCAGTTCACTCATCGCCAAGAGACACTCCTCTGTGCTGCTCGTGGTGCTCGTGGTGCTCGATATAAATTATAGTGAGTAGCAAAGTATATTCTTCGGGAAAAGTCCGGTTGAACTTGAAATCGGCAACAGCAATTCCATCGGTAGGTAAAATGCGGTCTATAGTAAGCATCATCTCTGAAGATATATGTCAGCCGATACTAGTACCCCACACATACCATTGGTATTCAGAAGTAGTTACTCTGCATGCGGGCATTGAGCTGGGGAGGACATCAAGATACCCTTTTTGGATTAGCGTAGTCACAGCCCTTGAAGGCTCAAGACGGAAGAGCCGCGCAGGGACGCATCATGCATAGGTACGGTAGGACTGCTGGAACAAGATGCAAGGTTCTAGTTGATTTGTTAACTGTCAGGGTGCTACAATCATGATGATCTAAGATAAGAACCCCACCAGATTGCTGTCAGCCATTTAGCAGCAAATTCACTTAATCAACCGGATTAACTTTTTCCTCCAATCTAGCCATTGCAAACTACATATTATATTGATGCTTCACAATTTCACACCGTTCCGGGCCCGAAGTTTGAAAATTCTGTCTTATCGGCATGCCGCTCGGAGCAATTTAACACACTCGCGTCCCCTGTCCTGATGTTGTCTATGGTCCCTCGCTGCCACTCCCGACGGATCAGTCTTGCTTCCGACGGGACATGAACTTTCCTCTGCCCCAATGGTCTCCATTTTGGCTCAGCATCAACGAATAGCATTGCTGGGCTACGCAACGGTGGCGACGATGTGGGTCTACGGCAGACATCATAGGGAATGGTATCTTTCTAGATTCTTCATCGAGCAATATCTTCCCTTCATATATAATGTTTGAGGCCCCCAAGCTCGGGCGCTCGGGCGCTCGGCCGCACTCTCACGCCGGAAACGCTGCTTGCTCAGAGGTGACTGAATATGTCGGAATTTGCAGACAACAATCGTTTAGAGCCAATCTTAGATGGGTCGACGCCATATGACTCCGAATCCACACTCAGTCGCGGCGACTTGCAGGAAAAGCCATCGAACCTAAATCATGAGGACCCCGAAGCGCTAACTCGGCTCGAGACAGCCCAATCGGCCGTCAAGCCCCCGTCCGAGCTATGGAAAGAGATAATCTTCATCGCCGTGGTCTGCATGGCTCAATTCATGACACAGGCCGGTCTATGCATGTCCATTGCTCCGGCTCACATCATTGGTGCCAGCTTTGGCACCACCAATGCAGGCCAGCTCAGTTGGTTCGCCGCAGCTTACAGCTTAACTGTCGGAACCTTCATTCTAGTCGCGGGTCGGCTCGGAGACGTCTACGGGCATCGACTCATGTTTATCATCGGATTCTCCTGGTTCGGTCTCTGGTCCCTCCTGGCTGGTTTCAGTGTGTGGTCCAACAAGGTCTTCTTCGACTGCTGTCGAGCTCTGCAAGGAATTGGCCCCGCTATGTTACTCCCGAACGCCATCGCTATTCTCGGACGTGCCTATCCTCCCGGCTTGCGCAAGGAGATGATATTTAGCTGCTTCGGAGCCACAGCACCGGGCGGGTTCATTGTCGGGGGTGTCTTCTCTTCCCTCTTTGCTCAGCTTGTCTGGTGGCCGTGGGCATACTGGGTCATGGGGATGGTGTGCTTTGTGCTGGCCGCGCTCGGTATCCTCGTCATTCCCGTTACTCATCGTCCGAAGTTCACAGACAATATGACAGATTGGTTGCGACTGGATATTCTCGGTGCCATAACCGGTATCTCGGCTCTAGTCTTGATTAACTTTGCCTGGAATCAGGCTGCACTTGTGGGATGGCAGACACCCTACACCTATGCCCTCCTGATTGTTGGATTCGTCTTCTTCGGCGTCTTCGTTCTCGTCGAACGCTCGGCCCCGTGCCCGTTGATCCCGCGATCGGTCCTCTCCGGTGACCTGGCCTGGGTGCTCGGCTGCATTGCGGCGGGTTGGTCTAGCTTCGGAATTATTATCTACTACTTCTACCAGTTCATGGAGGTCATCAAGGGTGACTCGCCACTACTCGCGACCGCTAAATGGTCCGCCGCTGCGCCGTCTGGCGCCGTTGCTGCACTGGTCACCGGTTTCCTGCTGGGAAAGCTACCACCTAGCGTGATCATGTTCTTCGCCATGTGCTTCTTCACTGCTGGACAAGCCATCTTCGCCACGGTCCCTGTACATCAGACATACTGGGCGCAAGCTTTTGTCGTTAGTCTAATCACATCGTGGGGAATGTACGTATCAAGTCCACCCATCCAATTTTGTTACATATACTAACCGATATCAGGGACATGTCCTTCCCATCAGGAACACTCATTCTGAGCAACTCTATGCATCATCACCACCAGGGTCTGGCAGCATCGCTTGTCACAACGACAGTTAATTATTCCATCTCACTGGGACTGGGATTTGCCGGTACTGTGGAGTCGAACGTTAACGATGGCGGGAAGAATCCCTTGAAGGGATACCGCGGAGCACTTTATCTCGGCATAGGACTTGCTGGGTTAGGGTTGGTGACGTCTATCTGCTTCATGTCGGTTAGCTGGAGACGTCATCGTCTCGGGAAGGAGTCGACGTGATGTGGTAATGTTTAACAGTCAAAATAGATGGCGTGGCTTCTAGACTTGTCACTGTGAGCTAGACTTGTCTGCGTTTGTTTTTGAAAAGTGTACTTTGGAGTTCTATACCCTACATAGAGGAGATACTATTTTTACCATCATATCTCAATAATGTCTGCTTTTATTAGAAGAATGCTCTTGTTTATAATACCATAAGCCGTGAGAGAAAGCCCTTGAGTATGCCTGCAACAGGCGAAAGTTCTCTGGTGCCTGGGAGGCAGTCAGGGCGGCGAGGCTGGCGCCGATAACTATGGAGGGAGTTGTTATTGTTGGTTCCGGTGGCAATCCATTGGTAGATGGTTTCCCAAGGCTGATTTCGATCGATGAATGATATGTAGTCGAGCGTGGATATTCAACGCTGCGCCGTGTTGGAAACTAATATCCTATAGGTGGGCGGTGAAAGTTTCGGGCCCGAGACATCATGGATAGTACTTGGCTGTTTGTTGTTCAAAGGCTTGCGAGGCTGCTCGGGCCTGGGCTAATACTCCGCGAACTAGGTTCCTCCCGAGTTGTTTCCCCTCAAGTGTCTCGACCTAATCTATAGGTCACTTAGTCATACTGGATTGGGGATCCTTGCTGCCTGATTGGTATGCGATCGTTCAGGATATTGGCGACATTTCATGAACCAATTGAATATGAGGACACCCTCCAGGATTTGCTGTACCGTTGGCAGAACACGGAAGATGCGTCCAGCCTGTTGAGTCCCCGATCGCGCCTTCCTATCTAAGCGGACACGCGCATCACCTGATCGTAACCTCACAACTGGATTTTAATTTCCTGACATCTTGCCGTTGCTTTAAGCTATCTCAATCATCATAGTTCATACTATAATTGATGACATTCTGACATATTTACATCATGGTGTCTCTGGAAGAAGTCAGCATTCTACAAGTAAATCACATTCTGGCGCTGCAGCTGAGCTGAAAGTGAACTGGAAGTGATTGAGGCGCAGTCGGCGCTACCGCATGCATCGATGGTAAGCATTCATATCCTATCATACTGTCTACCGAGTTGTCGATGCGAGCAGTGGAATGGTTGGCCACTAATCTGATCAGAAAACACCTCACCATAGGCGCTGGCGCTGCAAGGCTGTTGTCGGGAAATACCTTGGTATCCCTTCAGATGCGACGCCCAGACATGCTGATAGGCGAAAGCTTCTCCAGACCATGTGAATGGCGTGGATCGCTTTGTGATGGTGCAATGATGTCCTTCGCCAGCGGCTGGGGCAGTGACTCCCGACCTTACGTACTAGTTAGGATCAATGATTGAGCATGGCCTATCAAAATGAAGTCATAAGTGATATTTGACTAGAAACCCAACAATATCAGTGGAATTGATGACCCTCAGCTACGACATGACGGAACGCCATTCTGTAATGTAGCCGCCTTTCACTCACATGCTCTCAACCCTGATGCATACCAATGAAATGAGGAACACTGGAAAGGTTTTCGGAGGCATTCACTTCCTGTTGATTCACTTGGAGAATGTATACCGACTTTAGCTCAATACTGTTCAACCGTAAAAGGCTATCACGTTGACAACAACTAATATCACACTGCCACGCCACTCTCTACTCTGCCGTTGGCGCCGTGACGCGTCCGTGGCAATATAATCAGACAGGGGTCCCACCATTGCTACCATCAAGATAAGGCTGCATCGGTAGGTGCCGCTGGTATGTCCTGTTAATAGGGTCCTGCTAACAGGGATTGCGCTCCTCGCTCCAGGTGGTGAGTTGGCCCCGTCGCGCCTATTAAAACACTGCCTGTGGTACTCGGGTGCATCTGTTAACAAAGACTCTTATTTTGCGCAGCACCATACTACTATCACCACGCCTCATCAAAATGTCCGTCGCTGAGACTCTTAGGGACGTTTTCAATCATATCGCCTTACCCCCCAAGCTTCCTGGAAAAAAAGACCGGGAGCCAGAAAAGGTAGAACGCGAACTCATAACCCGCTTGCGTTATGCAGTTCAAACCCTCTGCCATGTTGCAGATGACGCTTTGAAGTCTGTCTGGGAGTCAATTATTGCGACACTCGACACATGCAGCGTAGTGAATCAGAATGTAATGGTGAACAAGGGCGCTCTGCTTGACGCACTGGGAGCACTACAGCCAGGGGGAGCTGTCATAGTAAATATCGGAGAGCAGAACGCCGCACTGCTTATCCGGATGCCACAGTAGGTCTGATTCCTGAATATTGCGCGCTATTACTGACCAGTCATTATCAGGAGTGGTGATAATGTGGTCATTGAGGCCTTCGAAACATCACCAAGCGCAGAGCAAACACTCGCCGCCCCGGGAGCACTGCGATGGACATTCCCAGGAACGGCAGCATCGCTGCCTGTCGAAGAGTTTAGAAACCCGGTTCTCCAAGATTCTCTTACAGACTTTCTCGAAAAGACGAGCACAGAACAGCTGGAACGGTTTGCGGCCAAAGCAAGGAAAGCTGGGAAGGAGGTGGTCGAGAGACGCGATACCGTCGACCCAGCCATAGTAACCGAGTTCTTGATAACACTGCTCGAGATTAACGGTAGCCATATATGCCCGCCTGCACTACAGAAACGTGTTAAGGATGATGTATGCTGGCACGATGCTGAACTTCCGTGGCGGCGATGTCCGTTCTGGCTTGTGCTTCGAGTGTCTATCCAAAGATTGCTCTATTTACATCTGGGCAGTGATCTAGGCCGTTTGCAGTACAAGTATCTGCTTTGCATTGTCTTGGCACAATTACTTGAAAATCTCGTTGAAAGCAGAGTATTGGAACCGGGGCAATGGAGCTGGCTGAACACCAAACTGTGCCGTCGACTAGCCAAGCTGCAAACAGAAAGCCAAACTTCCTCAACTGCAGTGAGAGCTTCACATGCCCACCTATCCCGGACCCTAGATCCTATTTGCCAACAGTCTGTCACCGCTGCAAGAATTGCCATTAACGGTGAATGGGAAGCATTTAAAAAGCACACTAAGCGCAAAATACCCCAGTTGCCTCACCATGCGGAGAACAGGGACCTTTATTTGAGTTTGCCCAACAGCATCTCCTATCTTCAGAGAGTCATGAACCTTTCTCGTCCTGCAGTGCGCAGTACTCAGAGTGTGAAGCCAGCCGATTTATCCGGCAATATTGGTGATAATACCGATGATCAATTTGTATCTCTTGCTAAGCAGTACTCTGAAATTGCCATAACAGAGCTTGACATTGAGTTGGGAAAGCAAAAGACGGCAAAGTCAAAGGAAGGAGGCGAAGAGGTGTGCATTGGTATTGCCCACCAGTTGGAACGTTACCTGGAAATTGTAGGACAATCTCACGAGCGAGACCAAGAGCAAATGAGTGTTCTAATTCTTAATGTCCTCGAATTATGGATCGACATGGACAAATGTGCTACAAATGCATACCCTCTGCTCATTGAGTATCATCCAGCTTTTTGTCCCGAGCTGTTGGATGTTCTACTTTTGTCTCGGCTCATTGATTTAGAGCGCCTAAACAAGGTTCAGACATACCTTCAAGGTCGCTGCACTGCAGCTACTAGGGGCAGTATGACAATTTTCACTGATCCATCACCAGGTTGCTTTGCCGATCGTTTTTTGGAACTCCCGATCGGCAGCGACCTGCTTCGGCTGCAAAATATAATCGAGACCGCATCTTCAGGCGCTCGGGATAGAAAGGAGTCAGAGCTGACGAGTGTCAACCAAAAGTTCAAGTCGCTGACGGAGGATAAAGATAATAGCGCTTGTACCCAGCGGAGACACACCGACGGTACCCATGATATCCGAGGATGCCGCCACTGTTATTATATCCGGTGTCGTCGACGTTTACAGATCACTGTTCATGAAGATTACTTGCCAACAGATGATAGATTGTATGAGAAGAGAGCGATTGTCTTTGAGCTAGGGATCCCCAAGGCATTTGCCGCGTACCGAAGTGCGACTTGGACTATCATCAACCGACTTGGACCCCCGAAAAACGCAACAGCCGCAGAGTCACCGCAGGTGATGCTCCAGGGACACACTCCACTTTCTAGCTACATGAAGACGAGATCTAAGGGAGGCATATCTCTTGCATCTCGCACGAAGTCTCATCTGAGCACACATTACAAGTGGAAGGCCTTGCCCGCGTCAACGAGAAGTATTCTACGGCCTTTCGGACTGAATTTTCTGTACTATGATTCTGACCGCCGAATTTGGGCCAATGACAAGCTCGAGCCCCTTACATTTGCGCACCATTTCGTTCTTACCTTGCCCCCAGACCTTCCTTTTGCGGGACTTTACTCGTCCTCTGATTTTGCTCCGTATGGCCCGGGTCCATCTTCTTATGAGGCCATTGCAAAAATGCGCGAATGTCCACCAACAGTGACGGTGCATGAGTTTTTGGCACACCAGAATCTAATGTCTGGAAAGCATAGTCGATGGCTGTCTATCTTGACTGAGCTTGGGTCTTCCAATATCAATATCAGCTCGCTAGATGCAATGACTTTGTTGCGTCACCTTGCTTTGCAAGTTGGTCCTAACTCACAGGATGATGATCCCTTGCGCGTGATACATAGTGTTTTCAAAGATCTTCGGTTTTGTCAGAGGTTAATCGAGCAAGTTGACCAACATGCTTCCATAATAGCCCCAAACTGGCGTGAAGTGACATACATGGAAAGTCTGCTCACCTTGGCTATTCAAGTACACAACCTCGGGTGCCAAGCATCGAGAGTAGAAGCGGAGAATTTGCTACTGAAGATACGCCGCATCACACTGGAATGGATCAACCACCTGCGAATGGAGACCCGGAACGCCTTACAAATTGACGTTGCAGAAAGAGCAGCTCGCTACTGCGTTCTAGCCGCTTTACTGTGTCGACGCACTTTCTTGCCGCTAGCTTATGTCGGTCGCACGCTTGACCCTGGAAGCTTCCAATGCTTTATCGAGGCTACACTGGCAATGCAAGAGAGTGTAGTAGTAGATATGAAGAAGTTTGACCATTTCACACGCAACATCTTAGTGCGTGATATAAAAGCGTCCGTTCGACTTCGGCCAATTATGCAACGTGCGGTTCAGATGCATCCTGGAAGTATCGCATGTGCTATCAACAACGTTTGGCTAAAAAGCAGAGATTATACGCCATGGGAAAGCTTGCCACGACCATATGAGTTGTGGATTACCGCTGAATCTAAGCCTACTGAGCACACAGTACCTCAGGTCTTTCACCTTCATCTTTTGGAAGGTCACTTTCTTGTAGATGGGAGGCCGTTGGGGAAGCTGCCAGCTGACATTCGCGACTCAGAAATACTCAAAGAGCTCTTTGGTAACCAGCGATTGACTGCCTTTCCATCGGATCGGCCTGGCATGAGTTACACTCTGGCGATAAACAAAGAGGGTCATCAAATCCATTTGGGACGTCGAGGTCAAGATCTAGTCATTCAGGCTACTACCGAGGATAGTAGACTGCTGGAACTTGTTCCACGAACAATTTTCGAAAAGGGCCAAATCTCTGACTTGCCTGTACCTTTGGTTCGTGATTGTGTGCACTGGATTGATCTGGGAACTGGGATTATCGAGGCTCGACGTATGCCGAAAATCTGGAGAAGGAGACCTAGCAACTGGTTAATAAACATTCGGACTCGGAGGGCGCATCGTAATGTCTCTACCTTGATCGACCCTCACTCCCAACTAGCCAAGGCCGTCGCCAGTATCTTCCTTCACTTCGAAGAACCTTCGATGCTAACGATCTATCAACCGCTCAGAAAAGCCCTTTCTGTCGAGTTAAAGCGCATGAACCTCAGGTTTTAGGTGAACAAGAAAAGAAGGCTATTGGGATGCCAACAACTGAATGCAGAGATCGATCCCAATCAAGATGCTGGTACCCTTTACGGGCTTGAAAGCATGCTGGTTCTTCGCAACGTCCACAATCGCTCACAGCGCAGCATCATAATACCGCTTGGGACAACTAGTCATCGACGATATGGAATCCATGTGCAAGTCCGGAAACAGAATGATGGTGACTATGGAAGGTACATGATCGACGATGTCCTTGGCCGGGTTCATGGTCCCATTGAGCCGCGTCTATTGTATAACTTGGCACAATTGCACGCGCTTACATCTTTCGTTATTCCCGACCCCCTTACCAATCGAACTGGAACTGAAGAAGCGCTATCAATTCTAGAGTCGGCCTACTCGCTGCCGTGGAGTCCTCTGAGCTCGAACGTCATAGATGTGTTGCATGACATTTCCCATCTCACGCCAAGACGACAGTATTATCCTAAAGGCGTTAAACGCCTGCAACTCGTGAAATGGGACGAAGAATTGACGGCATCAACACAGCATGAGGCATATAGGCTAGCAATTGATTCAATCCTAACCAGGTCTCAGAAACTTTCAAAATTTCAGATCGATGGAACACCCTACCAACCGCAAAACCCCATGAACGAACCACATCTCAGCGAAAGGGCACGCTGGCGCCGATCCTTGTACGAACGCTCGGGTGTGTCGTGTCAGCCCATAAGCAGACCCCCCGATGTTCCATACTTCTCAAGAGCGGGAAACTCCACGCCTACGTGCATCTCTAATGTACGAGAAATTGTGACTCTACTCCGAGAGCGGCCTCCCGTGATTCGAACCACACACAAGCTTGCGGGTATTCTGAAAAAGTGGCCATATATTCGTGGCTTCAACAACACATTTGCTCCGACTTCTATCCAAGATATGCTGTCGTTAGACCTTGCACCTAACTTCGGCATGTTGGTACGCCTTTGCACAGAGTATGAGCCTCAGGATGCATACCGCCTCATGTTCCACCTAGGCCTAATTTCGTATGGCAATGTTGTGAACATGAAAATGGTAAGGGTTTTGGTAGCCTTTTTCATTCTGTCTGATCTGAAAGAACTGGACTTGCCGTCCTATGCTTCCTTTGAAAACTTCCCAGACGATGGCCCCCCTGACGTCGAGACACTGATAACCCTGGCACGGCCCTTTTGCAAGCAGTATCAGAGCCCGGTTGGCCAGAGAAACAAGCTTCAGAAGAATAAGCAAGCAAGGTATACAGACATTGAAGCTGAACGTGCTAACCATGAGACGCAATGCATGGCTGAGAGCCAGTCGTTCGCTTTATCCCTCCTTAAGGAATGGCCTTGTTCTAAACCCTCAAACATCTCTTTCTCGGGCAATCTCTTGGATGTCAACAGTGCTGTTGACGTAGTTAGCCCGGATTGGCTGCGGCGCTATAAGAACCTTCGGCTTTCAGGGCTTGTCAAAAATATTCAGAAAATTCTGAATGTCTATAGTGCACCCGTGAATAATTTTGACGATGCTCCTACAGAAGCTAAGCCTGAGCTGTTTAGGTCGCAGCTAAGAGCCACCCCAAGAGTCAAATTACATTTAGACCAAGACCTCATCCGCAAGCCGGGTCCAGAAGGAGTGTCGAGCTCAAGCTGCCCTCCACAAATGAAAAAGATGGAGACCGCGCACCATCCGAGCTCTACGAAGCATACACCCTTGTCAGTCAGTAAGGAACATACTAAACCAGAGATTATCGAGCTTGAGGAGATAGTGCGCCAAATCGCGAACTCAGGTTGCTCGGTCAGGTCGACCTATGGCCAGGATTTGCAGTTGAGTATTGCTGCACTCCGGAAAAAGAATGAACAGCCAATGGAGCCTCATGAATCAGTGACATCTTATCTGGTGGAAATGGCAAAGTATGATGAAGAGATCGGAAAGGCCCACTCTGTTGTACGCCAGTTTTACCATCAGATATGCGAAAAGCTTTCAGCCGGAGATACCAGAGTCCTTTGGCTGCAACAATGCAATATCTGGCCGTGCATCACCCCGAGAACCATTCTGCAACAGCTTCGAACTACCACATGTGTCGAGTATGGACCAAACATGAAACTGGCGTTAATATCGTACGGCCTTGCAATTGTTAAATTACAGCGCCTGATTCGTATGAAGGAGCTGTTTGCAAAAAGCGACAAAAGCAGGCTTGAACAAGAGCAAAAGTATCCATCTCACGCCATTTGGGATTACTTGAAGTACCCAGACTGGATTCTGCTTGAAATCGATGGAAACATGCAGATTCGCCAAGAGCAAGTAACCGTGGCTCTGGAGATGGTATCTCCCACCTCAGGCTCCAATTCCGTCCTGCAGATGAACATGGGTCAAGGCAAGACTTCGGTTATCATGCCGATGGTCGCATGTGCTTTGGCTGACGGTAGCAATCTTCTCAGGCTCCTAGTGCCGAAAGCACTGACGACGCAAACTGCACAGGTTCTTCAGGGCCGGCTAGGGGGCCTTGTCGGCCGGGAGCTTATGCATATTCCCTTTTCACGGCGCACTCCCACAACCATAGAACTGGTCCGGGAATACCGCTCCCTCCATGAGGAGATTTGTAGCAGAGCAGGAGTCATTCTGAGCATCCCCGAGCACTCGTTGTCCTTCAAATTGAGTGGGTTGCAAAGAGTTTCAGATCTGAAGCTTGTGGAGGCTGCCGAAATGATAGCGATTCAGAATTGGATTGACCATGTTGGCCGTGATGTCCTTGACGAGTGCGACTACACTTTGGCTGTTAAGACACAACTTATCTATCCGAGTGGCCCACAGCTTGCGGTGGATGGACATCCCGATCGTTGGGAGGTGATAATGGCAGTTCTAGGCTTGGTAGCTCAACATGTTCGTGACTTAGCTTCAGCCTTTCCTCAGAGTATCGATCTGGTTGAAAGACCGCTCGCCTCATTTCCACTTGTGTTCCTACTCAGGCGGGATGTGGAGGTTGCACTCAGTGAGCGAATCGTGCACGAGATCTGTTCCGGCTACAGCTCAGTTCTTCCAATTCAGAGCTGGACTGTTGGCGATCAAGATTTCATCAAGCAGTTTATCTCCCGGGAAAATTTGGATGCCTCGGCCACTCAGTGGATAGAAAATCTGTTTCAAGATGCCCCTGGAGCATGCAAGCGAGCATATCTGTTGCGTGGTCTAATTGTTCATCGAATACTTTTGCTGTGCTTGAAGAAGAGATGGAATGTTCAGTACGGACTGCATCCGAGGCGCGATCCGATGGCCGTGCCTTTTCAAGCAAAGGGTATTCCATCAGATTATGCGGAATGGGGCCATCCAGATGTTGCTATCCTGTTTACGTGCCTTTCCTTCTATCAAGAGGGCTTGAGCCAGGAGCAATGCCGTCGATGCCTCCAAGCTGTACTTAAGTCGGATGATCCTGCGACTGAGTACGATCGATGGACACAGACATCAACAGACCTTCCTGAAGTGCTACGACATTGGAATCTCATCAATGTCGATGACCAAGGCCAAGTGACCGAATTTTGGTATCATATGCGCTTATCGATGGTCGTGATCAATTACTTCTTAAGGCATTTTGTCTTCCCCGTTCACGCAAAGCAATTTGCGATCAAGCTTCAGGCTTCGGGCTGGGATGTTCCATTTAACGATTGTAACACAGCCTCTAAACGGACTGGACTTACGACCGGTTTCAGTGGGACCAATGACAATCGCAGACTCCTGCCGTTGACAATTAAGCAACACGATTTGCCGGAACTATTGCACACGAATGCTGAAGTCCTTACTTACCTACTCCAGAGCAGAAACAGGGAGTACAAGCACGCTGTCACAAACGGGAGACGACGATCTGAAGCTGAACTTCTATCCGACTTAGCAGAAAGCAAAATCCGTGTTCTCATAGATGCTGGTGCTTTCATCTTGGAGATGGATAACTTGACTGTGGTCAAGACGTGGCTGGAGGAGGATACGGCACCGCAGGCTGCAGTATACTTTGACACTGACAATAAGCCTTGGGTTTGGTACAGGATCGGGAGAAAATCGCCACTTCTAGCTACCCCATACGCCGATAACCTGCAAGATTGCCTCATTTATCTTGATGAGGCTCATACCAGAGGCACCGACCTCAAGCTTCCTGCTGATGCCAAAGGGGCTTTAACACTGGGCCTTAACCAGACTAAGGATAAGACTGTACAGGGTAGGTTCTTCTTTAATCTCCAGTTTGATATTCCTAATAGTAAAATGCTTGCTAATTACTGTCTATAGCGGCCATGAGGCTTCGTCAGCTTGGCACCACGCAATCTGTTACTTTTATCGCGCCTCCCGAGGTCCATCAAAGTATCTTGGATGTTAATCAGAAGAACCATAACGATAACATTGATTCTTCTAATGTGGTATATTGGCTTCTGTACCAAACGTGCGCAAATAATGCCGAGCTAGAGCCACTATTCCACTCCCAGGGTATTGATTTCTGCCGCCGCATCCAAGCTGCCTCGGAATTCCCAGACTTCGTCCAAAACAAGACGCATCGTGAGAAATACATGGAGATTTTACAGCAACCCGAGCAGCAGACTCTAGAACAGCTGTACAAGCCGCGTGTTTGTGGTTCTAGTGACGAAGAGAGGGGATCACTGGCTGCTTTACCGCCGGCGACCGGAAGGGTGGCTGAATTCCTAGAACAGCTTGACCATAGGCGGAGTGAATCTGATCTCCTGCAGAGCACAATCACCAGCTCAGCTTTGGAAGAGGTTGAACAGGAACGGGAGGTTGCTTACGAAATAGAGGAGGAGAGGGAAATGCAACGCCCTCAGCGATTGAAAGCCTACGGATTCCCTGGGCTACATCCAGCCTTATCCCATTTCGCCAAGACTGGTCAACTGCAAGGCTTCGGAACCGTTACTGCGGCAAGTGTGCTTCATGAAACTCAGTTGTCAAAGAAGTTTGGAATCAAAGGCAGTAGTCTACTGCCTCATTTGCTCGTATCTGTAGAGTTCACAAGGACCATCAATTCGAAACATAAGACAGGCGATGAGTTCACGGTAAGACTGCCATATATAGCGCTTAACGTATCTTCCTCAACTGACATCATCTACAGCGTCCTGTTAATTGGCTACTTTGCAATACAGAAAGTGAGATAGCAGTTGTTATCATTCCCGAAGAGGCAGAAGCATTGATCCCCATTCTGCGTACTTGCGGTACTTCGTCAACGCACCTCATCACATATGCAGCACCGGTTACGAGACGCATGTTGCATTTCGAACGACTTGACTATTATTCAATCCCGCCTCTATCTTCAACACATGCTCTGCCATCATGGTTATCGTTCGAACTTGGGATTCTCGCCGGACGGCTGTACTTCGGATATGCCGAGTACATGGGGATAATGGAACAGTTACAGCTGGGGCCTGACTGGCTAGATGTCAGTAACCTTGCGTCACGAGAGTTGACAAACAAAATGGGTTTCTTGCAAGAATGGCTAGCCCTTCGCCGGCAAGGCCAGGACATTTCTCATACGCCCATGGGCTACATATGCCAGCGGAGGCCTCTTCGTGTTGATCACCCTTTCTTCGCTGAAGTGAATGCACAAAACGGCCCCAGCCATATACTTCGGTCTTCTGGCTACAAGTCTGGAGTGAAGGAGGAGGAATACTACGACAGCGACGAGGACGATATGGGTGGTTATGAAGTAGTTGAAGATGAGAACTTTCAGGATGATCATGAGCAGGAAGATGTTGATGAGGCCAAGTACGACAAGGTCGATGAGTTGAATCACAAGGATATCGAAGATGGCGATGGCTACCAGGATGGCGATGGCGAGGAGAGAAATTGCCAGTGAATGCAAAGAGGGCTACCAATTCAAATCTGTTTTGATCTACCTCAACGGGATATCTATGTCTGCTCCATCTGTGCTGGTCGCAGATAGGATTGCTTTCTTTTGTATCATGACTGGACTAGTTGGCGACCGTGGTTGGGCAATTGATTAACTAGACTAGACTAGAACTGAGACAATATGAGAGCTAATGACAGTGCCGTCAAATAATCTTGCCACGGTTTAAAAGTTGAACTAATAATATGTCCTCCACTATCAATCCTCAAGAGCTTTACACCCCGTACAAATTATGTATACTACTCCCAGTCAACCTCACTGCAATAAGAAACTCCGAACAACCAACAAAACATACTATCGATCATTTGTCCAATCTAATATCCCCTCTCAGACCCCCCCCGTACTCAGCTCACCGTCCATCTCTACGGAATCCAGTCAAGGTATTCTGTCCCCTTCTATCTTCCAAACAAAACAGAAAACAAGGCAGCTAACTTACTAATTCCTTCTAGAACATCATATCTACAGCTCTGTTCGTTTCTATCTTCAATACCCGCGCGACACACCTAAGAGCACACAGTCCGGTCCCGTCCGTTGATCCAGAAATAGTCAACTCGAAAGTGGGAGGACAGCATGACGGAGCTTTCAATGATATCGATGATACTATGTTGGATGACTAGTAATTAAAATAAATGAATATCTTAAATAAAAATATTACTGTTTTTAGATATATTGAAAAGAACATATACTATTGGATGGATTATAATCCATTTTACTTTAACAAGTTTTGTTACTAGGCTTTTGTTTTTTAGTTTGAATTCAAATTTAAATACTATTAGGTATAATAACATTGTTAATAATGATAAGTTCACTTAGATTTGATGATATGTTAGGACAAACTTTTGCTGTCATGGTGGGCTTCTTTGCAAGGGCTCGAAAGGATGATGGGATGATCTCAAGCGTGAATATCGAATGAAGATGGCAAAGTGAACTGGTTTGACCAGAATATTAAGAGGCGTGTGATGATAGTTCCTATGGGTAGTATGTGTTACTTATAGCTCGGGGAAAGCATCATCGCTGGAGCCCTTGGCCAATGGTGGGTTGGAGCCTGCATTCCTTGCGTCGTTGCTGCCTCGCCGCTGCCTGGACCCTTGCTTCGGCATGGTGGTGCCTGAACTGGAGATACTAGCATCATTCAAACTAGACTTGTTAACCAACCTTCATCTTCAAGTTTTGCATTGCAGCTCATTCTGCAATGTGCTTCAAATTTGGGACCGCCGGGAAAGTCGCACAATTTGCGATAGGAGATCTCCGTTGTAACAAAAGGCCTTTGCTACCATTTTGCAGCATATCATGTTGCTTGCTTTGCTAGCTCATGAACTAATGTGATATTGGAGGGGTGGACCTAGAAGGGCCAATGTTGCAGCAAATGATCGGCGATGCTTGCTCGGTGCAGCATTGATAACAATAAGCGCCGCCGCTGCGTAAGCCGGGTTTTCCTTGGGCTCTCGGGCGACGATATCCAATAACTTCAGGGCGGACAGCCACATCTGACAAGTCAGTCAGTTTCTCGTATCAATCCGAGCCGTGACCCCGCTATGCTTACTCTCGACTGACCCAAGCGTCGATTGATTCAGCTGGGTTATAATATAAATGGGTGCAACTGACCGGCTCTTCTGCTCTCACCTCATGACAACTCATATACAAGTCCATCATCATGAGAAGAGATACCTCATCTTTGTCCGAAATCCAGCCAGTGTACGACTATGTCGTCGTTGGAGGAGGAACTTCCGGGTTGGTGGTGGCCAGCCGATTGACAGAAGACCCCGCAGTCAGCGTTCTGGTGTTGGAAGCTGGAAGCGATCGTGTCGACGATCCGCGTATCGCAGCTCCGGGCCTCTCAGCCAGTACCTGGTTTGACCCTGAATTCGATTGGAGCCTTATCAGTGAACCTCAGGTACATATGCAAGCCTTTACAATACATGGTCCCTCATATTAATGTGGAATAGGAAGGTCTTAATGGCCGACGCCTTGCTCAGTCCCGCGGTCGAACATTGGGAGGTTCCTCGGCTATCAACATGGGCATGGCAATATACCCTAGCCGTAGCGATATCGACTCATGGGAGCAGCTGGGAAACTCAGGCTGGAACTGGAAGTCTCTCTCCACCTACATGCGAAAATCGCAGACATTCATACCGCCGTCGGATGAGATTCGTGACCAGCTATCGCTTGGCTATGTCGACCCGGATGTTCAAGGGACCGATGGACCCATCCAGATTTCGTTTGGTAATGGGCCTTTTCCGGCGTTCACGGCTGCCTGGCCCCGAACCTTTGAGGCTTTGAATCATCGGCTGACAGGCGACCCAATGTCTGGTCTGGCTAAGGGTGCCTTTTGCAATCCGGCTACTATCCACGGGACCTCACGGGCTCGTAGTCATGCGGGCGTCGCCTATTATACTCCCGAAATAGCGCAACGCTCGAATCTCCGAGTCATCACCGAAGCCTTTGTGGAGAAGGTTCTGCTCGACAAGACAGCCTGTGTCGATGACGGCCAAGCTATCGCGACCGGTATCCAGTTTCGAGGGAATGATGGAATCCAACACACGGTGTCCGCAAGAGCAGAGGTTATCCTAGCGGCTGGCACGATCAAGACACCGCATCTGCTAGAGCTCTCAGGCATCGGTGATGCAAAGCTTCTGCAAGCACATGGTATTGATATTATCATCGACAATCCTAATGTAGGCGAGAACCTGCAAGAACATGGCCTCGTCCCATTTACCTGGGAGGCTGCCGATGGTCAAATAACTGGGGAAGCATTACGGGATCCTGAGGTAGCCAAAGCCGCCATGGAAGCGTGGCAATCTTCGGGAGCTGGACCATTAGGCTCCCATCCACTAGGTTCGGCTTTCATGACTCTCCCGGAATTGGAAAACGGCGAGCTATCCGGCCTCATAGAAAAGCACCTGGAAGAGGAAGGTTCCGCCAGACAGACGGCACAGTACCGTATTCTTCGCCGATTTCTCGAAGATGACGACGAGCCAACGTGCCAGTATACGCTAGCACCATTTCAAATGACGCCTGACAAAGGCTCCGATCCTACAGGCACCTTTAGCATGTCAGAGCCCGGAAACTACATTAGTATAGTGGCAGTCTTGAACCGGCCATTTTCCCGAGGTTCGGTACATCTAGCCTCGTCAGATCCAACAGTGCTGCCGACTTTCGACCCTCGTATGCTGTCACATCCACTTGATCTGGAGATCCAAGCGCGTCATGTAATGTGGCTTGAGACGCTGGCAGCCACGGAGCCCATGGCATCGCTGCTGAAGCCTAATGGCCGTCGACTGCATTATCCGACGCGTGTGACCAGCTTAGAAACAGCACGTGAGCTCACGCGGGACCGCTTAATATGTCATTATCATGTTTCAGGAACGACAGCTATGTTGCCGCGAGAGATTGGGGGTGTGGTTGATGATCGGTTGAGGGTGTATGGATGTAGGAACTTGCGCGTGGTAGACGCCAGTGTGATTCCACTGATTCCTCGCGGGAACATCCAGACGACAGTGTATGCTGTGGCGGAAAAGGCTGCTGATATTATCAAGGAGGATAGATTGGCTTCGTTGTGATGGGAAATGGCTCTTGGTATCCTGGATATCTTGTTTTGGCTTACTGTGGGGTGGAGAGACATAGTCATTTGGCTGATAGCGTGCCTTCATTGATGCTGCAACCGGAGGTAATCAAAGAAGTCACATTATTTCCTTTTATTGAAGTACCTCGGAATGGATGGAGTCGTTGATTGTGATTTGTCAAGACAAGCTTCCTGTTGTCAGTTCTGATGGCTTTCCTGCGGGAAGACCAAGGAAGGGAAGGAGTCTTGGAAGCAGTAGCTAGGTACGCCTTCTATCACCTGACCTTCTACAGGCTCTTATGGTTGTACGCCTTTGGCTCTCCTTTGTGTTCTGCACTGCATAATTCATATCTTGGCTACTAGCTAGAGTCAGTTCAAGCTCGCTCAATCCTCAAGACGCAAACAGTCAATAGCTGAGTAACACATACAGTTTGTTTCGTCATAAAATGAAATTTAATATTCAACTAATCACAAGTATAGTACAAACATAAGAAACGTATCCATCATAACTCATGACTCTCATCCTGCAAAGAATTCCCACGAAGCGATACCCGAACCGAATTATAAAGAAACCATACGATAGAAATACATGCTGAGAATTATAGTTTCATATACTCAGTCTGCCCATACCCCTCGCTGTTGAAGAAGATCCCTATCGACTATCAGAAAAGCGACCTCACACATGTCCTAGAAGCCTTAAGTCAGTGCCATCACATACACGAATATAAAAAGATTCAATCACATACTTCCCAACGGCTTCGCCCTCTTCGTAATCGACTTCACCTGATCCTGCTTCATTTTCGCAGCGCGTGCTCTACCATCCAATATTAGCATGTCTGACCAAGAGAAAGACAATGAGTAAGGAAGCAACTTACTCCATCTTCGCTTCCTCGTCCAATCTTCTCACATGTTCTCTGGCCTCACGCACTGCCCGTTTCGAAGCCATCAGTGCCCTATCAGCCTCCCGCTCAGCCGCTTCTGCGCGAGAAACCTGTTCTTTGGCGGCAAGAATGGATGGGTCTTCGTTTTTTCGGCTATGGCCGAAAAGGGAGTGGTTGTGGTGGCGGGAGGAGGAGGGAGAAGTGGATGACGATGAGTAGTGGGAGGGGGAGCCGGAGGAGCGGCGGGAGCGACGGTGAGAGTGGGAGGATGTGGTGTTGGGATCGTCGATACTGCTCCGGTCGGAACTGGAGTGGGAGGAGGAGTGAAAGAGGGGCATGTTGGTGATCCTGTAGCTTGCTCTTAGAGTATGGTGAGGCGATTGAGGCGAGTGTCTGCGTTAGTGGATATTGGAGATGAGATTGTAGACGGTCGGGATGGTGGTAGTTGTGCTGTATATAGCTTTCCCTTTGTCTACACAGTACTGAGAATTAAGGGCATACGTAAGTGGCGATAGATGTGAGACGGTGAAGAAAGCTCAATCAATTAGTCGATGATCATAGGCTGCTGTAGCATGAGATGTCTTGTTGATGGTTGGAGGAATCCTATAATACCCACGTGGTTAATGTTTACCCCAGAAATGAGAGGATAGATTGGACCCATGGTAGAGGGATGACGATATTCTGGGCGACATAAACAATGCGAATGGATGTGTGTTGCCGCGATGATGTCAAAGGGACCGTTGTGCCGTCCCGATAATGAAGCTGCGGAGGATAATTGGTCGCAGATCTGCGGTGACATCAGATCCGGCGGACGTGGCATCGCAAATATGCGCCAGCAAGGGGTGATGTTGTTAAACTGCAATAGGTCATGCCAATCAGTCAGTGGCTGAAAAGGAAGCTTTTTCATTGTTGCACTACCTCATAGCTGAAGGTAGCTGCAGAATGGGGAATGAGCTTACAGGGCTAGAAGAGTAGTGGCTGCTTAGCATATGCTTATGCCTGGACTTCCCACAGTGCCGACATAGTGGAGTGTTCCTTGGATAATAGTGGTTTGTGTTTGGGCCATTTGTCTTTGTCCGTATTTTCTTTGAGATTGATGCACTGTTGTTGTTACTTCTGAGGTTGCAGTGTCTTTGATAACATTCTCTCTTAGATCAGAAAGCAGCAAATACTGCACATAATCAACTTATTAGAATTCTCTTTGGGTTTCCCTCAGTATTATCGACCCAGCTGTTCCCCGAATATTAGGTGCTCTGATGATAGTGACGATACTGTCTGACCGAGGTGTATAGCTTTCGCGATGCTCGGTGCGGTAGATGATGATGATGATCCAGTATGTCTGCCGGTACTCTTTGAAGCCTAGTATCAGGCCTGTGGACAAAGCTCATGGCATTATGCATTCATGATCAAATTGACCTGAAACGAGATCGCATCTACTTCTCGACTGTATTGGAAGGTGTGGAGTGTCCGCTAAGTGGGTATATCTTCAACTAAACCAACATCACCAAGGAAAGCATATAGAACCTTTACTAATGCAATTTTAGGAACGCACGAAATATTGGTTGAGAGTTACCTACATCAGTATGGTTTCATGAGCTAATATCACTGCTAGATAAAAAATAAAGAGAACCTCACAATGACGCCCAACCACATCTAATTCTGATGCAGCCATGATCAGTCGACACACCACCTTCCAACCTCAGTTTGAAAGCTTCCATCCACCCAAATCCCTTCCTCTATACATCCCAATCATTTCCTTCCATCAACACCTATGACATTACACTCCATTTCCAAAAATAACATGGTTAACTCCCAAACCAACCTCCTCTCCAACCTCCTCCATCCCAGAAGAACAAGATTCTCCTCAATAATAATTAAATTCATCCTCTTGTGTCTCCTCATCTCCACCCTCCTCACCACACCCTGCTTAGCAGACCGCAGCGACACCAAGATAGCCAACGCCACCGTGACCTACGACTGGGAGACACCAGATGAGAACCTCACAGTGATCTGGGACTGGGATATGGCCGAGACTGTGAGGGTTTCTGCTGGGAATAGTAGGGCTCTTTCAAGGCCTGTGGGAGGGATAGGGATTATTGTTCTGGGTGTTGGGGTTATTGGGGCTTTTCTGGTTTGGTGAGATTTGAATACAGGTGATGTGGGATGTGGATTTGGATGTCATTCGATCATATTGAGGGTGTTGCTAAACCTGTGTGTGTGTTTTAGTCTGATCACTGTTCTGTTTAGGATAGTTGGAGTAGCTAAGTATGTTTGAGTCTTGACTTTGATGCATAGCTATCTATGTACTGATCAGTAAGTAGACTTGAAATTCTAAAGATATCATGAAGGCCTTTCTCTCTAACATCTATTTATTACCACTACCCTCATTGTCATTCAAAGAAGTAAAAGTCCATCCTAATGAATAATGATAGAGAGATTATTATTATTCTATTGCCTGTGCAGAGTCCCCACATGGTAGAATGAACTTATTATCACTTATGGTGGTTGTACAGAAATTTATTTCCCTCGGGTGACCACCCGACCCTAACACGAACACCCAGCACACCAACACCCTGACGGCCCCAAACAAGTCAGTCCCTCATCCTACCTTGGCAAGGCTTAAAAAACAAAAAAATACCCCAAATGATAACCCCTGAAATGCAATGCACTACAATGCAGCTGGGCATGAGCTTCGCTTCCTCTGCCCCCTTCTCTCACATCAGCCAAAAAAAAAAAAAGCAAAATGCCAAGACATGGTGGGTCTAAACTCCGCCGCAGCAGCAGCCGTAGTAGCAGCAGAGTTTGGGTCGGGTGATAATCCGCTCAATACCCACCCACTCGATCCAGAGCACAGAGATTATTTACACACCAGCAAAAATTTCAAAAAGATGACCGACGCAGGACTCGAACCTGCAATCTCTTGATCCGTAGTCAAGCGCCTTACCATTGGGCCAGCCGGCCTTGTTGAATACCAGGAACAGGAAAGGGGTTTATATTTTGGGCAGACGGACACATGAATTCATCTAACTAGTATTCATATGGACAAAATCACAAAGGGTATGTATGCTATGCTGCATTGGATATCATGAACGTGGAAACAGAGACAGTAGGAAAGGGGCTGTAATGTACAGGTGGACGTGAGGTATATAGAGACGAAAAGAAGAGAAAGAAAGAAAGATCATGGGAATGATTGGCGCGACTCAGGTTCCTGATCGCTGTAGGGTTCGAGAAGGGCTTCCTTCTCAGAGATAGGCTCGCCGTCTTCAATGTTGATGATGGGAATGTTCTGCTGCTGCTGCCGGCGGCGAGCGGCGCACAGGTAGATCGAGATGATGAGACGACCCAGTAGGAATCCAACAATGCAGGCCACTCCACCAGCCATGATTCCCATCAGGGCGGGGAGGATGACCGGACGGGCAATCTTCATGATGCTCTGTTCACGTCCGGTCCAGAAAAAGTGGCCGCTCTGGCTGGAGGGGTAGTACTTGTTGGAGGAAGGGCGGCGGTGGGGGTGGGCGTCTGAAGATCCGATCATCTTGTGAGGGTGCTCGTGGGCGTGTTCATGTTCATGCTCGTGTTCGTGCTTCGGGTGCTCCGGCTTGACGCAGTTCTTGACGGCTTCTTTGGCATGGTTGTAATATCTTTCGAGCTGTTCCTTCCAGGCCTTCATCTGCCAGACACGGTTTCCGTGACCGTAATCGCGGCTACCGTTCGGGTCGATCATCGCCAGCTGCAGACCACCCTGGGCGTCTCTAATCAGACTGATCGCAATGGTGTTTTGCGTGGCAGCTTGACCGTGCTGGTCGAAGAGACGGAGCTTGAGGTAGTAGATATCGCCCAGACCAGCACCGGGACGAGCAGGTAGTGGCCGTACATCCAACGAGTAGGAGACCTGAACTGGCTGAACGAATGACTCCCACTTGCGATCTGCTGTGAACTGCATCGGGACGGTAGCGGGGAAGATGGGTTGTTTGTTGGCTCGGAGGGTGCCATTTTGGGTGGAGAAATCGATGGTCTATCCAAGATGATTAGTATGGGATGATGATGGTCGACTGCGTTGATACGTGAGTACATACCAGTTGTGAACCAGAGTCGAAGGATTCTGTGCAAGTCGAGTCCGAGAAAGCGCAGGGGATAGCAGGAAGGTTGATTTGATGAGAACCAGCGGTAGAATGCAGCTGAGGTGCAGGCAGAGCTGCGGCGGCCACAGTAGTGATGCACAAAGCACCAGTTGCGGATAGAAGGCGAAGCAACATGGTGGTATAGATGTGGTGTAGGGGTAGATGGGATGGATGTTGGAAAGAGTGACAGGCTGTCAGGGATGAACTGAACAGTGGTAAAGAATGACGGAGACGCGCGGGAAAAAAGCTTATAGAAGTACTTGTGCTTTGTTTTTTTTTTTTTTTTGGCAAAAGCAAGTAAGGAGAGACTGAGGAACTAATGCAGAACGAAGAGCGACCGGGCAAAGCATATAAAAGCGCATCAAATCAATCCACAATGACAACATTCAGCGCTAACGGAGGGGCCGAAAAGTGATTGGGTCAGTGCAACTTGGTCCAAAGAAAGAGGATGAAGCTAAGCTAAGGCTGAGCGACCCTGATTCACCGAGGGAAAATGCAGGTCAAAATGCAGATGATGAGCTGCTCCGCCCGTTCTGATTGATCGCGCGGATCATCTTTTTCCTCGCGACGGAAGCAACGCCGTCCAACACAGCCTCGTCGCAGTGCCGTTGGTTTCATGGTTGCCCTTTTTTGGGGGCCAGGCACACACCCCTTCGCTTCCTTCACCTCTTTCATTCCTTTCTTTTCAATCCTTCTTTACTGTGAAAACGCTAGAACGCCAAACCGCCCCCAAGATACAACCATCTAACTGGCCCCCGTCAGCCACGCTGATGCAAAATGCAACGATCCGTCTTATTCGAATCATCCAGAAAAGGCGACCGATCTTCATCCTCACATCAAATCACCCTCGGATCATGGAACGACGGCGCTCAAAACACTGCCCTCCGCCCCAATTGGTTAGCTAATTAAGACTATTAGCAGTGTAGCACATGCTCTGTCTATGTACAAAGTAGTCTAGCGGCTATCTAGATACTACCAAACTCGACTCTGCCCACTTCCAGTGGCCATCTATCTATTCCTGGCCCAAGTGTCTTGGATTTAGCGTGAGACAGTCCCAGTCCCAGTCCGTCAGGGTCCACTTTGCACGCGATGAACCCCTCCCACTTTCAACTCCAACTCGCTGACAGGACAAATCTACCCAATGGCAAAAGCCTCACTGGCCCCCACGGGCCATTGAGGCATAAACCGACCAGCCAATGTAGTCCTACCCATGGGAAGCTTAGCAACGAGGTTATCGACTAGCTGGCTGGCTGGCTGGCTGACTGGCAGTCACTAACTAAGACACGGGTTGCCTGCCTGCCCCTGGGCAAATTACTACTCTTTTCTTACCTTTTATTACTAACTACCCCTGACACCTTACCAATGGCAGCTCGCTCTCCACGACGGGCTGTTCCGACCGTGGAGATGCAGCACAAAGATTGGAATAGTGGAAGAAATTTCACTTCCTGCCGATCATGTGAACAAATTTACAATTTGGATAGGATAGAAGAATACCTTCGGACATGACTCTCTCCGCCCCTTTGTCTTGCCGAATGCGCCCCCGAAGATCCCCCGATGTCTTCTGGTTCTCTTCTCTTATGCCCGACGACGCTTTTCTAAATAATCGCGAGTCTGCCTAGTGCCCACCGACGGACTCCGCGGTGACCGCCTTACTATTTACTAGGTTAGGCAGCCGTGGTTATCTCCGAGCGCAATTGGTCGTCTCGGCAAAGCTGAGGAACTTTGAAGTACTAAGTAGGCACCAAACATACACTTTTTTTTCTCTTCGGCTTCACCTTCCGTACGGTGTCACTATCTATTTAGTCACCGTTGCTGTGCCTCATTTAGATTTTAGATAGTGTGTAGTGGGCCTAGCGACTGGTACATATCAAGTCGAGCTCTTCCAGTCGGTGGCATTTGCTCCGACCAAGCATTCTAGCGGCAGCGCTAGCGGAGAAATTGCTGCTATTTTTACTAGCATCTATCGCTGTCATTCATGAACTGAGAATTCTGCCCATGTCTCACTGCAATTAGACTATTTACCGAACAACTCAATGGTCTCCGGGGCCTAAATTTTGAGAGGTTCAAATGCGGCTCAAGGCCGTGTTGATCATTGGCAGAGTAGCAGATTGCCGTTGCATTCAATATCCAACTCAATTATAAGCACTAAATAACCGTACTGAATCTGCAGGGCCCAGACTAACCAGTGGGAAAATTGAATAGGGCGATAGTGTGAAAAAGGCATATAGGCTCTTCATCCAGTAATGTTCCACCAGAATTGACACCGGTCCGAGTTCACCGGATCGGAGGTGATCGCAATATTTTGCAGGCCCAAATTCATCACGCGCCCATCTTTCGAGTATTCCTCCCACTCGATGGCCATATTTTCGGCCGAAGTGGGAAAGCCTTGATTCAAAAACGTAATGATATAATCCTGCATGGCCAGCGCGAGACTTGCGTTGAATAGCCCCAATTCCGTATCGGGCTGGGAATGGTCCCAGAAGTTGAATGCCACATCTTGGGCATGCACACCCGGTGGCACGCTGAATACCGACGCGTATGAGGTATCGAATACATTATCGAGGTAGAGGTTCTTGCATTGAAAGAATGCATCGCTCATGAAGACCGATGTTCGCTCTAAGGGATTGCTATATCCCAATGTCTCCGAGGATAAGGATGAAGCGTTGTAGACCGGGGGATACCAATATTGGACGATTTGATCCACAGTTTTGGGCGATAGACTTGGAATATAAGTCTCGATGAGGGATTGGAAGGCTGAGCTGTTCACGCCTGCTGGCGGAGTGAAAGTCAGCCCTTCATTGATTGTGTGGCTTGTCATCACGCGGATGTTCTTCCATTTGAAATCTGGATCCAGTAAAATCCTGCTTGGAAGATCTGTTATGAATGTGTCATCAATAACCGGCCCATAAGTATATGTTCCGTACACAGATGTAGTGGCTATCTGGTAGGCATTAGCAGTAATCAGCTGATTTGATGGAAGTTGACGGGCCTCTTCGAGAGAGGTCACGTTCAATAATTCCAGGAAGTGTTGGAAAGTCGACTTCTGTAGTTCAACTGATTGCATATACCACCCTGGGCTCTGAATAATCGCCTGCTGGAAAGGCACCTCCCTCCCCACCCCCGTAGATGCTGCCAATTGATGGACGATAGAACCCCCTCCAGCAGACTCACCCATGATAGTCACTCGCCCAGGATCACCACCAAACAGACTAATATATTTTTTCACCCACTCCAATGCTAAGCGTTGATCATAAAGCCCAGCATTGCCCAGGCCTTCGCCATCAGACAGCCACCCAAATGCTCCCAGCTTCGTAGGTTAGCCTGCGGTCTCACCAAACCTGAAGGTAAACCGAAATCTTACTCACCCGATAATTCACTGCAACATACACAAAATCCTTTCCAATCTCCGAACCCCTCTCCAAAAGTCCCGTAGGCAGTACCTCTGTCTTATCACCAGTAACAAAGCCTCCTCCATCAAACCAAACCAGCACCGGCGCAGCCTCTGACCCTTCAAAAACGCTTTGGGGCACGACCACATCCAAGAAAAGGCAATCTTCCGTGATTCTTGCATCTGCGGGCGGCCAGACAATTGGATAATCACTTATATCATCAGACCCATTAAACGGCGTGCCTGTCAAAATGCTTTCAAGAAACGGGATCAGGATTTCTGTTGTCCATATAGGTTCGCCTTGGGGACACACGCGTCCAACGGCGCCATTCTGGATTTCGGTTCTATTCGGTGATGGAGGCAGCGGTGGGCGAAAGCGCTGGGTAGATACAGGTGGTGCGGCGTAGCGAATGTTACTAAAGTTATAGGCTTGGGTTGATTGCTGGGACGAATTAATCAATTTATTGAATGTGTTAGTACTTTGGTACAGGTAGGTACTTACATCGAGAGAAAATGCCTGGTGTAGCTCATAACCCAGATCTACGATGGGTAAGGATTTGGAGTGAGCATATGATGAGATAGAGGAGATAAGACTGAGGGGAAGTATGTAGCCTTTCTTCCGGAGATGCATAGTAAGCAATCGCACTGCAAGATAGTGATTATGTGCGGCAAACAGTATGGCTTGTGGGTGTGGGTGTGTGATATCTGTGTGTGTGATATCAACTGTCAATAACTGTCGATTGTGATAGTAATCTGCTTATATTTAGAACGGACCGACGGGGGAGTCATTGGAAGAGTGTGCTGGCCAAGTCTCCAAGGAATGTTAATCGGAAGATAATCGAGACGGTGTAGTTATAGTTCAATAGTTTATGCCGATGTCGCATCATCGCAACTCAATAAAGGTGACAATGATCACTTGCGTCCCGAGAACTGTTGTAACCTTCCTCTCCCGGGCCAGCCAAGTATTGAATTATTCGTAGATCCAGATATGAAGCGCAGGAGAGATTTCATGGTAGTGGGATGTTTTCAGCCACTTTATCCAACATCCGCAACCAACCAACCTTCCGAATCCGGAATGTGACACACCGACCGAGTAGTAGGTGCCTTCCGCATCTTAAATCCGCCAGCCGCGCCACAAAAATGACAATTCTATCAAGATTAGCAATTCCATTCAAAATGCTACTATACTACCATACTACTATGCTCACATATTCCAATCACACTTCAAGTCCAACCCAATTCACGAATCATCCACCTCCCTAATCCCCACTCCAAACATCCCATTCGACTCCACCGCACTCTCGTCCTTCAATTTCTCCGCGGTCTCTACGCCTCCAGCAGGCACTTTGTACTCGAATCTCTTCCCTGGCGCGGGTGTCCTTCCATCCGGTAGTTGGTACGGAAAAGGCAACCATTGTGGCAGGAGACCCAACTGAACGAGAACGGTCGCTTGATCCCATGCGATGTGCTCGTGGTAGAGTCGGTCGCCGCGGATGTTGACGACCGATGTAAAGGGGATGCGAAGCGGTTTGTGGGTTGGGGGAATGCCGGGGACCCTGTCATATCCTTGTCAGCTGCTACTCACATGTTCTAATTAATATTTGGAAGCTTGTTAAGAGGTGAAGCATACAACCAATCTACCTCCTTATCATGTGTAAAGGAGAAAATAAACTCATCTACAACGCGATCAATACCCACAGTCCGACTTATCAGCTCTAGAGCGGTGTCGTCGGGGTTGTTGAAGATGAAGTGGTGGAGGTAAAAGTTGCTTAGTTTGGTGCGGCCAATGCCGCCGGTCATCTGTGTTGGTAATTAGTATGAGATAGAATGAAGGGGCGAGCAAGTGGCTTACGGTCGGGATATGGTTCACATATGGTTCTTGAACCATTGTGGCCATGGTCTTTTCGACAGATCGAACATCGAATTCGTAGTATGTGTGTTCGGCCCAGATTTTCTCCAGGTCGAAGTATGGCCCGCTCAGGTGACTCTTGAGGAAGGTGAGGGAACGGGTATGCGCTACACTGGCAGTGGAGTATTTGAAGTCGGGGTGACCGGGGATGATGAAGCCGGGAGAGGATACGTCGGGGTAGACGTAGTTGGTGCCATTGGTAGTGGGTGCATGGGACCCTGGGATGTGCATGAGTGTTGGAGTATCGGAGGAAGCGTCCCAAATGCTGTGGTATACTATTGCTGCAAACTTATTTGTGCCACTGATGTGGGCCAGCAGTGAGTGGATGAAAGTTGGGGCGTAATCGGATTGGGAGCCGTAGACTAAGGTCCACGTTAGTGTGTGTAACGGATAATTTCGAACTGGGGGAATATAGACCTAATATGCCGAATTTCTCCTTGTCATTGCATTCAGACAGGGCGATTAAGCCGGCAATTGCGCTGTCAATTCTGATCGACAGTAGAGAAGCGTTTGCGCTTGAGTCTGAGTCGAAAGTGATCTGCGCAACTACATAGCTTTCCTCGGCCCACTTCTGCAGTGGCTCTGGGTCTAGACTGGTATTTTTGTTCTGGCATTCTGCAACATTGGCTGATCTTATCAAAATCAGGCCTGGACCCTGTCCGCATCGTGAAAGAGGGGGTTGAAGGATGATGTTGTCGCCCAGGTTGACGCGCGGGACGGATGGAAGCGAAGTAGAGTTGGAGGTCATTATAGTTGAGGAGATTCTGATACTACACGCAATAGTTCAGGATCAAAAAGTATGTCGCAGGGAGAAATTACCCTGGCGGAAATTTCAGGGTTCAAGCTTGACCATCGGCACGGCGGAACACGCCCCGCAGTCTGCGGGGTTAGATCCGAGATTCTGCTGCGGCACTTATCGTCGGTTGTCTATCGCGATTTGTCGTACTACATAGATATCAATGTGGTGGGACTGCTAGGATATTCTATACTTATCACGATCCGGGCATCGGTTTGGATCCGTGATGTCTGCAATGGAGAAAGCAATAATGGTACATCTACTTGAATGTCTATACACGAGTCAAGTATAGGGAATAGATCCATCATTGAAGTCTGAAATACGATTGTTCTTCCTCTGCTTCTCCTGACCACGACATGTCCTACGAACAACCGAGATGATTCCACATCTACAGACTGAACCATTGATTGAAAACATTCTCAGGGTCATACTTTGCTTTGATGGCTTTCAGACGATCGACGTTGTCGCCATACACAACCGAAAGATCTTCATCGAAGGCGAAATTGATGTACCTAGAACCAACCAACCGAAGTTAGTCCTGGAAGAATATCTGTAGAGGGCACATACACAGCTGGTGAGTCCAATCCATCAGTTGACCGCCATAAATCACGCATTTTAGAAGCCCATTTTCTCGCGTTCGATTCCAGGCTGTCGTCCATGTACCATGCTATAGCCATCGCGTTGAAATTCACTTTGGTTCTCCAGGCGTAAGCTGACGAATCTTGACCAAAGAAGCGCGCCTTTTCGTGTGAATACGCCTCCAAGAGGACAATACTTTGGCCGGTGCCACCCAGGGAAACAAAAGAAACATACTCCTCCCAAGCCTCTTTCCAAGTGCTGCTGACCATCCGGCCAAGTCCGGCAGAGTATGGAATTCTGAACCCGCTTTTTGAACAGGCCATGCTGGGTGCATCAACCCAGTGAGCGTACTCAGTTGCCATCGTAGTGTCGTTAGTTGGACCTAGGTCGAAAAAACATGAAAATGCAGCCCGCCCTTTTTCTTCGGTACCGTAGTAATATAGCATGAGAGCAACCATAGGCGTATTGTCTGGTTCACCACTAGTCATAAAATACATAAAGACGCTCATTTCCGGCTCTAGAGTTATCCTGTCGATTGTATCAACCAAAGCTTCCAATTTGTCGGCAGAGAAGACAAGTTGCCCCGTCCAGGCGGCTTGGCCAAAGGCTGAAACAGGGTATGATTTCATCTTTGCGGACGTGACAATGCCAAAGTTGGGACCAGCACCGCGAAGAGCCCAAAAGAGATCTATGTCTTTGGGTGTGATTGTATGCAGACAACCGTCAGCCATGACCAGATTCAGAGATAGTACGTTATCTATCCCGAAGCCGAATATACCCATCAGGCTACCATAACCGCCCCCGAGAAGAGCCCCCAGAGCTCCGATACAGTTGCAATTGTTTGTCTGAATTAGAGAGTTATTCTTTGCTGAAGCCTCGATCACCTGCGCGACAGAAGCGCCACCTCCAACAATTACTTCTCTCCTGTTCTTGCTGAAGGTGACTTCATCAAGCTGTTTGAGATTGATGAGCAATCCATCCTCATCCAGGTGAATCGTTTGTGCCCATTCATGCCCACCATTCTGGGCTAGAAATGATATATTATTCGAAGTGCAATATGAGACCTGTTATAGGCTTTCACATTAGCCGTTGCAACCCTTGCTATGCATTCAGAACAATCGAACAACATACGATTGCGGCCACATCCTGCTCAGTAGCCGGTGTTACCACAACGCTAGGCGTAGGTGTGTTGGACTTAATCCAGCGCTCATATCTGGTTGCATCCCAGGCAGATATCACAGCCGACTTTGATAGCTGAGGCCCCAGTTCCTCGCAAACCTCTGCTAGATGCAAGGCCCAGGGTTGATATCCGACAACTGATAGAAGAAGAGCAAGTGTGAATGGAGTTTTCATGATTGATGATTCTGTCGCCTTATACAGGTAGCCGAAAAGCATCGGACTATTGATTAAGATACAGAAAAGCCTCTAAGCGTTGCTAGTGATGTACCACTGGGGCAGAAAAGCGGCACTTGCATATCCGAGCAAACGTCATTATTGCCATCCCAGAACAGAGCCATTCTGCATCCCGCTCAGATATCCTTTCTTTGGCGCGGATATGTATCTAAGTGTTGGTCTCCTTGACGCGTAGTAATCGCGATGCTAGCTTGGAAAAATCATGTCAAAGGCAAGGGCGTATAACGCGTTGGGCCTACAACAGACACAGGTAGTGTCACATATATCTCAGCGCCGGATAGTAGGGAGAGATTAAAAAGTATGGTGTGTCATTTGTCACGCTAGAGCCTTCTACATTTTGCAAGCCTTGTGGCAGGTCGCACTAGGAGTAGCCAAGATATACTTTAGTAGGCTGCAGAGATAATATCAGGGATATGTGGCGAGTATTTGGTACAAATGCCCCGAGTTCGCCATTATATTGAGGCTAGAGGTTAAGAGAGCATTGACTACTGCAATTAGGTGTACTTCAACAATCCCGACACCGACATTGGATTTATTAGTTCTCCCTTGAGAATTGACCGAATGACAGCATGCGATGGCGGAAAGAACCGGCAGGTACCCCACAGTCACGTGATAGGTAGCTACGATCACGTGGATCTTCCGGCGATCTCATTGTTTGCCGACAACAAACCGAAAACTACAGAGCTTCTCCTCAATCGCATTGCAAGAGGTACCCCAGTTGTGGTTCGAATCTTGGGTTTTAGTAATCTCTCGGTGCTCTTATCTGATTACCACATTTGCTCTACCAATTGGGTGCGATATACCTTAAACCATTTGCAGGTCCTAGCTTGATCCTTGCCCATCGCAACGTTTTCGCGACAGCCTAAACGGACCAAAATGAACGTCGAGTTCCAAGGCACCCTCTCCAACCTGGAGAACAAACTAAACGTGCTTATAAATAGCCTGACAACATCACCAACAGCTGCAGGCGCCCCCGCCGCCGCGATCGGTTTATTGGACGCAGACGACTCGTTGACCTCCGCCGTCGAGACCCTCCGACAACACCAGCAGAACTATGCCAAAATTCTACGGCTCCGTGAAGAAGCCCAGGAACTGGAAGAGAAAGTCAAAAGCATTGTACGTGAGGTGATGGCCTATGAGAAGGAAATCACAACGACCTGTGGAGACGAGTCTGATAGCGACCTGGACTCGGAGGACGATTACTTGGACTATGACTCGGATGAAAACATGCAGGGTGAAAAGCCAAGATCTACTGGGTTACGGGGAATTAAGGAGGTGGACTACAAGCTACTTCTCGACTTCGCGCGGCGGATCAGCAAATACAACCACCAAGCGGCTTCCGATGCTGCAGCGACTGCAGAGGCCAAATCGCGAGAGAGAATCCAAGAGAAGGGACCGGATACAGAAATGACGGGCACAAATGGCAACCAGGATACTGAGACAGCGGAACCGGTCGCATCTGTGACCAAAGACGCGACTAGTTGGCTTGACGAATCGGCAAAGATGACTCGCCAGGCTTATATGCTACCGTATCCAATGGAAGATCGCATTCGACTGGGACTGATGGCGCAAATACAACTTGCTGCTGCCGAGGGTCGCCCAGGCTTTGAACCAGAGAAGGAAGTTGAACGCTTAATACACGAGGCTGAGGGTGTAGGGATCGCTGATGCGATGCCGCAGGTCGACGTCGGCGAAGAAGCGCGTCATGCAGATGAGGCCGCAAAAGCTGCAGCGCATGCTGGATCTGCGGCAACAAGCGGATCTGGGATGGGAGCCGCACCAATGCCAAAACCTAAGGCTACATTGGATCTCGATCTGTACGACCCGGATGAAGATGACGAATGATGCGATAGTGTTTACTGTACAGATAATGCTACCTGAGATGGACCAGCCAACAGCAGGCCTGTTGCTTCTGGACCTTTAAACACAGAAAAAAAAATAAACCTGGCTCCAGATTCACATCTTGTGCACTGACGACTTTGCTGTCCATTTCCTAAAACGCTTTCCATAAAAATAAAAGGGAATCGCGAAAAGACACCACAAGACTGCGAGGGACATGTTCAACATTATCGGTTTCACGAAGCCGCTCTTTTCTACCCACGGTGTAATGAACTCACTAAAACCATAACCCCACACGTTTTTGTTGACTGTGATCGAGACGAATATCGAGCCAGCAACCGGCTTATAGCTGTCCACTGCGTAGGTGCTAGTGATAGCTGGGATGGCAGCAACCTGGATACCAGCCGCTGTGTACCCTATTATAACAATAGCCTGGTGGGCAGTTCTCATTAGCGCGCAGGGCCTCTCGACCACGGATGAACATGGAAACTCACCCTCCAGTCCCATTGATATTGATATCCAAATGCCACCACAAAATTTCCAATTATGGATACGATCACGTATGGTATGATCGCGGGCAATCTCATTTCTGACTCTCGAATGCCCCGATTCCTTTTTGTGGCTTTCATGGAAATCCAGTCCGAAAGAGGTCCATTGGTTGCCAGTCCAATGAATGCCCCAATCCAGATCGCAAAGTTGAAGAAGCCGATGGTCTGGCTGGAGAAGTTGTATGGAGGCTTGGAGAAGGCCTCGCTTTGGGTGAGGTTTAGGGTCAGAAAGACACTGGCAGACCAGGAAACATTAAAGGCAGCAAACTCAACGATGGGGAAGCAGAGAAGCTTCCACGGAACCCAGAAGCTGATCAGCAGATTTTTTAGATTGTGGCCTTCTAGCTGCCAGAGTTTGAACTGCTGCTTCGATGGATAGCCTCTACCAAGCCATGGATCTGTATCGCTTCTCTCTATCGAAGCATTTTCCTTATGTGCCGCTGCGGCGGTTTTCTCTGGTTCTGATCCGGTATCGGAGGAGTTCAACTCCTCCTGTGCGTGAGTGTGTTCACCGGGGTGGACTCGGTGCCATTTGGTCTCGGGAAAGAGAAAAACGACGAGAATGAGCACCAGCCCCAGTAGCGCGACGTTGAACCAGAAAAAGCTACGCCAGCCAACATGCTGAGCCATTGGACCGGCAATTATAGGTCCGACCTATACGACTAGTCAGCCAGGGAGTTTGACAGCTTACTTCGTATCTTACCATGAGCGAGCCGAAATAGAATGTGAAGTAGAGCGTGTTGAAGGAACCTCTTTCGTGCAGAAAGATGGTGTCTGCAATGATCTCCGGCTGAGATGTCTACCGCTGTCTGTCAGTCTGACCCATGCTTCGGCTTTGGGATACCAACCTCGGCAGGGCCAGCTCCGAATCCATTGAGGATGCAGGCTCCCATATAACTACCATAGGATGTTGCCATGGCCCTCCAGATATTACTGGCTAAACAGATGAGAGTGGAGAATATCAAGACGGGTCTCCGACCATATGCGCTCTGTAGTGGAATCCTTATTGTCGTCAGCACCTTCGACGTTTGTGAAGATGGTCTAGGGCTTACCAAAAGAAGTTACTGAACCCCAACACAAGAATACACAAGCCGGTGAACTTGACAACGGCGGCATAGTCCGCATCGAAAGCCTCCATCAACTGAGGAAACATTGGTGCCAGGGCCAAAGGTCCTAGACCCTGACTGAAGGAAACCGCAGTGGACAAGCAGATAACAGTTATCTTCCACGTTTTGCTCCAGTTCTGAGGCTTTCGGTTAGCGTTAAAGATCTAATATTGCTCCGACTGCAGTACCACTTACCAAAGGATCATGTGGGCTTTGCGATGGCTGCGGGACGAGAACACGATCTGATCGCGACGACGCTTTCACGAAGTGGTGCGATCCAACATCTGCCATGATCTCTGTCCCTGGATAGATCTCAGTATTGAGCTCCCGCTCAATCCTGGAAATTATTAACAGCGATCAGTTCCTCAAGGGATTCCACATACTGATGGAGAGCCTACGCACCATCCTTGTCAGTACACCTCATCGCAACCAACACCCAGAAGATCACTTACCGCTTCATCATAATTCATCTCCATATCGAGATTCAACACAATAAGTTCTTCTACTTCAAATCAGCGAGCTCTAAAAAGCCCTACAATGCCCCTCAAACCTCACAGCCATCACCCATTTATCTACCAAAAGTCCCTTGCATTACCACCTACGCCAACACTCAGACCCTTCCCGCCCAACGCGGAATTCCCCCGGGCCCCAACACCCCCCATAGCCGACCCAAGGAACCCCGGACAGGCGATACGAACCCAGAGCGGGGGTTTCCGAAAGGAACGCCCAGAATGATACTAGCTGCTATAGCCGATCTTCTGAGCATGGATCCTTCATTGGTTCTTATAGCGTCCGCCTGTTCTGTCACGGAGATGTCTGTGCTGGGGGAGGGGAGACCCACTTCCCCGGATTTCGTTCCTTTCTCCACTTTCATTGCCGTTCGAGATGGCGGGAATATGCCGCTGTGGGGTTTGATGGCTGGACGGGACTACGTCAATGAATGGATTCTAGGTTTAGTCTCTTGAGTGGTCATTGACGTTGTACAAAGTACTATGTGCGTGGTTATGCATGGCTAGGAACAGGGAATAGATAGGGTCAGGGAGATGTGAGGCAGGTTTTCGCCGGCAATTCTGGTTTTCTTCTGTAGGATGGTACAACCATACTAATACTATATTATGACTGGCTGCAAGTTTCACCCAATCATATACTTTATTCCTGAAGTTAGTGATTCAGCTTCGGCTCTTCCTAACTGCCGCATCGGCACTCAACTAACTGTATCCAGAATTCACAAATCAAAGAATATAACCCAAACACATCAACACTATTACCCACCCAACCCACTACAAATACATAAACCCAACCCCAAAACATCCCTCACAAGCACACAAAGTTACAAATATATCAACAATCTACCTCTCCTCCCACAACCCCTTCAACCTCTGAATCTCCGAATCCGTCTCCCATCCCAAATCCGCCCCAATCCCGCACAATAACTCCTCAACAACCTGCCTCTCCTCCTGCTTCTCTACACACTGTCCCGCAGCGAACAGCAAAGCCGGCATATAAATCCTTGCACAGCTCTGGGGCCTCGCCGCCGCTATCCCCACAATCTCCTTACATCTGTAATCGACCTCCTTCGTGACCTCCCTGTACCCCTGTAGTCGGTCGAACGCGGTGGTGGGACTTGTGATGACGTCCGCGGGACGATTCAGACAGAGAGCTAGCCGACCGAAGTGGTATTGTTGCATAGTTGATGCGCAGGATGGGAGGCTGTAGTAGACTTCTGGGCGGGGAGTGTGCAGCCGTAAACACGGGCGGAATGTTTCGGGCATGCGGTCGACCCAGGATTGAAACGAGACGGAGAGGTCGAGCCAGGTTGTCGAGGTGGAGGTGGAGGTGGAGGTGGATGTTGGGGGTGTGGTTGGGGTTGTTCTGGTTGGGGGTGATGGGTGGGTGATGAGTTGGTCTAGTTGGGAGGTTCGGAGGTGGGCGAGGAAGTTGGTCAACTTGGATAGGAGGTAGGTGAGGCTGTTGGAGGCGAAGTCTTCCGGGGTGAAGAAGGAGGTGCTGCTTGAGGGGTCTATTTCGCCAGTTTCGGTGAAGGTAAGCCCGGCTGCGCGCCAGAGCGGGAGGTTGGTTGGGTCGAGGTAGGTGGGGAGGCGGTTGAAGTAGGAGGCTAGGTAGTCTTGTCGAGCGAAGTTCCAGAACGAGGCGTTGATGCCGTGTGTGAATCTTATGGGGTCGGAGGAGTTGCTGTTGAGGTGGAGGAGGGATTCGAACAGGGAGTTGACGCCGGTCAGGTATCTGTGTTTGTATATAGGTTAGATATAGGGTGTGGTGGTGGTGTAGGGTAAAGGGTTGGGGCTGATTACAAATTCCATTCCTCTCCGGCTTTGCTTATGAGTTTATACATGGTGAGTATGGTTGCTGTGGCTAGCAAGGCCTCTGTTTTCCTCCAAAACGTGTCGTCTCTTGCGGAGGGAGGAGTAGTCTCTGCATGGCGGTGCAGCCAGGTTTTCACGATTTCGACGGGGCCTTCCAGGACAGCGGAACTGGACAGAGTCGCAAAGGATTCTGGCATGCTTGAGTTCATGCGCGCGATTGACATATAGTAGTAGTTTGCGGCCTTGAGATACCAGTCCACTTCTGGCGCGTTGGGGTACGTCTCCATGGCTGCTGGGCTAGTCAACATGCCAACGTTTTCCGGACATGTCGCGCCCTTCATCTGGCCCAGATGTATTGCGGCTAAGGCGCCGATCGAGTATCTCACGTATGGATAATCTATCGCTCGTATGGGAACGTATGTTGTAAAGAACCTTCTACTATCGGAGAGGTCCAGCCTAACAACGTGTTTATGTTAGAATGCAAACTGATTACAAGTGTTGGGCGTTACGAACCATGGAGCGATATGTTGGGAGTAATGGCGTATAAGAAAGGAGATCTCGTGCTCAGAGTCGGTCATTAACTCTGATACCACCTCATGAAAATCCTCCTTATCACTTTGGACGGATTGGCTGTCATGAGCTGGTGATTGATCATCAGCTGTTGCATGCTCTTCATGATAAGTCATGGGTGCAGCCCCGTGGGGATGAAGTCTATCGTCAAAAGGGTTACCATGAATGTGAGAGACTTGAGTGGCACTACTATGCATCTCCGACAATGGCTGTTCACGCGCTGCAGCAGCACGAGCGCTGGTGTTCGGGCTATGTGGAATTTCCGCTTGTAATTGATTTTGACGTCTTGATTCGGCTATAGGCGAAGCAAAAAAATTTTGACTAGCGTCGGCTGGCTGATCGGCTGCAGCTGTTGCAGCTACACGCGTGTGTATTGGATCATTAGCAGCATTGCTTCTGATTGCAGCTCCTCCAATATTTGACGGACTTTCTCGCGTCACCTAATCGGTGTGAGCAGCAGTTGACTACCGAGGTTTACGGGCGGACGCGAGAACGGGTGTTTTATACCCTCGTGTATTTACTCACTTTATCGGGACTATGTGAAGGATCCCGTCGGGGGTTATCCTGCTGATATGGCGCATATCGACGCCGAACAGAGGCACCCTGATCGATAAACTTGCGAGTTTGTACATATCCCGGGCATTCAACTCCAGCATTGGTGCAACGCTGGCAGCTGGGGCGTGTCTCATCACACTGAGATGGTCAGATTGATGCAGCAAGTAAATTGTAACATGCGATTCTAACCTTCAGATGACGCTTCTTACATCGCTCACATGCCTTGTTTGATGGAACTCCCGGCATGGTGTACGCTTGCTGTGGCGTCAAACAAGGAGTCAAGGCTGGTCTTGGGGGCAAAGCAGACAATACTACTCATCCTAATGAGGGGAGTAGCTCAAACAGACCTCGCAGTTCATACACTTATGTAAAATGCAATGTACAATCGAGATATCTAGTTCCAAATGGTTGAACGAGGGAGCTTTCGTCGTCGCCGAGCTTGGCACACCGGGATCGGGCCTGGGATTCGCTCGGAGAAATGTCGGCACCGCTATCCGAGCCGGTACTTCTGGCCGGCTGTAGCCGAAATGTCCCAACATTTGCCAGCATCCGTGACACTTCTTTCAGGACAATGCGGAAGATTAGTCGGATAAAAACCAATATACAATTGCTGTGTCTTACTTAGTCGCACTGGTTCAAAAAATGTCTGACCTTCCTACCTAATACACATCTTTAAGGTCTGTTCCTTCTCAATCTCTCTCTTCGAAAGGGTACCATTACTAGCGCCTTCGCTTTCCTTCAGTTAGTCGTTAGTTCCCCGACATTGCTACTCTGCTTATGTATACTACACTCATTGCTAGCCGGCAGGGCAGTGAAGAAGACGCAGTCCTGGGCTACCTCATTGGGCACGAACTCAGCCTGTAATTGCGATGCCGCATTTGCAGTTGTGCCATCACGGCATCTATCATGAGGCATATGCTCAACGTAATTGAAAGAAGCCCTACGTGTGGTGAAAGGATTCTATGGTCTGTTAACCAGAGGACCAATATAGTGTGACTCTCCAAAATCATTCCAACTGATAATTTTAAACATGGTCAGGCTACAGATACCAGATCCGAAGCCAACGTTGATACCAGGTATCATCTCCTCGCCACTAACCGACCGAAAGTGGTCATACCAGCTTCTAATATTGTCGAGTGGATTGTTCCGCAGTGCTTTGACCGTCAATTTGATTAGCGCAACTACAATATCCTTTAAGACTCTGTCGTAGTCCTATCAGCAAAGCTTAATGCCTTATAAAACGATAATAAAAGGCCTGTGAAATGCGAATATATTATTAGCTATACCTAACCCTGACACTAATTCCAAAATGGCTTACGGAACAGTTAGGGGATAGAAAGGATTACACATAACAAGTCAACTAATGCAGTGCCGCTTTAATAGAGACAATAACTTTGATCACGGGGCACAGCTGCTGTCCCCGCATCTGTCAATGCCCAAAACAAACAGGCGGGCGGGGAAAGCCACCAGAAACATAACAGTGCATTATCCTCCTGTCATCGATCACTGACTACTAAGCACTACAGACAGTAAAATGGGCCAGGGTAGGTTACAAAACAAAACCGCTATTGTGACCGGAGGAGGTTCAGGATTCGGGGAAGGAATCGTCCACAAATTCATTCTCGAGGGCGCTAATGTGATCATTGTTGATATCAATCCGCTAGGAGGACTACTAGTGCAGAGTAATGAGCCACCAGGACGCGCTATCTTCCTTCAAGGAGATGTATCGAGTGAGTCTGATTGGAAGATGGTGCGTGAAGTGGCACTTGAGAAGTTTGGGAAGATTGACATCGTGGTCAATAATGCTGGGATTGTTCATACAGTGCAGGTATTCGGAAGTTTTCGTTTCTCTTACTTCGTTTTTATGCCTGTGTTGGTTTTTATGACGTTTACTGATAGCATAACAGCCTTCTCTTGAGACATCCGAGGACATGCTGGACCGTATGTACAAAGTGAATGTTAAGAGTATCTATCACTCAGCCAAGACTATTGCTCCCAACTTTCAAGCCCAGGGTGGGGGTGTTTTTGTGAATATCTCAAGTATGAGCTCCATTCGCCCTCGGCCAAAGTACGCTTGGTACTCTGCTACGAAGGGGGGTGTGAGTGCGGTATGTCTGTTCATTCCTTACCACTTTTACGTGTGGAGAGAGTCTTACGATGAGCACAGGCGACCAAGAGCCTGGCTGCAGAATTTGCGAAGGATAACATTCGTCTCAACACTGTGTGTCCCGTTGCAGGCGAAACTGGAATGTAAGTATCGATTCCGATTCTCCGCTCTCATGATTACCTTGCATGGATGCTAATACATGGCCAGGATGCCTCTTATTCTTGGGGGTCAGGACACACCCGAGAATAGAAGCAATATTCTGTCTAGCATCCCGCTGGGGCGATTTGCCACTCCGGAAGATGTCGCCAATGCCACCACATTTCTGGCAAGTGATGAGGCTTCGTTCATCACGGGGGTTGAATTGCCGGTAGATGGGGGGAGATCATTGTAATTGCGATATTGAACTACGGACATTAAGGAACACTCAGTGGCTTTGTGATTATGTACTGGGGACCTCTGAAATAAGCCATCTGGCACCATTTATCATGTCCTGTGTAGCAGTCCTCGTTGTGGTCAGTTCCGGAAATATCCAGAACGCGTGGGGCATTCCCGGGTAGACAGCAACCCGCACTGGTATGCTAGACATGTAGTCAGCGCTAATTGAAGGCGCACATTTTAGAAGAGCTAATGTACCCCCTTTCTTCAAGTTTGTCCGCATAGGCTAGGGCCTCATCGCGGAGCGGGTCACGGCCACATATCATGATAATAGATGGCGGAGATCCACCAAGATCGCGGGACAATAGTGGAGATACCGTAGGATCTGCCCGGTCATAAGGCTGATACCACTCAATGAATTGCTTCATTGAGCACTGATCGAGGATTGGTGTATCAACGAAATGTTCCATACTTTTCAGCCCCATTCTCTGGTAATGCAGCTCACTAGAGCATAAGACTGGAGACCTAAGTAGCTGACCCCGGATATCGACTCCCAAAGTCGGGGATAGTTGGGACAGTACAGCAGCCTAGGTGAAAAAGTGTTCCATTCTATTAGTAGGGGCATCATCCAGTCAATTACCAGAAACCATTGAAGTTTCATACCAAGTTTGCCCCAGCACTAGTCCCCCCAACGTAAATCTTACTCTTATCAAATCCATGGGTCAGATTGTTTTGGCATACCTATTAAGAGAGATGCTATTAGCTATAGCTAGTACTGTGTGACTGAGAGGATGATAATATACCCAACGAAGTGCTGTGATCGCATCTTCAATAGCTGCTGGATGCGGATTCTCTGGTGCACTGCATGATCCCATCGTTCAATGGTTAGCGAAGCCTCTGAAACCAATGGGTCACTTACAGGCGATAGTCAACGCTGACCACATTTAGCATGGCTTGCACACATAGAACCCGACAGATATTGTCTTCTCCTTCCAGATCTCCCAAGGCCCAGCCCCCTCCATGGAAGCTTCACGTCCGATATAACACTATTAGACCGTTCCGAAGCATAAGATCTCACCAAATACGTACTAGATCATGACGGCCCCATTTGCTTCAGGAGACACTGGCTTGTATATTCTCAGTTTCAATCTCGACGGAGAGTATGTACTTAAGTCATCAACTTTAAGTCCTTCAACTATTGGCGTTCCATGTTTTTGTGCACGCAACTTGGCTTCGCGCATTGTTTCACGATATTGCTGTACTGGGCCAGTCAGATGAGGAACCTTGCTTCTGTTATTGCGATAAAACTGGCTTTGAAATCAGCTTCCCATTACTTTGCCAGTAGCTATTGGGGCAATTTGCAAGCATCTTACCTTTTCCCATTCCACATTCTCTTTGGCAAAGGCATCCCTTTGCGATATCCACCGGCCAGTGCTGGCACTGGACATCTGTTCTCGACTCATGGCGATCTACTAGCACTGGGCTAGCCTGGAGTATGTTTGAGATTGAGGATATCCTCCAAAAAGGCGACCGTCCACATTCTCTTGGTAGTGTAAGGACTGGAATGCATTCGCTTGTTCCCGCTTTTTAGAAGCTGTATATAATGTCATCATAATGATCATTGCATGATGCATGGCATTCTTTAACACGTTTTTGGCACCGGGATGCGGGCATGTGACCAGACATCCACAGCGACCACGTCCAGAAACTGCCCGTGAGAGCTACATATATCTCAATGTTCTTCTGCAATTTCACTCGCTAGATACCTTTCAGACTTATGTGAGGGAACTGACAAGCATATATTTCACTTCAACCAATCTTCTCGGATTTCAATGCTGGTACCCCCAAACGTGTCTCTAATGTTTTCGGCGTCTACAAGTATTCTTAACTATGTCAAAACCATGCCTTCCCTGAAGGTACAATGGACGCGACTTGACCCTCCTTTGATCCCCAGAAGGCTTACATACACACGTCATCGGCGTGGGAATTCCGGCTAGGGCTCTCCGCACATAGTCTTGTCAATTGGTATGAAAGGTTGAAGGGTCAGTGCTAGGCAACAGATGTGCCATAACTATGTAGTTCTTCTTCTGCTGCAGTTGTGATGAGACAGCGTGTGCCGATTCAATCCACGATTAGAATACTCCTCACTGCGGATGGAACATTATGACAGGGGATCGTCGGCTCTCCGCATTTCGGCTCTCGGATCATTTCATCCCTTGCAGGGACTGGCCAACACGCTGCTCCGATGGAGCGTTACACGCAGTAGCTGGCTACTGTTCCCGATGAGGAATCAGACCGTGTCAATCGCTGCAGCTAAAGCAATTCTGCCAGTATCAGTGGGGTGTCAAACGAAGCGTGATGCTATGATTGGCCTCGGCAGTATGATAATTTCCTCTCTTCTACCCCTCATACAGTCACGCTGCGCACAAGAGAGGGGTGGGCTTTTTTGGACCTCAAGTCGCGGGGAATTTGGGTTACAATGGAATGTCACTACGCGCGACGCTCCTGTCGTTAAATACCAGGCTTCATGGCCGGTTGCTCCGGATTCTGCAGCACCTGCAGGGTCAAAATCGAAGCTCTAGTCTTGCCAAAATGCTCTTGTCATTAAAGGCACACAAAGCACTACCAGCAATCTTTCTAGCTTGCGGTCTTGTGGCTGGGCAAGAGAGCAGTAACTTGACCTTCGATGTACTGGACTACGTTAATCCCCTGATAGGTACCTCCAATGGAGGTAAGAATATTCCTTTGAGATTATCAACTCGCCAGGCTAATACAGCTCTACAGGTCATTCATTTGCAGGGGCAACTCTACCCTTTGGTCAGAAGTCTCCACGTGCCGGAAAGTCTTCATGCCCTCTGACAGGTTTTAGGAATGGCAAAAGCGGTAGCAGATACAATTGGTGAAAACCAAGCCGGTTTCGCCTATGACACGACATACGTCTCGGGATTCTCCCACATGCATGACGATGGAACCGGTGGCGTGAGTCATCTCGCTCAATGGTATGCTGTTTCATGCTGACTGTTGTCCTTCAGTCACCATCTCTGGGCAATTTCCCCATTTTTGTGCACCCAGAATGTCCAAATGATGCACTCGACAAGTGTACATGGCAACAGGCCGATCGTGCGATTCCTTGGACGAAAGGCTCCCCAAAAGCGCGCCCTGGTTACTTTAGTATTACGCTTCAAAGTGGTGTATTTGCAGAGATGACTGTCACAAACCATTCAGCTTTGTATCGGTTCACCTTCGAAAACACGACCGAGTCGCTCAGTCCTGTGGTTCTCGTTGATCTCATGGATCTCCCACAGTCGCGCACTAATGGAACAGCATCAGTGAATCCATCAACGGGTCGCTTGACAGGAAATGGTACCTTCAGCCCCAGCTTTGGTATCGGAACTTACGATCTCCACTTTTGCGTAGATTTCAAAGGTGGTGTCGTTCGAGACACGGGTGTATGGTCCAACAATCGCGCCGGTCAAGGACAGACAACCGTATCACTCACATCTGATGGGAGCAACACCGCCGCGACCCTCTCTGCTGGCACATTTGCCCGATTCAATATGTCAACGGATGACCAAGCACTAATGGCAAGAGTAGGTGTGAGCTTCATCAGCGTAGAACAGGCCTGCTCCAACGCTGAAAAGGAGCAGCCGAATTTTGACTTCGCTGGAACAGTGAACGCGGCAGAGGACGCATGGAGGGACAAACTGAATGTCTTTAGTGTTAACCCGGGAAATGTCTCATCCGATCTACAGCAAGTATTCTGGAGCGGCATGTATCGTACAATGATAAGCCCGCAGGACTATACAGGAGAAAACCCACTCTGGCAGAGTGACGAGCCGTATTATGACAGCTATTACTGGTGAGTGGACCGCTTGGAGATTCCCACATCTTACTTACGACTAGATAGTATATGGGACTCCTTCCGCGGCGTTCATCAGCTTCTGACGCTAGCCGATCCGCTGTCTCAATCTCGAATGATGAGAAGCCTGGTGGACATCTACCGCCACGAAGGCTACCTACCAGACTGCCGAATGTCATTATGTAAGGGATATACGCAGGGAGGGTCAAATGCGGATGTTCTTCTCGCCGAAGCTCTCTTGAAGAATGTCAGCGATATTGATTGGGCTACTGCGTATGAAGCTGTTGTGAAAGATGCGGAGGTTGAGCCCGCGAACTGGAATGTCGAGGGTCGCGGTGGACTAACTAGCTGGAAAACACTCAACTATATTCCAACCGACGATTTCGATCCATATGGTGTTGGGCTGCATACACGCAGTATCTCCAGGACTGTCGAATATGCGTACGATGACTTTTGTATTGCACAGATGGCCCAGCGTCTGGGTCATCAGAGTGACTACGAAACGTACATGCTGCGTGCCAACAACTGGCAGAACATGTTCAAGGATGATCAAAAATCTTACCTGCAGGGGAAGGACACTAACTTCACAGGGTTCCTACAGCCTCGATACCCCAACGGGACTTGGGGCTATCAAGATCCCATCTTCTGCAGTCCCTTATTGAATTTCACATCTTGTTACTTGAGTGCGGATGGGCACGAGACTTATGAGGGAAGTTCTTGGCTCTATTCATTGTGAGTTTCATACAATTATTCCTATGTCTGCATAACTATTGAACTAATTTTCGAAGCTTTGTACCCCAAGACATGGCTGCATTAGTCACACGATTAGGCGGACCGCAGACCTTCACATCTCGCCTTTCTTATCTACATGACTCTGGTCTCCTTTACGTTGGTGACGAGCAGGCCTTCCTCACCGTATTCCAATTTCATTACTCCGGACGGCCCGCGCTATCGACTCAGCGTGCTCACTACTACATCCCCTCCCAATTCAACACCTCTGTCTCTGGTATTCCCGGCAACGACGATGGGGGAGCCATGGGCGCGTTCGCGGTCCTTAGCATGATGGGTCTGTTCCCAGTCCATGGTCAAGACGTGTACCTCATTAGCCCGCCGTTCTTTGAGGAGATCAGCATACAAAACAAGCAGACTGGAAAGCTCGCCACGATACGAAATGTCAACTTCGACCCTACGTATCAGTCGATCTATATCCAGAGCGCCAAACGGGACGGCCAAGCATGGACGAAGAATTGGATCAGCCATGACTTTTTCCTTAATGGAGGGACCCTCGAGCTTGAGCTAGGCCCTACTGAGAGTGACTGGGGAACTCGGGACGAGGATTTGCCCCCGAGCATGAGCAATTACTGATCGCTTAGATGCCTCTATTCCTCGTCCCTAGCTACCGTACGTGCCTTTGGGCTTTTTTGCAACCTTTTCTGGATCGGGCACACGGGTCATAATGTGGATATTGCCTGAATAGCTTATGATCTGGGTCTAGCCTAGTGTCATTTCGTGTGTTCCATCTACAATCCAGTAGCTATCACCGGTCATTTTCTTCCCGAAAACAGGTCCCACCGATATACCTCACCCAATAGCTGGACTCAGAGTAGATACTGATCCGGGGAGACAGGCTCATCAACGTGACCCAGAAGGCTGAAACTCCCTTGATGGCCTTCCCAAGAACCCCCCTCTCCTTAACTGACACGCCAGTCACCACAGCCACCACGCTCAGCGACACCACCGTAAGAGTCACATTGCGCATGGCGGGCCTCATCCGCGGCGCCGTTATCTTAGCCACCTGTTCCCTAAACGCAACCGGATCATTCCCTTTCGGAAATGGAGAATCCGGCACCTTCTCACCAAGAAGCTATACACATCCATTATTAGCAAGTCAACAAACGGCCCGAAACCAACCCTCACCCCAGAGCAAAGACGAGTAATACTTAGGAACACAACCAAAACCTCTCTGCATTAAACACCTTCACAAACCACGCCACCCAACTGTCTTCTATATCGCTCACCACCGTCTTCATTATGATTCTATGCCACGCTTCCAGATCGCTTCGAGTATTCAAAATCACTTTCGCCTCCGGATACGCCTCAATCAAACTCTGCCGCAAACATGGCAGGCACTGAGTCCAACACCGCATCGTGCTCGCCTAAGAGAGCGTCGAATTACGCCGCCCGCGTTATTTGGACGTCGCTGTCAACGGCGCCCGCGTATTTGTGTCGTGCTAGATGCGCCCATTCTTGGATGTAGCCACCGTTGGAATTGGAGACGAGCGTCCAGCCGTAGTACGGCCTGTAGTTGAGTCCTTCGAGAGCGTGGCTGAGACTTTCTGTTGCGGAGCGCGGGAGGCCTGCGCAGATGAGGCGGAGGGGGCGTATGCGTGTTCGGGGTGGGGGTTGGGGGTTGGGGGCTGGGGGTAGCTGTAGAGGGTGGATTTAAGATGTTCATTGTTATGGTGGTTTGGTTGGGGTGGGATGGTGTGGATGATGGGTGGGTTGGGGTCTGCTTTGTTTAGGAAATTAATGGTTAACTACGAAGGTAAGACAAGGCTGATAGAAGCTCGGTTTAACTCTTCTCTTATGGAGTCAGTTGGCATTTATTGTTATTGGGTTGGAGCTTAGCTCTTTAGGGTCTGGGTTGTAGCCTGTGACAGAGTGTTGTTTAGTGCTTACGGGGTTACCTAAGCTCATTTGGGTATGGGCAAAGAAGGCTGTCTTTTATTCTTGTCGACGAGGTCAAGATATGCGTTTCTCTTCCGACTTTATTGATTACTAACCTATCATGTTGACCGAAATAAACGGATTGAATATTGATTTCGTTGGATGGAGGTACATTTGCGCTGGCTCCAGCCCTCTTATGCTCCGTTCTGGAGCAAACATGTCTATCTCTATAGATTGAAGAGGAAGAAGACGAGAAAAAGGAGAATACACTTAAGTTAGTGTCTAGATATATGATAATAGATCCTAATTATATACTAAGTTACTAACTAAACTCAGAAATCAATATTATCATCTTTAAATACTTGAAACTCTATACAATAATTGATTAAAAGAAACCAAATTATTTCACTCCTTTCCGTGTAGGAAGCACTATTGAACAATACTAGTTTTAAACTTATTAGATATTATTTGTGTATTATCCTGTTGTGAAGATTTCCTACTACATTATAGTTTATAACTACTATACTGGTATATAACAGACCTGATAGTATATAATATAGTAATATACAGAGGAAATATGTAAGAATACTTTCTTATATATTTAACTAGTTCTGTTCTTTATACTTAGCATACTTATCTTTAAATAATTATATATTTGAAAGCTTAGTTACAGAATACTTAGCTGTAATTATTCATAAATAGCTATGTATAGTACTATTCAGCCTTACTTCTCTTCTCTTATTTATAACTAAGTTATCTCTCAGATAATTATCAGTTAAATATCTTCTTGACATAGATCAACAGTACATATACCAACAGGACTAAGCTAACTGGGACAGGGAAGCGATCCTAGGGTTTGATATAAATCTCCTATATTTTATGATTAGTTTCTTATCTAATTAGTAGGTTCCCTATCCTGACAAATAGATCCTATCACATATAGTTTGGTATCTGACTTTGAAATCTCTGACCTCCCTTCCCACGCCTGAGCATTTTGTTGTGGTGTGCAGAGTTGGTAACTGAGCAAAGAGCAGCCAGTCCAAGAAGAAAAAGGGGTCATGGCAAAACCGCATCATCCTTCTGCTCTAGAATCACGGTCAATATTCGAACAATTTAGATGCATAATTTATCTCATGGGGCTTGCTCTGTATGGTGTAACATGTCATGGATTTTATAGTAGACAAGATCCGTCATATACCATGTATATTTCAAATAAAGATAGCTGTGAAGTCCAATAAGTGAAGACGTATGATATAAAATCTCTGAAGACGTTTCGCTTACACCTCCCACAGTAAGAGTGATCGTAATGAGTTTCTAGTACTATTTGCTGTTTTCTTACTTAGAGATTACATGCAAGCAGAATGTGACTGACAGAGTTGAGGGGATCTCGGATTCGAAACCACGAATTCAAGCACAGGGTGGTGGGCTCGAATGATCGACATGCGTCATGTGGCGTACCTGAAGTTGATAGCGTTTGACACTAATCTTAATTTACCTTTATAAGGACAGAAACTGTGGGTCATTACCGCATGGGCTTTATTTGCCGAGCAAACATGCGGGTTGCCATTGGCCGCATCCGGATCCCCGCCTGTTATACGGGTCGGCATAGTATTGCTCACGGAAATCGAATCAGCCCTGGCAGTTCCTTCATCGATAATAAGCTCCGACATGGAGTCATCCCCGCACCTAAGGAATTTGAGGCGAGTGGGGCTTGAGCTGTTATTTTATGAAAATAATGTGCTGAACACGTCAGAGATGTCGGAATCCCTGGTCAGCAGGATCGGCGGAGAGAGATACTGTACATTTATTGTCGGTCTAGTGAACGTGGATAACCCTCCTCAACCTATTAATAGACCCCTTCATTGCAATAAACAAATCCCACTAAAACGAAAACCGATCACTACATTTACCTACCACACCCTCTTCGGCTACAACAATTATCCCACCCGCAGTAAGGATGCTGCTTAAAATGCACCACGCCATGCTCGCACGTAACCCCAGGCTTAAATGCGTGCAGTATGAGGTCCGGCGCCCCCCGCCGCAGCAGATGTAGCGCCGCTGTCTCACGTAGCGACGTGCAGCTGGGCTTATATGTCAGTGGTCTCTGCGGCGGGAGTGGAGGTGTGAAGAATCGGGGGGGAGCTCCCGGCGGCTGCCAGTGCATCATGGTGGAAGGCGTCGGACGCAGATCCGGGCGAAGTTGCGGAGCTGTGGCGTAGTTGTTAAAGTTGATGTTCGACCCGTACAAGCGTATCTTTGTATCGCTAGGTGCCGAGATGTCAAGTGAGGATTCGGAAGCGACGCGGTGGACTGAGTGCAGTTGGGGGTCGCCATGGTGGCCCTTGCCCTTGTCATCCAGGATGCTGATGGGGGACTTCCGTGGTCGGTATGGTGGAGGTAAGTCGGAGGGGATGATGTGTGGCTATGGATTTTTATCAGAAAATCAAGCATACTAAAAGGGAAGATTGGGCAACATGCGGTAAGTATTTCGCCAATTTTCGCCTGGGATGGATCCGGCGGCTTAATGGATGAGGGCCTTGGTGGTGAAATTGGATGTTGATCCGTTCCCGTGGGTGTCATTCCCATCGTACCTAGTCGACGGCCTGCCAGGCGATCCTGCTCTTGTCTGCCTCGTAAGTCCTCCCAGTATTCTATTGTTTCCGCTCTTGATGAGGTTGCGCTAGAAGTCGACTCTTCACGGATGAGGCCAAGGGCCACAAGGCGGGGGGTAGGGCTCTGGATGACATGTATTAGCAAGGCCGTCTACTCAAATAGATACTTGCGAGCACTTACTGCTTGGGGTTGCAGCCCAAGGAACAGATGGAGATCCAGCTCGGCCAAGTTTAGCAGGTGGCTGGCAATGTTGAAATTGTCCATAAACAAGCTCCAGGCAATTGATAGATCCCAGTCGTCATCAGAGGTCCATTGCGAAGTGCCTATTAGCTCACCAAACTTGAGGCAGGAGTCAAGGTGGGATACGCAGGTCTGAAGTGCCTTTCCTGCCTCCTCGGACTGTTCCTGTGGCATTGCTGTTGCTCTCTCAAAGAACTTGGATTGGATATTCTGTGTTTCAATATATTGTAGAGCGTGCTCAACATCTGGATGAATTCTCAGATGATCCTGACGCTTCAATTTCTCTCCGAAAATGTGGAGTCGAGAGAACAGTCGCTGACAGCAACGTACAAGGGTCTTTTGGCTCAACATCATAACTTCATTAGCTGATGTGGGTCGGAGATATGGAAGTAAAGTGGGTTTCCAGCTCTATCAACAGTAAAGGCAACGGACATCCCTGGCAGTCCTGTTGGAGTATGGGCTGGCCTTACTTTTTGGTGGGAACATTGCTGTCGGGGCTTGATCTGATGCATCGCAAGGTGGCGCAAGTCCAGGCGGTCCATAATGTAGCAATCATATTAACGTCATATTATACCAGCTGCGTCAAATGGCAGCTTGACATCGCTGGTACATGCTTTGTAATACGATCTTTAATCTTCGGTAAAGACAGTTTCAAATACGAGCAACAATATAATTAGTGGGAGACATATAAAATGGATGACGCTAGAAGGCCTGTTGATATATATTAACGCCACTATGCTATATATTGTCGAATTTGACCTCTGCCATCTGTACAGGAACTCATGTGACCAATCGCCAGGTGATGTCTGCAAATAAGGAGAGACTGAAGATCCTCGCCCTTGGTAATTCCCCGACTAAAAATATGATTGCGGTGCTCGCTAACAAACTATCAGATGGCGGCGGTGTCAAGGGCCTATCATCATTGCTTATCCTAGAGAGAATCATGGCAAGGGTTGGTGCGAAGATGAAAAGGCCTGACTTGCAACCATATCAGTACTTCGACATCATTGGCGGAACGAGCACTGGAGGGTCAGTTTTACTGCGCATCGTGCCATTCCAATCATTTTATTATAAGCTGAAAATCTTCAGGCTAACTCTACCAGAATTATTGCCCTTATGTTAGGCCGTATGAGGATGACTGTCGAAAGCTGCATCGCCGAGTATCAGAAGCTTGGGAAGATTGTCTTCGGGGAGCCCCGGGGCCTCTTTTACGAAAACATGTTTGATGCGAAAGTCCTTGAAGAGCAGACAAAGAAAGTGGTGAAGAAGTATCTTGGGGATGAGAATGATCCTCTACTTGATCCTCTTGGAGATGATGCGTGCAAGACGTAAGTTCCAGAACATCGCAATCGTCCGTGCCACTACATATCAAGTACTGCGTTGCTCACACGCTAGCTGCAGCGTCGTCTACACCCTCCCGTACAGAGGTGCAACGCCTGAGGAGCCAGAGGCCTTGCGGACCTACATTAACGTCAATATCAACCCTAGGCCCAAACCCTGGACTATCTGGGAAGCGGTGCGCGCCACCTCAGCCGCTACAACCATCTTCGAGCCCTTCATACACGGCCAGTCTGGCAGCGAGATCCGGTATATCGACGCTGGGTTGGGCTTCAACAATCCTGCCGATCTCGTGCTTGAGGAGGCTACGTCGCTGTGGACCGACAATGGCTACCTCGATCCAGAACGCGACATTGGATGCTTTCTGACCATCGGCACGGGCATCAGTAGCGTCACACGTATGGACAAGAAGACCATCACAGACGCCATCACTGCCAAGGTTAGAAAGCCAGTGCAGGCTATAGAGGTGTTAATGAAAATTGCAACTGGTACAGGGCCTATACATAGGAACGTGGCACGGCGCTTCAACCCTACCAGCAATGTGTACCAGCGTTTCGATGTGGATCAGGGCATTCAGGCCTTCAATCTCTTTGATCACGAGAGACGCGAGGACATTGAGGTCGACACGAATGCGTATTTAGGAAAACATTCTATAGGTGTGCAGTTGTCGCAGGCTGTAGAGAAGATGAAGGTTCTCGGTCTTCGAACACCCGAGTTGATGGGGGATCGGAAGGAAGGGGGTGAAATTTATTCGGTGGGGGAAAATGGAGATGTCGACGACCAGAAGCTCAAGGACCGATTTGAAGCACTGAGGATGTAGGTTATCTGAGGGCATAGCATAACATCTTATTGCTTAGCTGAAGGTACGTAATTAGATCCAAACTGGATTTCCAACGTCATGCAAAGCACTGGGAGTCAAAGATTTCTGTGAATCAAGACCGAGGTAGTCAATATTATTATCTCCTATACAAAGGTGGGTCCGTCCGTCACCATTCCTGGTCGCATTCCTGCTGACACTGCAGAAATCGGCCATGTCCCATACCTATGGAACGCTTTTGTTCAGGCAGATCTGCTCGACAAACGCTACAGAGGCATCCTCGCCAGACGACTTCCCCAAGCTGATGAGTGGCAACTCTGCTTGCGCGGAAACCTTGCGCGAATAGCCTACGGCGTCGGACAGGAGGATCTTAAAACGACTGTCACCCGGCTAACTCTAGCTTACGAGGGACTGAGGGATACCTTCCGAATATACCGTCAGCTCTTCCACACCGCCCAGCAAGTGTTTGGTGAGACGAGTGTAACATACTGTTGGGCTGCGAAACGATTGGGAGCTTTGCTAGAGCTCTGGGGGTGTCAGAGTGAGGCTTTGGACTTGTACATTGAGGCACGGGCTGGCAAGTTGAGGTGGTTTACAACGGATCACTGGTCTACTAAGTGGCTAGAGAACAAGATCGCCGCACTAAGACACGCGCTTGTCGCACGCCAGAAGCCTGACTAAAGGGAGACATGCGCGCTGAGTGAGCTTTGGGTAAGTAGCGAGTTCGTCCTGGCGGTTCTTTGGGTAGACATAGGTGTATCCAGCCAGTCTTTGGCCCTATACCAGAAGTGTATTGACATTGCGGTGCAATAATATGAGGATATGAAAATCTCAAGTATTCTAACTAGTCAGATCTCTGAAAAGGAGTAGTACAATACTATTAGAGTGCCTCCTTGGGACCCGAGCACGACCACCTACCTGAGCACCCCAAAACCACGCATTTTGACTAATCTAACCTTACTACCAGTACTACTAATACTACTAAGGCTACTAATACTACCATAATTTCTAAGCAATATCTAATATTCACAATAAACAGAATACTCTAGCTCAGGAGTCAGGATTGATTATCTTTGTAGACTCTTAATCCGCAGATGAAGTAGTAATACTAATAAATAATTTCTTCATCAATCAATAAAAAAGTTTCTCTTCTGACTCCACGTGAAGCTGCAAATATCATATGTAAATATTAATATAAACAATATGGTAATAAATTAAAATGATGCTGAAGTCCTTGAGATTCCATAGGGTTGTTAAGAAACAACGTACGATACAGATATAGAAGGATAGGCTATCACTACAATCAAATGGGATTGAATAACTATGTAGTCTTTATCCAAATAGTAGATATGAATATAGAGGTATAACAATTGAAGCATCGTAATTCACGACCTTCATTGCCTCCAAGGCACCATTTTACCAGGGTATATTAACTATCTCGTATTCCCTACCTGCCTGGTTCTTCTAATATAAATACAATCAACTTTTCCCGGGGAAACTTAGTCTAGAATGTATTTTAGTCTTTCAATTTATACTATATTCGAAATCTGTCCTAGTGGGACGGAGACTACTTATACATATTCCCAACCTAGTAGTAAAACGAGGTCTAGTTCAGTAATATGTACAACTGCCAAGCAAGGACACATCCGTCATCGACCACATGGAAGTGGAGGAGGTGGTATCGTCAAACTACTGAGTACCGCCCTTGAGCGACCCGGGAGGAGGCCTGCCGTGTAGTAGTGCTCTGCCGACTATAGAAATCGGGGCCGGAGGCCGACTAGGCTTCCCAACAGAGAGGAGACCCTTATCATTCCGACGAAGGTTATCGCGCGAAGTCGCAGCTTCGGAGGTGTGGATGATTGAAAACAACTACCTTATAGGGGACATGGTGACCCCAAAGCTATACAACACCATAGTGTTATTACTTTACACGTGGAAGCATATCTTAGACCACCTACGAATACGAGGCATGTTATATGAAATTAGGAGGGGAACCGGCCACTTAGGCCGCACTAGCCGACCCGATATAACAATGAAACTCGACTGCATGTTCCGCCGGGTGATGTACTCATCACATCATGCTTGCACGGACTTTCCACTGATGAGCCTGAAAGTGGCACCTATTAGCTATTTAGAGCAGACTGAGTGACAAATTCTCGTGACGTGTCTTTAAACCGACTCCTTTACTTGATTATAGAATCTTGCCCAAAGGACTATCTCCTCGTTTGTCTTTCGCGAGGATTACTGTACAACAAATCCGCGAAAATGCCCTCCAGTACTACCAGGAACCGTGTTGTACTAGAGGGGCTGTTCAACACCATACTAGAATGGCGAAACATGTGCCTGAGGATGGCCATGTCAATATTCGCAGCCTGAAAGATGTCGAACATGTGGTTCGATTTGATTTCGAAAATTTAGACAATGCAGAGGCTAACCTGGCAATGGTTCCTCCTATCTTGTTTAAGCCAATGGATTTGGCGGATTTGGAGAAACATCCAGTCGATCTGAAGCTGGCACGAGAATTCGTTGATATCGATCAGGACGATAGCAATAGGGACTTCCCAATTGAACAGATAGATCGTGTACGTCAAGTCTCTACTTTTATCGAAGACCGCACTACTCGCGAGGCCCGGTCTCAGCAGAACCTCAGTTTTGTCCGGTAAGTCTCTTTTTACCTACCGAGTGACAAAGAACCTTTCCTAACATCATTGCGTATCAGAGCACCAGGAAGCACGTTTTGGCTTGAGGCCATTTTGGCCTATAACTATAGCAACAATGGTTGGTGGAAGACCAAGTGTCTGGTAGAGCCACTCCCCAAAGATGGCAAATCATATCCACACCTAGCCTTTCACCTTCTTGATGAGAAGGAAGCTCGGGAAGACGCCATTCTGTACTCAGAGCTGTGCGCGATTGTCGAGGCGATGAAAGGCCGTGCGAATCAACGACTGGTGGATTCTGAAAGCGTCCGGGAGGACCTTGACGAGTGTGACGGTAGAGGCAAAGAAGTCCACCCATATCTCTTTGGCAATGAAGAGCATTTTCCTGTGCTTATGGTGTCATGCGTCCTACCTCAACATGCTAGACTCTTCATGGCATGTATGAGCCAGCGGAAGCTAGTAATCCGACAATCCAAGCTGTACAGCTTTGAATGGAAGGACGAGGCACCGGTGGACTTGTTTGCTCGCGTGTATTCAAGCAAGCCTTTGGTACCACGGATCTAGGACTTGCAGGCAATATTGAGGATTGATACCTAATTGAGCATTCATCAGTACTGAAACAAGACAGCGCCGGGTTCCGTGAAAAATAATCCCTGTTGGGGCATATCTCTCCATCTGCTCTCTATATACATGCCTTTATATTATTCATGGTCTAATACTAGACTCTTACTTGATAAATTCATAACCGACGTGAATGCCTTCGAAAGGGATCTCGCAGCTGTATGTTTTAGTGTCTTGACATTAGCCGAATCTGCCATTTTGACATTTTTCGTTCTATTAGCTTCAATAAGTAGCTTCGTAGTGAGTAGAGTCCCATTTCGCGATTGGATCCAGTAAGTATCATCGAAATATCTAACAACATGGAACGTTTTATCTTGTTTACGCGCATCATAGTTAGGAGTGCACTTCCAAGACTAAGAGTATATAATCATGTTGTAGGAGATAGAGGCTAATACTGAAAAATGCTTTCTACGCATCAGCTGCATTGGTTGGGGAGCCCAGCCAAGTCAGCCGAGAGAATTGGTACAGAATCCGCGGCAGGCACGGATCGTCAGTCCGGTAGTACTCGGGATTTCCGATTGCATTCCGATGTTGCCATGACTTAGGCCGCGGTTTACGCTGCTTTGAGGACGCTCAACGGTTCTCAGAACGTCTATGCCACTGGTTCTGGGCAAACTGCCTCAAAGCTCCAGCAGCTCAACCTCACTCCGCGCGTCGCAGTTCATACGAATGGCACCTGGTACCCAGTTCTTCGGACGGATAATAGCACTGATTACCTATTTATCCTCTCGAGAGACTCGGATTCTCGAGGCCACCTCACTGTTAGCTCGACTAAGACACCCTACCTTCTGGATAGCTAGACTGGCAAGCGGAGACCATTACTCCATTATCAGAGACGCGGGAACACTACAGAAATCCCTCTTCATGTTGCTGCTAATCAAACGGTCGCTTTTGCCTTTAGCAACGAATTGTGGTCTGAAATCGAGACCCCGTATCTTCATGCCTTACGCGTCCCTTCAAACGTCCTTGATTATAATTATAGCACCTCCTGTGGTCTCCTGCTCCACACATCCACCGATCACTGCAATGACTGCAATTTTCAGCTCAGCAACGGAACTTCCTATTACCTCTCCCTTGATTCTACCTCTCTTACTTCTAACTTACGTAACTGAACGCTCATCACTGAACACTGGGAAGCCCCCAACAACATATCAGACGCCGCCATCCAAGCCGTGAGAGCGGAACACAACTCACCATCTCGACACTCTAGTCTTCTGGCTAGATATCCCAGGCCTTAAAAACGCTTCTGGTCTAGGCTACTACTCGTCTTTCTTCTCCTGGCCTCCGAGCTCTGCTTACAATGTTGATGGCGCATACCTCACCTTCCCCAACATTGCCCAAGGCATCAAGGTGACCGTAAATGGTCATGACGTGGAACCTCTGGATTTTACCAACCCTAGAGTTGACATTGGCCCATACATCACCAGCGATTCCAATGAAGTGACTGCCATGATTTCCACGCTGATGTGGAATCATATTCGGAGTATTTACGATGAAATCGAGATATCTGAGATCGCGCCTCTACTGAGTGACCTGTTGCCCGATCGGATGGGTAATGGCTTGATCGGGGAAGTGAAGATCATTCCTTATGTCACTACTCAATATATGATCTGATCAATTAGACAGGATAGCTTCTACCTTACTTTGCATGAGGCCAAATCTTATATCAGTTTAGTCTCATTGTCCCAGCCTTCTGTCCGGGTGATTCTGTCATTTAGCGTCATTGATTTTGCCTCACACATACTATTTTGTGACTTAGAGGGGGCATGTATCAGGGCGTGAGCCTCCGTAGAATGAAGTGGCAGTGAATGGGCGTTGGGGTCACCTGATATTCACTTATCACCCGATTGGGGAGGCAGAAGCGCCGGGCGTTTAGATCCCCTCCTTCCTCCTCTTCTACCCCCTTCACTTTTCTCTTATCATTCTCCTCGCACTTCACATATACTCTGTCTTCCATCATTTCTTTATCCCTTTACTTCACGCCGTCACTCTTCTGTTTCTTGTATTGTCAGTTTCTAGTTCATAATGGAGGTTTTTATGCACAATGTCCCCGCTCAACTCTCCGATCAAGGCTTAATGAAGGAGATGGAGCCTATTATGAAGCGCTTAGGCATCCTTGACTTCCTATGTGATAAGCCAAAGAGAAAAAGCATCGGGTTTCTTGTTTTTTATCGCCCTGAAGATGGAGAGCGGTTCCTGGTTTTACATGGCCAGGAAGAAATACCGGGAACGATGAATGCTCGCGGGAAACAACGACTTCGTTCTAAATTGAAGATTATGGGTGCTGATGTCTTTTGCTCACGGAGTAAGAAGGCACCGAGCAAATTTGCCATTCAAAATCTTCAGCACATGGCTGAACAGCGAGTAAAAGACACCTTGCACAAGTATGAAGACAATCAGCATATTTCCTTCCGCCTGCTGGGGTTTAGCTGTGGGTATACTATGTTTCAGGGAGAGCACTTCGGATATGTCCCAGAGGTGCAGTGGTCGGACACCGGCTTGATGAAGTTCATGAAGAGGGCCATTATCGTCAAGTTGGAGACATCTAAGCACCACATCCGCATACCGCTGAGTACTGTCATTGAGCTTATATGGTCCCGGGATGGGATTCTAACACTGACCTTATTTACGGTTCCATATTTCTTCACTCATAAGGGTTCTGATCCTTTGACTGTCGCATTCCAGATGCTCCAGCTTTTTTCTTCAAAATACCATGCAACGCCACCTTCCCGTTCGCGAATGTGCTCCCTGAGTACAGCCCACGCTGATGTGGCTGGGCAATGTCTTGTCTATCAGTTTCGGGTCCCTTACGTTGATCTCATGAAGGACATTCATGATCTCAAGGAGTGGGAAATTCCCATTTTACGCTACGATATTCTGCCCATCAACGCACCACCAAGGGGTGCCTTTCAAGTTCAACTTAAGGCTCTCATGGACGAATTGGCCACTTGCACTAGGAATAACTCTCTTCCCTTCGGCATTTTGTTCCAGTTGCAGGCTCTTGCATACAACGCATATCTACTGCCACGCACAGTACAGAGTTTAACTCAAGAACTAGTCAAGTCTTATAAGGAAGACGCAGCAGCTCAGAGAAGACCTATTTCAGTACTGGCTTTGAAGAAACTGTTCGACTTGATCGATTGGCCTTCCCCTCACAGCAATCCAACTGACTATGAGGTTGGTGCTCTTATGGCAGCTGTGAAGCAAAACCAGAAAGATGTCTTGCAAGACTTGGCGGTTTCTGGAGACATGCTAGGTCCTTCTGAGAATTTGACCCCAATCCACAAGGTCATGGTTACGCCCACGCGAGTGACTCTCCATGGACCGGAACTGGAGCCTAGAAATAGAATCCTGCGAAGATTCCCAAAGCACCATGACTTCTTCATTAGAGTACAATTTTGTGACGAGAACGGTCAAGATCTTCACTTCAACTCTCGAGTTCGCTATGATGATGTGTTTGCCAGATTTAAACATGTTCTAACCCACGGCATTCAGATTGCTGGGCGGACATATTCGTTCTTGGGATGGTCACACTCGTCACTGAGATCTCATGCTGTCTGGGCAAGTGCAGCACCTAAATGAGGAGATTTTTATAGTAGCTAATACCCTTTCGATATAGTTTTCCTCTCCATTTGTTGACGAATCCGGTCAATTTCAAACTCACTTTAGCATCATCAAGGCCCTTGGTGACTTCAGCAAAATTCAATCACCTGCTAGGTGTGCCGCGAGAATTGGTCAAGCCTTTACAGATACTCCTTACGCTATATCACTGTCTGAATATGACATAAATGTCTCTGAGATAGCAGATGTGACATCTAATGACGGCAAGCGGGTCTTCAGTGATGGAGTAGGGACCCTCTCATGGGATGTCGCAGAGTCCATATGGCATCACATACCGGAGAAGAAAGGATTTCCTACCTGCTTCCAGGTCCGACTAGGCGGTGCAAAGGGCATGCTCGCTGTTGATGGTCGGCTTTCTGGCTCTCAAGTCAACATTCGACCTTCCATGATCAAGTTTCACGGAGACATGAAAGACCTTGAGATCTGCGACATGGCGGCTAAGCCTATGGGGCTGGTCTTGAATCGACAAATGATCAAGATTCTGGAGGATATGGGAACACCAGATGAATGGTTCATCACGTTGCAAGATGCGGCACTAACCAAGCTTCGTAGTGTCACCGCTAGCGCTCATAATTCAGAAGTCTTCATCAAAAAACAGGCAGTCGGCGACAGCATAGGCCTCTACAGACTCTTCCGTCATTGCCATCTGCGTGACCTTGACTATAGGAAAGAGCCTTTTATTCGTTCGGTCGTCGAAGCTGTCGTTCTCAAGGAACTGCGCCTTATAAAGCACAAAGCGCGTATCCCTGTTTTCAAGGGAATCACTTTGTTTGGTGTTATGGACGAGACGGGGCTTCTCGAAGCTGACCAAGTTTACGTGACGTATGAACCTATAGAAGGAAGACATGCGCCCCCTCCTAATGCTGGGACGGTTTTGGTGACTCGCTCGCCAGCTTTGCATGATGGAGACATTCAATATGCACAGAACGTTATTCCTCCTGACAACCATCCGTTGGCGGAGCTCACGAACTGCATTGTGTTCAGTAGTAAGGGATATCGCGATCTACCAAGTCAGCTCAGCGGGGGTGACCTCGACGGCGACATATTTAACATCATTTGGGATACCGATGCGTATCCGGTCCGGACATTTGCGCCCGCGGCTTATCCTCGTGTAAGCCCAGTCGACATCGGGCGTCCAGTGGAGCGCGACGATATGGCGCAATTCTTCCTCGATTTCATGAAAACCGATCATCTTGGGATGATCGCCACAAGGCATATGATCATGGCTGACCAGGAAGAGGAGGGAACATCCCATCCAGTCTGCAGACAGCTGGCACAATTGCATTCTACAGCGGTTGACTTCTCTAAGACGGGTATTCCAGTTCAACTGGGGGACATTCCTAAAGGGAATCCTTTTAGGCCTGACTTGTACGTTGTCAATCCTTCCCATACTCTATCTTTCGCACACTGAACGCTGACAACTGAATTAGTATGGCACCAGGCCCAGTTGCACGCATCCACAATAAGTCTGAAATCGAGCTGGAGGATTATGTTATTCAGGCCGCATACGATGAGGATAATGACCTGGAGCCGCTCCGCAGGTACTACAGATCAGAAAAGATATTGGGCAAGCTTTATAGAGGTGTTGATGAACGACACATCTGGCAGAATGACATCCAAAGCAAAGTCCAGCCCAACGAAGATGAATTTTGGGACGAGTTTTTATGGTCTACACTTGAGCGCTGTAATAAACTAGGAGATTTGTCATGGGAGCGTTGGCTGGATGAAGCCCGACACATTCGCCTACGGTATGTCCAGAAACCCTAATGCCCGAGGCTGACTGACAGTGGCTTCAGATACGAAGAGGCCGTGTTCTCGGCACGAAACAATTACTCCGAGCACCCAATCGAGCCACTGAGTGAGCTAGAAGTGTTCATTGGGTCTGTCCTGAATAAAGGGGGTGTGCAGACCCGTCGGCAGCGTGATCAATCCAACAAACTCGCCGATGAATTTGATCGCATCTCTACCTGGATTGTGGGGCAGATGCGCGAAGGACGCACATCCGAGTCGCCAATAACCAGTCTGTCGGATCAACTCAAGCCTCTGGAATTATGCCTCGCCTGCATCCATGTCGGTGGTGAGAGTGACAAGGATCCCGCCCGCCGTCGTAGAGAAGTGTATGGTGAGATTAAGAGCTTCCGTGTGGTCGCAGCCTGCGCTTTGCTATTTGAGCTCGATCTCTTTGAGAAGGGTAAAAAGCGAAAGTTTTAACAGGATGCATACTTGTAACTGGCAATGCATATGTTCGCCTGCTTATGGTGCTAATATGTTTGGAGAGCTAGGACGACAATCATGACTGTTTAGATGTATTCAAAGGAATCCACTGAATGTGTTTTTACTCTGTACCACCTGCATACCATCCACCCAACACACGTGGGTTCATCCTTGCATATACGAGTCAGCCCCATATTCAAGTAACATGCTGTCTCAAACACATAGAAAACACCTGAGACGTTAAACTCCTGCATCTGGTAACAACAGCAAGCATGGATATTCTCCTACTGGATAGCCAAGATAGCCTTAGTCCCCTGGAAAGTGTTTTCGGGTCCGAGAACGACCGCCTCTTAGTCGCCGCACATCTAATGTAAATATGAAGTAGTAGCTGTTCATGTCCAACTTACCACACCATCTCCAATCTCACTTCCTTGTCTACCTAAGCCAAGAAAGCATCAATTGCTGCTACTACTGACGTACTAAAGCCCCTAAATCCCATCATCATCCACCCACTCGCCTCATGCATCAAATTTCTAGCCCTCAATCATCGAAAATACTCTACTTCTAAAATCCCCATCTACATAACCATGATCATCTCGTACTTTTTCGCCTCAGGCTCTAATAGCACCATCTAATCTGATATGATATAATATAATATAATCTCATCATATCTATATCTGACGTCCACGCGTCACCAGCACGTCCATCTATTGGCCTGTCAGGCAAAGTGGATTTTCGCGATTGTTTCAACATCTCGGACGTTCCGGAGGGAAGTGGATTGGGTACCTCCATTTGCTTTGAGTTTTGGGTGGGAGTGGAATAGGTTACCGCTTGGTGATGGATGGGTGATTAGTACTAGTGGTTGTTAGGTAGGTCACGAGAGGGAAAGTGCAGTGAAGAGTTAACTATTGGGAAAGCTGACATCATCATCTATGTAGGGGTGTTTGCATGGTTTGGCAATGAATGTTTCGATTGCAAAAGGACTAGTCTGATGCTTCTGTATGTATGTATATATGCTGCCGGCTCATTATAATCATTCCATCATTAAGCGTCTAACCAATGTGAGACAGATATTAAGTGCTGTATATAAACCCCGAACAATATCCAAAATAAACGATGAGTGGACATGGTGCAAGTATCAGAAGTGAAAGGTGACTGACTCCTTATATACCCGATTCGTATGGCCCAGCAAGACCCCGGTACTGATGTCCGTAGGGATTCACCTTGGCATACTCGTCCCACGCATCACATGTGTTCACCAGCAAATCTTCGCTGAAGAATGAGTTGAACTCACTCTGTCGCTCGACAACCTGCTGCGCGAACCCCTCCGTTGCATGGAATCCAATGTGGCAGTGGATAAGCCATACACCCGGATTGTCGGCGGGGAAGCCAATAACCATATAGCCGCCGCCACCCGTCGCGGAACTATCAGCGATCATGAGCGCAGTGTCGCGGCGGGGTGGGTTTTTTGTTTTGAGCGTGACATTCTGTGGGCTGAACTGGCCGAAACCCTGAGCAAGGAGATAGAAATCGTGTCCTGCGGTTAAGAGTTAGTGAGTTCACATTCCATGTTCAGCCCTGGATTTTTGCTTACCATGCAAATGGATCGGGTGAGGAACAGGAAGATCTGTCTGGACAACCAAAACGGTCCATTTATTCGCGATCGCAGCCTCTATCACTCCCTGGCTTGCTTCCCAGTCCATCTTGTCGGGATCGTCGAAGGTTTGCTGCAGGGTGGGATCTTTCCACGAGATATTAAGAGCATTGCCTCCCATTGTCCACAGATACAAGGGAACATCTCCGAATGAGCTGAAGTCCACGTCTGACTCGTGCATCTGGGCGCCACCAATATCTGCATCAAGGGCAAGCCACGGGACAAGCTCGTCTAATGAGAAATCCAGGCACTGGAAGTCGTCACCGTAATCCCACTTTGTGCTTGTGGGCTCGTTGTCATTGGAAGCACCCTTATAGTGGAGGATCCCTTTGATATTGTCTGGATTCGAATTGTCACTGCAGAAGGACTGCGGGATCGCTCGGATCCAATAATTGTCCGGAGCTTGATTTGCTGTCACGATAATATCATACCGTTGTCCCATGCCAATGGGGACATTGTTCGTTGTGAATGGTAAAATAGGAACGAAGTCGCTAGCGATGACGGTAAGGTCATGATTGTCGATCGAGAACTTGAAATGGGTATGCATAGCTGCATTAACTAGCCGGATCAGGTATCTTTGTCCTGGTGTAAATTCTGTATGGAATCTACGACCAACGGTCTGGTTATCTGCGGTAACCCAGATGTTGCTCCCGTTAATAAGGCCTGTCTGAAAATGCGGCGGCCCCTGACTCTCGAGTACAGATTGATACATCTCGTCGACTGTTTGATGCGACCAGTCATTGAGAAATACCACACCCAAGTCGTGGTCATACTCTGCTGTCGCAGGGCCGTGAATCACAATGCCCCCAAAGACGCCTTCCCATGCCTGGAGAGAAAAGTGCGAGTGATACCAACTCGACCCGTATTGTTCGGCTCTCCAGACGTAGGTATAACTGGAGTTTGGGGGAACAGGGCACTGCGTCAACGCTGCTACTCCATCCATTTGGTTGTTGTACAGCTGTCGAACTCCGTGGAAATGGATGGCCGTACCATTGTTTTCCATGCGATTCGTAACATGAACTTTGACAGTGTCGCCCCAGTTGGCCTCAATAGTAGGGCCTGGAAATTGGCCGTTGACCAGAAGCACTGGTCTCTCGACTCCGTCAAGAGCAGCGGTCGTGTTGACGATGTCAAAATAATATTCACGCACAACATTCGTCTGTGGAATGGTCTCATAGTAATTCGTATTTAGATCATATCCCTGCCATGGGGTATTGGGTGACTGCGAAGAGTTGCCTTGCATATCTCTCGGTATTGGGGCAGATTGGGAATGATGCGGAGTAGCATGTTTGATTGGACTGCAGAAAACCAATGGGGCTAGAAGCCCAAGGAGTAGCAAAAAGATTGTCATGATGTGCCGCTAGTGCTCAGTAGCGCAAGATTGAAAGAACCAAGTGAAGGCAAGATCTACGCGGATCGCCAGCTTCTTGCCGTGTCTTCGTTCATGATGGCCCTGTGGTTTATATACACTCTGAGCCCGGTCTTGCTAGTATTTTTCAATTGCCTTTCTTGCTCTTTTCAGGCCTGTAGCTGCAGGAGTCACTTGGTCCTGTTAGGCTGGGATGTTGCCTCCACGATGATCCAAGGGGGCTGTATCGCCCGGGATTGCCTTGTCCGTGAGAGTTCACCAGATGTCGGATCTACTGCATAGCCTAATGCAGATAATCCTCCAGCTGTACGAGCCCCCACCCAGATGAACCGAACGGGACATCCGATGGACGGAGCAATTATGTAACGATTCAAGGTCCACCAGTGTAGCTGCACCATGTGCTTGAGATGAACACATGTGAGGGAGCTAGACTGAGCCGCAACATCCGATACAGTATGATTTGCTGGGGTTCGTATTGAACACATCACACATGGGATTTGCTTCCTTCAGGAAATGGCTATGCCTGACTATCAGCCCAATAGATTTCAAGGGCCATCAGGGATCCCATCTCAAGGTGTCTCAGCTGCCAGTCGCTTTGGTCGCATCGACAATCAACTGACTGACTAGGCTCTGTACTTGAGGCCATCCCCACCTACTTGGAATGAGCGTTAGTTCCATTTAGCGAGTAATGACTATAGTGACAGGTACTATAGTATCAGTCATCGCTCGGATCCCGGACAGCTCATCCCAGCAGAAGGGGCGCACATGGCGCACTCCAGAGCCAACCGATCTAGCTTACAATTCGTAAAGCCTGTCCAATCCCAACTCGAATCCCCCCAACACATGGATTGCCTGAGTCTAGTACCGATCGTGTTAGCTTGGGGCTGGCTGACCGCTAGTCGCCAAATTAGATCGTATAGCCTCCGCTCAGGCACACCCACAGGCAGCTCGACGTATCAGATCATTTCCGTCAAGCTGGTAGCCCCAATCTTCGAGCAATGAACTGTCCCAAGTTAGTAAAGATAAGGCTGATAATAATTATAGTCGGATCGTCCCCCAGATGCGCACTAGACGATGTCAGGCGATACACTGTTCGAATCTGCGACAATAGCTCTGACTGTTCTCTTGTTATTCAACTTAGGCCACCCGCCTCAGGCAAGGCTTTGCAAGTTCATTGCCTCGAATGCCTGTGTGAGTCTTCATTCCAGAAGAGGTCAGAGGGTACTCTGCAGCTCGGCTATTTTTCGCATCATCCGAGCCAAACAGCGGTGGCAGTCCAACCGCAAGCGGTAAATATTCTCCCAACTCTGTGATGCTGCAGCCACCATAAGAGACGTGGGCGGAAAAAGCAAACACGGCTCGGCCCCTCTCGGGTCTGCTCGACTTTTCTTACAGATCCCAACAAAAGCATCAATATCCAAGCCATGCGCCTGCTCATATCCACGTTTGGAATGATTGCGGTCAGGCGCACTCTAGTATGACACCTCAACAAGCATTATCGCTTGCGGATTAATTCTCCAGGTCTTCCGTCATTGGTCTCAGCTTCACCGATAGCAACTCACGGCATAAGACGCTGCCAGTACTTTTCGGCTCAGTGAACACTCCACCGAAAAGCCAAATAAAAATCAAACTAAATTCTTACGAAAGCTTGACTACGAGAGGTGACAATATTTATCGGTTTTCGAATTTTGAGCCATTCAAACTTGGTAACCAAAAAAATTCGGTCAGAAAGCCGAGAGGACCCAGGTTGGTTTGGCACGCGATCGCAGGCTTTGAGCAAGGGAAAGCTCACAAAGGCTGCTTGAGCCCCTGGGGATGCAGAAGGACCATCAGAAGATGAATACAGGTCAGTGAGTGTAAAATCTCTCTCATTCAAGCTATCATGTCAGATATTTGAGCCCTGTGGCTTGGACTTAGCTCTCGGGTAATGTTCTAAATATGACAATAATCTGATTTGAGACATACCCACCGGCCCATAAGCCGAACAAACTTGTTTCGATATCTTCGATGTGAGTTTCAAACCAGCCTGCCTGATGCTGTTCACCGCACTACCACGTGCGTTTCTCAGCCTTCAAGGGCTGTCCGACATCACAGCGCGTTCCTTGATTATGGCTCCCTATCAAACCGGCCCATGCTAGACTTAACGTCATGGGCTTCTAGTTGGTCATGCTACTTGGACTGAACCTCAGCCGGGATATGCTTATTACCAACATGTCCCATTGATCCGGGACATCTATGCCCAGAAGAGAAGTGGCACATGTGCGGGGCACACAGTGGGAGTCTAAGTGAGGTGTATGAACAACCCTTGATGGCGAAGACACGAGGTACCCGGTACCAGGGGTGACCCTGGATGCCCAGGTCGAGCAAGGAGTCACAGGCAAGTTCCTTCAAATCCAACAAGTTAGAGCCATAATCAAATGTGATCGGAAATTATTTTCCAAGAGGTGACACAGGCATTCTCTGGTTCTTTCTACCGCCCCGACAGATTATGTATCTTGCGATGACGATGTCGGCTAAACCAATCGAGAAACTTGGGCTTGATTGGTAGATACTGTGGCAGGCAATCTTCACATTGCAGCAAATGAGACATCACGAGGATGCAAAGACTGAAGGCCGAGAAAGTACGTGAGGTGATGCCCTGCAAAAATGAAGGCAGAGGCAAATGACTTGGCTGGAATAAATTGTGATGGTGTGCTCTGAGAACGTTGCAGTTCGCCAACATCTACAAACGGAAGGCGCGATGCCGAGCTGGGTCGATTATCCACCCCTTTTCCTTCTCCGCGTGGATTTGGCCGACTTCCTGGCGTTCCCATGACTCTTGATGCCCACAATGGCTTGTGCCGGTCTCTGGTCAGAGTCTTCTCCGTCGTTGAAAGACTGATTATGCCTTCTTTCGGCAGCCTGGGCTCATCAGTGAGCCAGTGCATGCGACTATCATGGGAGGACGCATTGCTTTAGACTATACCCCATCCGCGCAAAGTTTGGGTATGGATTACTCGTACTGGTCTCGGTCTACGTGGAACAACCGGGTGAAATACTCTGTTCGCGTGAAGTTTAATCCAAGCCCTTGCATTTGCCTCTGTTGCATTCCGCAGCCGAACTTCCTTCTTTGAAGAGACTGTGCTGATGACACTTTCCAAAGGTCATCACGACGAGCGGCTCGGAAAGGCTCCCGTGTCTTACGGTCGGCATCGTGGTTCATCGGAGAATACATCTCACATGTAACCAGTAGTTTCAGTTTCTGCTGTGTTACCTGCACTATAGTATGCGCCAGACCTGCAAGCCTACGGAGATTAGTATGGGAATTACGATCGGAGTTTGTCAACCTACTATCCCTCGGCTGCAGGTACATCGGGCTGACGCCATCGCACGCCTCTAAGGCGCAATAGCGTTCACGTTGATATACAAGCTGGACAATCGTCGAACGTAGGCAAATCCAGCTAGAGCTAGTATTTTATTGATTTACAAGTATCCTGATCGCGTGTTTGATGATAGACATTGTGAGCGCACATGGATAACCACCATGATCGGGAAGCTGCACCTCCGTGCTCTCAGTGTCGGTCGCGCAAGGTAAGCCTCCATTTGATACGTTTGCTTTTCACCCTGCATCGATTCTTAGTCGTTATAACATTTTAGGTTCGCTGCGACCGTAAAAAGTACACTTGTGGGAATTGCGAGAGGCTAAAGCATGCATGCTCCTATGAGATGGATAACCCATCCCCCGGGCGCCCGAGGCATGACGGTGGCCATCCCGGAAGACGTCGTGGAACTCGGGCGTGCATCTATTGCCGTCTTCAAAAAGCCCGATGTTCAGGTGAGACGCCACAGTGCAATAACTGTCACCGACGCCATCAGGAATGCCAATATCCAGCCTTTAGAGGAGCTCGCCGATTATCTCAGGATCGAGATGGAAAATCGACAGTCAAGTCTTCCACTCGCTTGGTCTCCCTGAATGTGTTGCAGCAAGGACTGTATGACGGTCGTTATGAGCGTTTTATAGTTGATCGCGCCGCTGATTTCTATCAGAGTTTACCCTGTGAAGGACGGAGCGGAGTTAGCTGGAGTTCTCGATGACTATTTTTTGCACCTGTATCCCTTGCCTTCCTACAGCTTCCTTCACGAACCCTCAATTCGGCGAATGTGTGCTGCTCGAACGCTCGAGCCAAGTCTCGTGTTATCTATGTGCGCCTTGGTCAAACTAAGGTGCAGACCATCTGGGTCTCAGCCTTCCGAAACCGTGTCATTGATCGAACTGTCAGAAAAGAGGATCTGGGACATGATCGAGACGCCTTCAATATTCAGATTGCAGGCACTCTTCTTGATTATCCAGTATCATGCCGAAGTTGGCCGGTTCGAAAGGGCCTTCATGATGGCTTCCATTGCGAGCCGCCATGTGACTGCTCTCCAGCTGAAGCATGAAAGCCCACACCTCAGCTTTGTCACTCAGGAGATTCGGCGGAGAGCTGCTTGGACGATGGCACTACTAGATGGTTACTTTTCTGTAGGGCTTCCCAGCTACAGCACGATAAATTATGAGGAGATATACCAGCAATATCCGTGTCGTGAAGAGGAATTTGGCTCAACGGATCCCGACACAATACGGGGCCCTTCCACCGCTCGGGTTGAAGACAAAGCTCACTACAGCATGCTGGAGCTGATACTGCGTATTTCCAGGGTGCGCAGAGATATCATGCGCTTCACCAGGCAGTTGGCCCTGCTGGAGCAGCCTCTCAAAGAGTTTCAGGGTATTGTGCAAGGATTTCAAATGAACCTCACTCAGCTTCAGGAGAAAATAGCGTCCGTTGTGGGTTCTTCGGCCACTGGAACCATAATCCAGCCAAACTTCCGGTGGGTTGTGAGATCTTTGGAGATCCAACTCGCTTGGCGTCAGGCACACTGTGACCTGTTTCGCCTCTTCCTTCTCGGACATCCCAATGCGGCCCCTGATGTGGTATTACGTCCCTTGGGATCAAGCACCTATGCTAGCCAAGCCCAGGAAATATGTCAGGAACACAGTGACTGGATAGTAGAATCCATTAAGAAAGTTCGAAAGATGAATCTCCAGGTGCTCTTCTCATTTGATATTGCGAGATGCGCTTACCAGGCTGCACGCCTCAATCTCTTTCTCGCTCATATGCCAAACGTGCGGCCGCAGCTAACATCAGAATCCGCCGTTTCTAATGCTGCAGACTGCCTAGCTTTTATCAAGGAAAGATTTGTATCGTCTGCTCATGCTCAGCGGATGATCTCAGACCTCAGTCTATTGATTGGGGCCTACGAGACGCGTGATGGGCATTTTGGAGCAGCGATGGCGCTTGATTCGTTACGGTTTTCTGGGGATGCCCTTGAGAAGCACAAACAACTATCGGCACACAGTCTTATTCATCAGGCTAATTTCGTGGATGATAGCTATCTCTATGAATTGTGAGATCTTCTATCTGAGCGCGTGAACGTGATACTTCAGATGAGGCGCGCTCAGACAAATAACTACCACGTGCCAATCTCGGAGGACCTCCGCTGCGGGGGTCTATTGCGGGGTTCCCTACGTCGCACGGAGTACTTCACCGACACAAAGCTCGCTATGTAGCATGAGCATAATCTCAACCATTATTCAGTCATACAGCCACCATGGTTCTTTCTAAGCCCGAGAACAAGCACGTCCTGAAGGCCTTCGACCTCACCGGCAAGGTTGCTGCCATTACAGGTACCTTCCCTGCAGAGCAACATGAGCAGCTTTTAACTGATCACAGGCGGCGCCCGGGGTATTGGACTCGAGGTTTCGAGGGCCCTCGCGGAAGCTGGTGCCAATGTAAGATCAAGCGTTCTACCAAGCCACCTTGTGCTGACTATCGCAGGTGGCCCTGGTCTACAACTCTTCTAAAGCGGCAGAGGCCATTGCCGAAGAGATCGGTACCCAGAATAACGTGAAATCAGCTGCCTATAAGGCGGATGTTGGAAATCAGGAGGATATCGAAAGGGTAATCCAACAGATCGCTTCAGACTTTGGCAAGCTCGATATTATCGTCGTGAATTCGGGAGTCACTTCCAATATCGCGGCGGAAGACTACACCACGGAACAATGGCGTGACATCATGAAAGTGAATCTAGATGGCGCGTTTTATAGCGCGCAAGCGGCTTCTCGGATCTTCAAGCAACAAGGACATGGGAATGTCATCTTCACGGCCTCTGTCAGTGCAACATTGGTGAATGTGCCTCAGAAGCAAGCAGCGGTATGTTGCATTCTATTTTGATTCTAGGGTGTGTGTACTAAGCAGCATGGTCCAGTACAATGCCTCCAAAGCCGGGGTCGTGCAGATGGCAAAATGTCTGTCTGTTGAGTGGGTTGACTTTTGCCGGGTCAACTGCGTTTCCCCGGGGTTCATAGCCACAGAAATCCTCGATATCCACCCTCTGGAATGGCGCGAGAAATGGAACGACATGGTGCCGGCTAAGCGAATGGCTGATGCCTATGAACTCAAAGGAGTAAGTTAGCTTCTGCCTTGTGAATTTTCACTACTTCCTTTATCCGAAACGATGAACAGTTATTAATGTTTCAGGCCTATGTGTTTTGCGCTTCCGATGCCTCGAGCTATATGACTGGAGCCAACCTCGTGATTGATGGCGGCTACACGCTGCCTTAGGCATGACTCTTGCAGCCTAGCGTCCACGTTGTGTTGGACTCTTTTGACAGCAAATGACACCAATGGGTAGACATATGTAAGATGCGGTAGGAGTGTAGTCACACTCAAGAACATGTTTCACAGACGGATGATCAGTCCACGCGAACACGAGGTCTATTGTAAGCGAGACGCAGGAGAAGCCCGCAAGGCTTCTCTTCAATACCCGACCTGTTCGTTTAGGCACAGGTTATGAATTATATTGTATCAATTCCCAACTCTTGAGGGTGCAGTCAATCTTCGAAGGGGAAAGTGTGTATTTCCTTCGAGGGTCTTCCCTAGAAGCTGTCCGCACCTTGTGCAGACCGAGTATGATGCCTCATAGTGATGGTCTTCGCTATCGTTGGCACTAGCGTATTCTTGGTATCTTTATGCCTCAGGTGTCGATAAGGTGTCCGATGACTTCTGGGATGAACTGAATCGAGGTTTTGGCGGTTCCCCCACTCTCCATGCATCCATGATAATCATTCTCTATCTCCAACAGAAGATAATGCAAGGGCTATATCATCCAGATAAAGCTAATGCAAATATCTCCTCGATGCGATGATCAACTTTAGGCACCATCATATCCTCCCCCGGAAGTTCCAATGAGCATGGGCCGCTGGTTGCTTCACCCAAGGATGACGGCGCTAAGCTCTGACTACGTGGCTGTCACCCCGCCTATGAACTGTGGCTGCTTGAAGTTAAATCCCAGCCCGACATGCTCCCCCACCATGATAAAACGAGCTGCGTCGAATGGGGCCTGGAAAAGACGGTGAGTGCGCACTAGCCGTCCGCTCCAACGTGCCCAAAGAAGCGAGGCATTGATCTCATTTGCTATTGCTTAGAATCCGCATGGACAATGTCGATCAATACGTCGGGCCGGAATTGATTCATGAACCGTCTTCACTGGCTGCACTGATACCAGCCCCGATAATGCTTTGAGCCCGATCAGCCGTTGACGGATTGCGTCATTATCTCGAGGCGAAGATTTCCATAGGCAGTGTTCGGTGTCAAATCTGATGGCATATAAATAGTATCGGGATCCGTGGCTCATGGTGGCTGAACCACGTTGGTTTCTGAGCTCATCTTGAAGTTCATCATTACCGTTTACACCATGGTGAGGAACATCAGTCTCCTCAGCCTCGATGGCGGGGGTGTCCGCGGATTATCCTCCCTTTACATTCTGAAGCATATCATGGAATCCATCGATCCTGAAAACACACCAAAGCCATGCGAGTACTTTGATTTGATAGGAGGCTCGGGATCAGGCGGGTAGGCATTCTATGGTGCACAAATCATCCCGATCGGGGTTTCATTACTAATGCTCCATATCATAGGCTGATAGCCATTATGCTTGGTCGATTGGAGATGGATATTGATCAGTGCATCAACGCATATAAGCGGCTGTCAAATCACGTATTTGCTCGAAAGCGACTACTGCCAGTGGGAGGCAACTTGCGCCGACAATCGAAATATGACGGTCGCAGGATCGAAACTGCCATGAAGGCGATTCTTCACGAGCTTGGTTATGAGGACGACATTCTCCTAAGAGAGCCAGCGTCTTCTTGCAAAGTGTGAGTCCATCTTAAGGATTATTCAACTGCCTTCTAATTGGCACAGTTACGTTTGCGTGACCGACGACGGTTCAAAACGGAATCTAGCACCCTTAACAAGCTATCCGAGCAAATACTGCTCCAACGAGCTTTACAAGACCGCCAAAGTATGGCAAGCTGGCAGAGCCTGCTTCTCCACCGAGCAGCTCTTCGATCCCGTCCCCATTGGACCAAGCGGACGGCGATTCTACAACAGCAACACAGACGCTAACAATCCGGTGCGAGAAGTCTGGATAGAGGCGAGAGGCATATGGCCATCCGGCTCATTGGATACCCAAATACGATGCATGGTGTCCATCGGTACCGGTGTTCCTTCAATCAAGAGATCCAGCAAAGCGATGTTCGGCTTACTGAAGTCATCGCGCACTGATTCCATCGACACCGAGGTGGACATGAACAAGTTCCTTCGAGAGCATACGGAACTGGATGACGAGAATCGTTTATTCCGATTCGATGTACCCAACGGATTAGCAGATATTTCTCTCGATGGCATTGATGAAATCGACACGATCGTGGATGCTACCGAGGAATATCTCGCCAAGGAGCCGGTCTACAAGCAGATACAGAAATGCGGGCGAGCTCTCAGTGCAGGCCCTTAGGCCAGTTTGTGATATTTCTTGTTGTATAGACTTAGGTGGCAGACTGCTGGAGTTGGATGTGAACGTCTTATATCTAGTCCTTCTTATACTATCGATACCAATGTGATTATTTTCTTCGATTTATCGCACGCCATGACTGAATGAACAACAAACCCATCCACCTCGAGAACCGAACAAAAATAACCTTCCCGAACCTTAATCTCTACCAAATAGACAACAAATCCTCTTTCATCTCTCCAACCACTCCCACCCAAAAGTTGAACGATGACGATGTATCTGTTCCCGGAAACATGACGTCAGGAAATCTCGCCTCACCTACAAAGCCAGAAACTAGCCCTCTCGAGTTTCTTTTACTGACCACCTCCAAATCTTCACTATCTCACAGTTTATCATACCACAGAACAGAACAGAAAAAAGCCTCACCAAAATGGTCAAATCCAAAGACACCGTCATCGAGTACTTTCCCCCTTACCCAAAACAACCCCTTCCACCAAAAATTACTACTAAATAATGCTGACAGCGAATTCAACTCCCTCGTCAACATGACACCCAACGAGCTCCGCGACTGGCTCAAAGGCACCCAATCGCAGTCCTCAGGCTGGACGAACGAGTCGTCCTCGTCGGGGGAGACGATTGGACATGAAAGGCATGTTCCTCCCCCACCCCCACCCTTTCTTCACTACTATTACCTAAACCAAACCACTAATATCTCCTTATCCCCTTGGTTTTTTTTTATTCAAGCTAACGATATGTCTATAACTATCTGGGTTTGACAGCGGCCGCAAAATCGTCTCCATCCTGGAACATAACCCGTCCAAAGATCCATCGGGATACTCGGACGAAGACGTCGATCATATGCGCAAGGTAGTGTCGTACTGTAAACGGCATTTGGCGCAGGAGGAGACGGCCAAGCAGAATACGGATAGTAAGAGTTACAAGTCGTTGAAGAATTGGGGGCATGATCCGTTGAAGGGATAGATGTATTTCTTTCTTTTCTTTATTTTTGAATGATAAGGGGTGGTTTGGGGTTGGTGGCGGTTGTGTGTCTGTGTGTGAGTCTGCTTTATTGGTGTGTGATTGTGACTATGGTTGCGTTGGCTGTTGGGGAGTATCGTGGTTGTATGATACATTTTTACTCGAGAGGTCTATCGAATTCAGGCCATTGTCTGTGGTATGAATGTTTCTGTGACTAAATGAGAGGGTAGGGTAGAAGTGGTTGCTTTATGTAGCGATCCTTTTACTATTGCTTATTGTTTGGTCTGGTGTTCATTTGAATTGATAGACCAATAATTAGGAATGTAAAGTCTTATCTACTACACACTAATCATACGTACTACAGTAACAATAGATACCATGTTCCTCTTCTTCTTCTATCATTACTACCCAACTACCTATCTATCTATCTATATACCTACCTACCAAGCTCATCTTAGCTTCACCCAACCCCCAAGGGCAAACCCCAAAAGGTTCCACCCCCCAAGAGGACAGGCTACTAGACTCCAGCACCACGATGAGGTGTGAGCTTCATTCGCTGGAGGACCTGGCCCGCACAACCAGGCGTCTCAACGCCATGTATTTCTACATGGGTGAGACTTTTTTTTTGTTTTCGGCGCTATTACAGCGCTGGCTCAAAACAACTTGTACCTGACCAGCGGACTAAGCCAGCTAGTCAAGTGTGCGGCTTTTTTCTATATACTTGCATTCCCTGTCATCTCATAAATGAGAGAAGGTACTCGCTTAACACCGGGTGGAGGTATAGTGGGCTCGACGGGTGTCTGTCGAGCCAACAAACCTATACCTGGACGGCATTGTGCACCGTCACGCACCCCCGGTGGACTCCCTTATGCCCGTAGGGGGGCAGGAGCTAAAGTCTGTTTTGTATACCGAGGGGCGGCAGGATGAGATAGACGTTTGCGGGAACGTGTCATGCTGCGCGGCTAGCTGCTGTGGCAGCCCCCGGTGGGTAGGTATGAAGGCAGGGAGGCAGAGAGAGAGGCAGGCAGATAGGTCAGGTAGGTCAGGAAGGTCAGGTAGGTAGGTAGGTAGATGCAGGCAGGAAGGCAGAATGAGAGGTAGGTCAAGGAGGTCAGGTTGGCAGGTTGGCAGGTTGATGTAGGCGAGGCAGGTTGATGTAGGCGAGGCAGGTTGATGTAGGCGAGGCAGGTTGATGTAGGAGAGGCAGGTTGATTTAGGAGAGGCAGGTATTGCTCACAAGCCCCCAGGGCGTGACATGGCCTGTGTCGACTGGGGCAGGAGGACTTACCTGATATATTAGTATTGTATACAGACGCGGGAGTGGCAGATGAGGTAGGCAAGGTGAGGTAGGTGAGGTAGGGCAGGGCAGGTTGAGGTGGGTAGGTAGGTAGGTAGGGAAAGGAGGGCAGGACAGGACAGAAAGGGTAGGTTGTGGTAGTCGAGGCAGATGAGGTTGGAGGTGAGGCAGGGCAGGACAGGGCAGGTTGAGATAGGTAGGCAGGTAGGTAAGTGGGGAAGGGGAGACAGGACAGGGCAGGGCAGGTTGAGATGGGTAGGTGGGGAAGGAGGGACAGGATAGGACAGGTTGATGCAGACAGGTGAGGTAGGTTGAGACAGGGGCAGACAGGAAAGGTGAGGCGAGGTAGATGAGGTGAAGTAGGCAGGTCGGTAGATAGGTAGGGCAAGGCAAGGCAGGCAAGGTGAGGTGAGGTAGGTGAGGCAGAGCAGGACAGGACAGGCAGATGAGGTAAGGTGAGGTAGGTGAGGGAGGACAGGGCAGGGCAGGACAGGGTAGGGCAAGGTGAGGTAGGGCAGGTGGTGGCAGGTGAGGTAGACGAGGTAGATGAGGTAGGTTGAGGCAGGTGAGGCAGGATGTGGTTCACAAGCCCCCAGGGCTTGACATGGCTTAGGTCGACTGGGGGCAGGGCGACTTACCTGACAGCTCAGTTGCTGTAGACAATGAGCCAGCAGTCGTAGACGAGGATAGAGAAGGATGAATGTGAGAAAGAAAATAGAAGAGGTAGAAAGATAGAAGTAGGAATGGAAACGGTAAAATCAGACATGAGGAGTAGGAAAGAGAGCAGAATAGTATGAAAGGTAGGTGAAGGTAGGTGAAGGTAGGTGAATGTATGGTAGACTGGGGAGTTGTAGGAGGAGAAGTCTGGGGAAGACAGTCCGGGGGCTCAAGGGGCAATTTATACTCGTTAGGTGGTCACGCTTATTGACTTCATGTTAATGCTTAGAGTTGTTTTATTGACTTCATGTTGATCCTTAGACTTGACACATGACTTAAAATTGAGTCACAAAGTAGTCCTGGTGTTATAAATAGATCCACTACGTGGTGAGGTGTAGCCGGTGTCATCAAAAAGGGAAGCATCTAGCATCGGGAGTCTAGACATATGTCAGTATGCGGCACAAATTTAGAACGAACAGAATAGGTTTCTTCAAAGTCTCATGTATTGTGCTTCAATCAAAATAGATACATCAGATACACAGCGTCACTTCCTCAACCAGTTCCTTCCATAAGGCGGGAGCTTCTCTCTCGCTCCAAACATCCAGACTGAAATACCAAGAACTGCCAGAGTGGCCGCAGCACTCAAAACTTTGCTGCGAGAAGTTGTGTCGTTCCCTTCTCGGTCAAAAGGTGCCTTGACAGGCGGTGATAGCTTTCTTATATTTTCCTCAGAGTAAGGAGGGTATCTCGCACCCATAGCCCCCTCCATCCACGTTGGAATAGCATTCGTATATGTGCGAAGATGCGAGAAAGCAAGTATTCCGTACTTCCCATGGTAGGAACCAATACCCGAGTGCCCCACACCACCAAAAGGTGCATCAAGAGCAGCGGCATGGAGGAGACAGTCATTAAACGTCACACCACCAGAAGAAGTCTCATTCTGAATGCGTTTATTTTCAGACTCGATGTTGGTGAAGGCGTAAAGAGCTAATGGGTGCTCATTACTGCGAGTGAAAGAGATAGCGGTATCAAGGTCCGCGTCAATGATAGGCAGGATGGGGCCGAAGAGCTCTTCAGACAGTAGAGGATCGTCGAGACTAACGTCCACAACAATGGTAGGTCCGAAGTATCGATTTTGACGGTCGCGAATGCCGCCGTGAATGACCTTACCGGATGTTTTATCGAGAAGAGACTCGAGACGATCAAAATTTCGCTCGTTGATGATGCGACTGTAGTAGTCTGGCTTGTTATCTCGACCGCCAGTGAACTCGTCAAAGTAGTGGATCAGTCTCGTCACAAAAGCTTCACGTATGCTAGGGTCAATGAGGACGTGATTCACATTAATGCAGATCTGGAGTCCACATTAGGGCCGATGAAGTGATTCATTCTAATGTATAAGAAAATTCATACCTGTCCAGCATTCGAAAACTTAGCCCAAGCAATATGTTTTGCTGCGAGATCGATATTCGCAGATGGGGCAACAATTGCAGGCCCTTGACCCCCCAGTTCCAAAGTGACGGGGGTCAAATGTTTGGCAGCAGCAGCATAGATGATCCTGGCAACATTTGCAGAGCCGGTGTAGAAAATGTGATCGAAGCGACTTTCAAGAATATACTTCATTTCCGACGGCCCTGCACTGACGCAAGTTATAGCGTCGCGATCCATGTACATGGGGACGATCTCCATCAGGAGATCCTGGGAGGCTTGTGCAACGTCGGACGGCTTCAGGATCACCGCACAGCCAGCGGCAATAGCAGCGACCAAGGGTTGTAAGGCCAGTATGAAAGGGAAGTTCCAAGCGCCAATAATCAATGACACGCCTAATGGCTCTTGACGGACTACAGTTCCGCCCAAAAAGTTGATGGGATCCCATCTTGTGGGCTTCTCATCCTTAGTCCACTCGTCAAGCTTGTCAAGTGTGCGCAGAATGTCATTTTGAAGGCCCGTAATTTCCCCCAGCATAGCTTCCAGAGGATGCTTGTTCAAGTCGGCACGAAGGGCGTCAAGCATGCGGTCTTTGTTGTCCTCGACCATCCACCAGGCTCTCTTAAGCTGATGGCGTCTCCAATCTTTGCTCTTGGTGCGACCCGAGGCGAAAGCGGCTCGGACGCTGGCATATGCCTATCCCTTGTTAGCCAGGATGGATGTTGACCCGGTCACAAACGGGTGTATTGGCTTGCCTGGTCAAACTCCACCTCGGTGGTAAAAGCCATGGTACTGTTATTGTGATGCTTGTTGATACTAACTAGAGAATGCAGAAACTGCGTTTGAGTTGGGGCTTCTTCTATCCACGGAAAGCTCGAAAAGGTGGAGCAGCGATCGCTCGGGAACCAGCAAGGATGGAATGGAACTGATTGCCGCTAACCCGTGACAACCCCGCTTATACTAAAAAGCAAAAATGCAGAATTCACTCCTCTTTCACTCGCATCACATGCTACTATTGAAGATAAGTTGATATGATCGAAGACTAAATTATGCCTTAGTAATATATACTTGAGACAGGCCTCCTGTGGCCTTTTCAGCATCCTCTGTCTCACCCTCCATCTCGGTGACCTTGGCTCCGATACTTCCGATGCGGCTTGACTCCCAGTCTGTGCTCCTCCGTTAGCTCGCTTGAAACATTCACTAAGTTGGGGCAATCCGCTCTATAGCCAATCTCAATACGTACCAGAAAACTTGCGCGCAGGGATGCGCCGCTGCCACATATCCTCCAACTCCTCCAGTGAGCGTCCGGTGAGCTCGGGAAGGAAGAAGTATCCGCAAGCCACCCCCACGGCTGCAAGGGAGCCATAGATAAAGCCGACCTTGGACTGGAGATCAGCATACGGGGCCTTGAGTAGGTAGGGAAGAGAGTAGGAGACTGCAAAGTCGCAAACAATCCGGATAAGCCAGGCAACAACCGAGGTCTTATCGCGGAGTCGCAGATGGGGAGTTTCTGCGCCCGTAATGACCGAACTATGAGTGAGTGTAAGTCAGTGGTCAGCACATGCCTTATCAACGATCTAATGCTAGTGGCGGTAAGGGGGCATACATAGACCCGAAAGACATGATGTAAAACAGCCCGTACATCATGAGCACTCCACAAACTCCACGCTTTTTACCATCGGTTATGGTGCCTGTTCCTAGTCCACCACAAGCCATGAGTAGGGCGGTGGTCATAGTACCGCCGATCAGATATATGGGCCGTCTTCCAGTTGTGTCGACTAAGGAGAAGGTAACCAAAGGGCCCATGGTCGAGATGCCTCGGGACCCTAGCGTGAAGGCGAACGGGTTCATGACTTTTAGGGATTTGACGAACAGACTGCCATACTGACTGACGAAGGATTGTCCAGTCAATTGATTGAAAGCCGCGGTCATCACTGCAATCATTGTCCTTCTCTTAGAGATGTCAGTACCACTTCACACGTAAGTCAGGGCATGTACGAAAGAAATGACTTACTCGGTTGGTTCCCTGAAGAAGTTCAGCCCAGGAGCCTTTCGTCTGCGCGTTTGCCTCGACGGCTGCTTGCAAAAACGCCACTTCACCAGCAACATCGACATCCTTCCCCTTGTTAAGGTATTCGAGCTGTTTCGTCGCCGCCTGAATCTTGTTCTTCCGGACAAGCCACCGAGGGCTCTCTGGGACAAGCCAACTGCAAAGCAAGATGAAGCAAGGGAACGTCCACATCACGCCGATCGGGATTTTCCAAGCAGCGTTTCCCTCCAACTTGGACGTTTCATACGTGATGATAGCACATATAAACGAGCCAAACATGTGGGCAAAGACGTATACCACCACTGTCGCCCCGCGAACCACAGTAGGACAGATTTCACCGAGGAACATGGGCACAAGCCAGTCCTCCCAGCCAATGAAACATTGTACTATCATCCGTCCGGCCAGGATCTGACCGAAAGTCGTCGCGCTGTAACTAACGGAGATACCGATGATGCACATCAGCTGCATGCCTATAAAGCAGGTTCGACGTCCATAGTACTCTCCAATCGCCCATCCGATGAATGTGCCAGCTGCTTTTGTAAGCAGGCCAAGAGAATTGAGGAAGGCCAAATGCTGAGTGCTGAATCCATACTCCCCAGTGGAGCTATCATAAGTGCCGAATTGCTTTTCGAAAGCTTAGAAGAGTCAACAGAGAATTTGTATGCAAAGCAAGAAGATGGATGGATCGCAATACGTACAGTCCATTGTCTGGATGGTCGAGTAAGCAGCGTCGTCAAAGCCATAGCTAAAGACACTGGTGGCAATGATAGCGTATGCTATCAACATATTCCAGGTGAAAGCATGGCGCATACTCTGTAGGTTCCTCAAGCTTGCCATGTTTCTTATCAAAGTACACAGACTTATTAGAGATCGAGTGTATCTCTGCACAATTAAAGGTGTCTTCGGGTCAGATGAGCTACAGAAGGATCATAGTCCGTCCTAGATACACATAACCCAGCCATCTCGCGCTCTTGAACTTGCTTTATAGTTATTCTCCAGGTATATCGCGACATTCTGGGGCGATGTTGCCATATCGCTCTAGAGGCGTCTTGAGGGGAGTGGCGCTCTCTGTCCTGTTCCATGAATCCTACGCTAAATGACCGACAGCCGTAGCCTGACCGAGTACCGGACGTTAAAGATATTATTCATCACGCAGTGGAGAGAATGGTAGGAAATCAATGGCGGTGGATGAAGCCATCGTGCGGAGTGATGATACCATCGCTAATTGTCCCGTCCAAGCGTTAGCGGCTGAGCTAACAATCATGTTGTTTGAAACGCCCCAATAGTAAAACCTGTCTCCAACATATCGTCAAGGTAGCGGAAAATCAAACAATATGCGCGTATGTTTATCAGATAACTATAAAGCTATCAAGCACCTCATGGGAATCATGTGTGTGGTTGCATCAAGCACCCAAAGATCCATCCTTACCACACCACCACGATGACCACACCTAAACGCCCAAACTTCCTCGTCATCGTCGCCGATGACCTTGGTTTCAGCGACACCTCTCCCTTCGGGGGAGAAATCGATACCCCCAATCTGCACCGTCTAGCAATGGAAGGCATCCGCATGACAGACTTCCACACTGCAGCTTCCTGCTCACCAACCCGGGCGATGCTCCTCTCAGGCACAGATGCGCACATCGCAGGACTGGGCGTCATGGCAGAGAGCAGAAACCGATTCCCACACATCTTCGACGGCAAATCCGGATACGAAGGCTATCTAAATCACAAAGTCGCAGCCCTGCCCGAGATCCTACAAGACAACGGCTACTTCACCTGCATGTCCGGGAAATGGCACGCCTCCCCTACCCTACCCTACCCTACCCTACCACACCTCATCCCCCCAAAAGCAGCACATATCATCACTAACCATACAACCAACACAGGCACCTCGGCCTAACCAAAGACGTAGCGCCCTGCTCCCGCGGGTTCACCCAAAACTTCACCCTCCTCCCCGGCGCAGGCAACCACTACAACCACGAGCCCCAACTCTACGACACGACCGAAAAGCCCCGAGTCATCATCAAGGGTGACAAGCAAAACCTCTGGATGCGCGACGACCAATTTCTAAACGGCGACACCGACCTGCCCAACGACTTCTACTCCTCCAATACATTCACCTCCAACCTCCTCTCCATCCTCCAAAACCGCACCCCTGAGCAAACCTCCCAACCCTTCTTCGCCTACCTCCCCTTCACAGCCCCCCACTGGCCCCTCCAAGCACCCCCGGAAACCATCAAAAAATACCACGGCCAATACGCCGACGGGCCCTTGGCCCTCCGCACCCGCCGTCTCCACAGCCTAATCAAGAACGGCCTCGTGCCCGCAGACGTCGACCCCGCGCCCATCATCACCCTCAACACAACCCCATGGGACGACCTCTCCCCGGAAGAAAAAGCTAAATCCTCCCGCACCATGGAAATCTACGCCGCAATGGTCGATCTCATCGACGTGAACATCGGCCGCGTGCGAGACTACCTTGAATCCATAGACGAATGGGACAATACCTTCGTGGTATTCATGTCCGATAACGGGGCAGAGGGGCAGCTCCTCGAAGCCATCCCCATCCTAGCGGGCGCTACTCTGGGCGACGTGATTGACAAATACTACGACAACTCGCTCGAGAACCTAGGGAACCATAACTCCTTCATCTGGTACGGTCCCCAATGGGCTTCAGCAGCTACTGCACCCTGTCGAGCGCTCAAACACTACACCACGGAGGGTGGCATCAGATGTCCGTGTATCGTCCGCTACCCCTCCCTGATCAACAACAAAACTACTACCATCGGTATGGCCCCAGGAACCATCACCAACACCTTCACCACAGTCATGGACATTCTCCCTACGGTCCTCGATCTAGCGGGAATCAATCTCCCCGGGCCAATTTTCCGCGGGAGGGAAGTAGCCCCTGTACGCGGACATTCCTGGCGGCCGTTGCTGGAATCTGCTGATAAGAATGTTGATGTGGATATTTATCATGCGGATGTGGTGGGGTGGGAACAGCTGGGGATTGCGGCTGTCAGAGTGGGGAAGTGGAAAGCGCTGTATTTGCCGCCGCCGAGGGGAGAGGGGAAGTGGGAGTTGTATGATCTTGAGAGGGATTTGGGGGAGGTGGATGATCTTGCGGAGAAGATGCCGGACAAGTTGGCGGAGATGGTGGCGCATTATGAGAAGTATTTTCAGGAGTCCGGGATGTTTGATTCGTATTCGGTGTTTCAGGAGGAATTGAAGAGGAAGGGGGTGGGGAGGGCTGGGTAGATTGGATTTAGTTTTCTCGGGGAATTGTGTTTAATGGTGGTGAGTTTGATTTTTGTTGGATTGTTTGGTTAGATTATTTGAGAAGGTCTTTTATGTCCCTAGGGTGATTTATTTTTATTTTCTTTTATTGATGGATTGTCTTGTTATGTCTATTCTTCACTATTCTTATTATGTTTGTACTGGTTATCTGTACAGGAGGGATATCATACAATTTAAACACCATCTTATCCCGTCTAGGCATACATGCATCCGCTGTGGTAAACTCCAACCAGAAAATATGACAAAATGGAGATATAAAGTGATACAAGGGAATTGCGAGAGACGTGGACCAGCCAGCCATTTCATGTACGTGTATTCTGGCTTGTCTACCTTCCCTCGTAAGACTCATTGCTGGTGGATACAGCACGTCTTCCCCACCCACTAAATAGCCCGCCACCATTCGATGCTGGCTCTGTAGGTGCCTTCGCAATAGATGGTGGCCTGCCCAGGAATGAATGTCGTCCTTCGGGGATGATTCCGTTCCGGGCCATGACCTTCCGCATCGAATCCAGTTTGCCTTTGACTTCTTCAAGTTCCTGGCGTGCGACTGCTTCTGCCGTTTTTGCATTGACTAGTTCAAGCAGTAGGGATTCCTCCGCTGCCGGTTTATTGTTCTCGGTTGCAAGGACAGATTGCAGCCCCAGGCTGCTGGTTCGTTTGGTAAACGTCGTCGAATTTGTAGTACTCTTTTGGCTCTTTTGTGAGTTGGTGCGGACGAGTTTCAGTTCTCGGAGACCGGTGCTGGTGTAGCCTTCGCTGGTATCGCTGGTTGGGGAGCCGTAGGTTTCGGATGGCGCCGTGTCAGAATTCCGGGTCTTGGTTTTAACCGTGCGGAGCTCCCGGACCATTCGCTCTAGCCGCTGGCGCTCACGGTAGCTGTCTTGAATACGGCCTCGCGCTTCACGGAGTTGTTCTCGAAGGGATGCGTTTTCCTTCTCGTGCTCATCAATCCGGCGCGTCAAGCTCTTGCATCGGTTTGATTCTAGTTCATGCATCTCCTTGTACCGATTGAGGTCGTCACGCAGTTGGTGCTTGGTTTGGTCCGTTGAGACGACCCTGTGCGTTTCGACCATGGCGAATCTCGCGTCGGCTTTGTGGACTAAATCCATCGGTGGCTCTTCCGATGTCTCTTTGATGTATTGCAGCATTGACTTGGCAAGGACTTGGTCCTCCTCGCGCTCCTCCCGTTCTTGCTGCAATTCTCGCGTGAGGTCGGCGTGTTGGCGTTGAAGGTCGCTGAGAGCCATGAGGAGATCCTCGATCTGAGTGTGAAGGTCACGGTCTTTGTGCTGGGAGATGGCTGATTTGGCACGTGGCTTCTGTACGTCTGTCGACAATTCAGTCGGCGCGGTGCTGGCGTCCGAGGCCGACTCCACAGAATTGAGGGTGGACGTCATGCTCTGTTTGGATGTTGATCGCCGGATGCTGGCCAGATTAGACGCACTTGCACTGTTGGGATTGAGACTGATGGACTTGACCGAATTGTGTGAGTTAGATCCAGCCCAGAGACGCCCAAGGAATCGAGAAGCTGCTGCCTGCATTTGAGGGAACGAGATGCCGGTTGGAACTCCCTGCGATTGGTTATAGCTAGCTTCCAGAGCCTGGAGGCTTTCCTTTGTGACAAGCGACGTGAGAGACACAAAGTCGTTCACGAAGTCATCCGCATGGCAGGCATACCTATAGGAATTAGATCAATTCGTGATTGGTTGGGCTTATAACTTACGTGTCCCACAGACTCCTCGAAAGCAACAGTTGCATGACATCTTCGAACTCTGCGCATGCCATGATCTTCTTCTCATTCCGCGTCATCAGAGAGAGAGCCACCCGCATCAATGTCTCACAGGCACCCTCCAGGAAGATAACGTCGTAGATTCGCAGAAGCATGGGCAGCGGGCACGCGACTGCGAAGAAGGACAAGAACCATTGCGATACGTATACCGGTTCAACGTGCAGCATCTCAAGGTGTGCGAACAAGCCAGGTCGCAGGCGAGCCAACAGATTCTGGAATTGATAGACGCGAAGATGAAGTCCGGAAAGATCAGGAAGGTAGCAGGTCCGCAAGTCGTAATGGTCCATCAGCCTGAGCGGCGGTTAGCTCCGAAGTGCACGCTGCAGCTTGCTTGTATACATACCTAACAAGTACGCAGAACGCCTCTGCATCCGTCATGTGCATCAGCAAGGGACCAACGACAAAGCCCAGTCCCTGGCAGTAGCCGATCTTCGTGTCGTACAGACTGAAGCATTTCAGCACCCGTGCGAGCATCTGCTGCCCCTCCCCGTTAGGATCCCGGAACATCTCCACATTGGGAAAGCTGCGGCCAATATCTTTGCCGATGAGCCCTTCGTAGGGACTCGTCTCGCCACACAATCGCTGGTACTCCGCCAACAATGTGTTATCCCGGGCTCCCGCCAAGCTGGGCCACACCACACCACGCAGAGGTGGCGGAACACCGCTCCGGATCTTGTTCGAGGTCAATGTAGGTAGTCTTTGGGCCGTTTGGGGATAATCTGCGACCAGCGCTGCCCAGAATTCGAGTTCGGTCATTGGTGGCGGAGGCAGTTGGGAGTAGCGTAGTGATGATCGGGGGTCCTCGTCGATCAGTCGCTTGATCTGGTGCAAGGACTGCGAACGAGACGGTCGGGTGACTCGCTGCGCATGCGACTTGCTGGCGAGAGCCGACTTGGGATTTGTCGCAAGAGCGTTATTTTCCTGCTCCAATCGCGCTAAGAGAAGGGCAGTCGACTGGTACACGTCAACTGCTGCATCTTGAATCTCTCGGACTAGATATACGCACCTCATCCGACCCTTCACAACGGGGTTCCTGCTCTTCCGTCTTTTCCAGCTCCTCCCAATCCACTGCATCGCTCCGGTCCCGCTCCTCACTACTGCGGGACCGTATCGAGATAGCATCGCCATTATTGGAGCTTTGTTCTAGGTCGGCCTTTGCTGGTTCCTGAGTCGGGGTTGTCCTGGATTCGTCCTCTTCATCGCTCGAGTGCTCCCGGGTTGGAGATGTCACATCAACAGGGGTTTGAGGGATGTTGAGAGAACGCCAGTCGGGTTGGGTGTGTTCGGAATTGGAGGTCAATGGCACGGTGACCATTGAGTCGGTATCGTGGGACCCAGTGTTGACGGAGTCCGAATGGACGTGGGAGGGGGAGCGATCGGCGTTCTCCATGGTCATTGCGTTCCTGATTAGGGTGTGATATTGAATGCCAGTGTCAAAGGCGCATTCCTCGGGAAGATCGAGATGTTAGGGGTGGGTGTCAGGGTGTCAGTGTTGAAGGGCGACGGAGGGGTTAAGCCAGCAGCCAGACACGATAAGGAGGGCGGACAGTCGAGGGAGGGGCTGTCAATAACGACAGCATATCTCTCCGGCGCAGAAGGGGGGTCGATGGGCAAATACCAGCGCGTGGAATTGAGGGGCCAGAGAGAAAGAAGAGTGACGAGCAGAGGCAAGGGAAGGAAACGGCGGTGATTTTGGTTTCCAAGGCCAAATGGGGGGGGGAAAGGGATCAGGAGCGTCGCGAGTATTATTAGCGTTTGGCGACGGTTAGTCCCCGACACTAACAATTGCCATTAACCTGTCAGGTTCCCTCCTTCTCAGTCCTTCAGGGGCACACTTGTCGGCGGGCCACTCACCTTCCCCCATTATTCTCGCTTCGTCGATCAATTTTCAATAATCATCCCAGACTACTGTTCAATTTACAGCTTATTACTGCCATACACTTTGGCTTTCCATTACACACTGTATAACATACCGCTGCAGCAACATGCTTTAGAATTACGTAGATTCCCTTCACAATCTGGAGTTGCTTATCACCGTCTGATCGAACTGGAGCCATTCATTCTCCACGGACGGCGAACCGTGGAATTCCCTGATCGACCCGGGCTGCCCTCCTTCTCTCCCGCGGGTGATTTCTCGAAGGGTCGAATGTCTACACTAGTGATTGCCAGCGCAATATCCCATGGCCCTACCGTCGTTTCGCTCGGGGCCGGTCGATCCACGACCCCATCTGGTGCAGTAATTTTATCGGCCGGTGCACTTTGATCCACTAGAGACGGGCTCGAGGAGGGGTCACGGAGGGGCTAGATGGGACGTTGGACCTTTGGACCGCAAATCGCAAGGCTAAATTGTCGTAGCTGGCTTATCTGTGAAAAGATCTCGAGGAGTCAGTGTCGGAGTAACCGCCCCTTCGACAGCATCTGGCCAGTGGTGAGAGAAGGATGTTGTGGTGGTGAGATGGGGGCCCCTGACTCCTGTTTGAAAACATTACATGACCAGTTTCATCTGGTTTGAGTCGTGTTCGGCTTCGGTTAATTGGTCAGATAGTATGTCTTGGCTGCGTTCATTGGCTGATTGTAGACCCACTGCGAAACTTACCGTTCCGGGTCAACACGTAGCCTTCCGCCGGGCTTCTAGAAGACCACAAGAAGGAGAGGAAAGTGAAGGGAACCTGTTTTGAGTCAGTTGGATAGCTGACATTGTAGTTACTCTCTATTGATTTGCAGTGTACTATTGAAGCTCTAGAAGCTTGACAGATCTAGGAGGTTATTGATAGTCACTATAGGGTAGTACTACTAAGTCCCCCAAAGGATTTGTCAAAAGAGGATTATTACATAGTGCAGAATGAATATATATTTCTCATCTTGTGGTACCAATACTTACGCCAGCACTTGTAGGCTATCACATCGAATCGTGAATAATTACTAGTGATAGAAGTACTAAGCACTAATGTGTTACTGCCAGGGAAAGACATTTCTCATTTACACCCTTAGAGGTGATTGAATCCATTGAGAGATATTCTCTCAACTAGAAAATCATTTGGGAGTTTGTCGGTCTACTGAGGGTCCCCTATTCATTACCTTTCAGTGTCCGAGGCGACCGCCACAACATGGGTGGCAGCTGTCAAAGTGAGTGATTAAATTTTCTTCACAGTAGGAAGGGGCTGAACAGCAATCGCATGGCATCCCTTGTTCTCTGCATGTTATGTAGGTCTTTGTGCTAATAATAACCTTGCCCGGTGTTAGTGACTTCTTTATGTTGTTGATGAATCCCCCTCCCCCGCGCCGGCCTTGCATGTTTTGGTCGTGCCTTCCGCTTTGGGCCGTAGTGTTTGGAGATTTCCTCTTTGAGCCACTTCGGCGCCACTTCAGCAGCGGTCCGAGGTTGATCCGAGGGCGGTCAGTGGGCGGAACTGTTTCTCTGCCGCAGCGCAGCGTCGCATTGAGCGCGTCAACAAAGACTTCGACAACAAACAACACACGGTCGACAAAAAGTAGCCTATCTGGGGAATTGGCTGCTCTCGTAACTTACTTGTCCCCTATTTCTTCTACGGCCTCGCTGGTTGCAGGTTGTACTTTCATATATCTTTCTCTCGCTGAAATTTTCGCCCTTCCCGTCACTCCTTAGCCTCCTTTTCTTGTTCGCCTCCCTTGACCTGCGCGTGCGAAGTGTTATTCCCTCATAATGGACGATTCGATCATGGACGACTCCGTCTTCGACGACGAAGGAAGCTCGGACTTCGTTCCCGAGCCCGCTCCGGTACGTAAAACTTCTCCTTTCAGCCTCCTTGTTTGAACGCAGCGAGCTCATGATAACTACAGAAGCCCAAGGCCAAGGCAGCCCCCAAGAAGCCAGCTTCTAAGGCTGCGCCTAAGAAGCTCACCCAGACCACTCTCACTACGAAGACCACAGCCAAGGCGGCTTCGAAAAAACGTGCCAAGCCGGATAGCGATGACGACGACAACATGGAAGACGATGACGACCACATGTCCGACGACTCTGTTCTGTCGCACACCCCTCCCAAGAAGGCGAAGAAGACGGCTGGCCCCTCCAAGAAGGGTGGCACTAAGCCTCTCGCTGATGTCGAAAATGAATCATTTGGAAAAGATGATTCCGTAGAGCCCGGAAAGTCCACCAATGCATCAGAGAAGTACCAGAAGGCAAGTAATTCCGGCGTCGCTGGGCCAAACTTGGGCTAACAATGGCCTTTCTAGCTTACACAACTCGAACACATCATTAAACGTCCGGATACATATATTGGTTCCGTCGAACGGACGACGCAGCAAATGTGGGTATACAGTTCAGAGTCGGAGGGAATGGAGTACCGCGAGGTCTCCTATGTGCCCGGTCTCTACAAGATCTTCGATGAGATCGTCGTCAACGCAGCCGATAATAAGCAGAATGACGAGAATATGAGCGAGATCCGCGTGACGGTCGACCGTGAGTCGGGCGTGATCAGTGTCTGGAACAATGGCCGCGGTATTCCCATCGAAATGCATGCCAAGGAAAAGATCTACGTCCCCGAACTGATCTTTGGTCATCTCCTCACCTCCTCCAACTACGACGACACGCAGCAGAAGGTCACCGGTGGTCGTAACGGTTTCGGTGCCAAGCTCTGTAACGTTTTCTCCACTGAATTCTCCATCGAAACTCAGGACTCGTCTCAGAAGAAGAAGTACAAGCAGACATGGACGGACAACATGACCAAGATCGGCAAGGCAAAGATCACCGAGGCCAAGGGAGAAGACTACACCAAGGTCACGTTCAAGCCGGACTACGCCAAATTTAGCATGGACGGCATGGATGACGACTTCGAGGCCCTCGTCAAGCGTCGTGTGTATGACCTGGCAGGAACCGCAAAGGTGAATGTCAAGTTGAACGGCACTCGCATCCCCATCCGTGGCTTCAAGAAGTACATGGAGATGTACACCAAGGCTATTCGTAAGGAACGTGGAGATACTGGTCCCGCCCCGAAGGACGAGATCATCACCTGCAGCCCAGATCCTCGCTGGGAGGTCGGTTTCGCCGTTTCCGATGGCGCTTTCCAGCAGGTATCCTTCGTGAACTCCATTGCAACCACCTCTGGAGGTACCCACGTCAACTATATTGCCGACCAGATCTGTAACAGATTGGCCGAGCAAGTGAAAAAGAAGAACAAAAACGGAGCTACTTTGAAAACAGCCCAGATCCGAAACCACATCTTCATCTTCGTCAATGCCCTGATTGTTAACCCGGCATTCACCTCCCAGACCAAGGAACAATTGACGACCAAGGCTTCTCAATTTGGTAGTAAATGTGTGCTTGATGAAGACTTCTACAAGAAGATTCTCAAGACAGCGGTCATGGAGAACATCTTGCATTTCGCCCAGCAGAAGGCCGATCAGATGCTCAAAAAGACGGACGGTGGCCGGCGCTCCCGCATGAACAACCCCAAGTTGACGGATGCCAACAAAGCCGGCACCAAGGACGGCCATCACTGCACCCTGATCCTGACAGAAGGTGACTCGGCCAAGGGTCTGGCCATGGCTGGTCGAGCGGTTGTTGGTCCGGATCTTTTTGGTGTTTTCCCGCTTCGAGGAAAATTGCTCAACGTCCGTGATGCTTCTTTCGACCAGATCTCGAAGAACCAGGAAATCCAAAATATCAAGAACTTCTTGGGTCTGCAGCACAAGAAGGAGTATACTGACACCCGCGGCCTTCGGTACGGCCACTTGATGATCATGACTGATCAGGATCACGACGGTAGTCACATCAAGGGCCTGCTAATCAACTTCCTACAGGCCCAGTTTCCTAGTTTGCTGAAGATCCCCGAGTTTTTGATTGAATTCATCACTCCCATTGTGAAGGTGTGGAAGGGTGACCCTAAGAATCCTACCAAGCAGCGTTCTTTCTTCACTATGCCCGAGTACGAGGCATGGGCGGAGGAGCACAAACATGAGCGTGGCTGGGATCACAAGTACTACAAGGGTTTGGGTACCAGTACTACTGAAGATGCCCAGGTCTACTTCCGCGACTTGGACCGTCACCTGAAGGAGTTCCACACCATGCAGGATAACGAGGCGGAGTTGATCGAGCTAGCTTTCTCCAAGAAGAAGGCTGATGAGCGTAAGGAGTGGCTGCGGCAGTTCAAGCCCGGAACTTTCCTGGATCATTCCGTTGAGAAGATCTCTTATACCGACTTCATTAACAAAGAGCTCATCCTCTTCAGTATGGCGGACAATGTTCGTTCGATTCCTTCTGTTGTTGACGGTCTGAAGCCTGGTCAGCGTAAGGTTCTGTACACCTGTTTCCGTCGCAATCTGAAGAAGGACATGAAGGTCGTCGAGTTGGCTGGTCACGTCTCGGGTATGACCGCGTACCAGCACGGTGATGTTTCCTTGCAGCAAACCATTGTTGGCCTGGCGCAGACCTTTGTTGGATCTAACAACATCAACTGCCTGGAACCTAGCGGTAACTTTGGTAGTCGTCTTCAGGGTGGTTCCGACTGCGCTAGTGCGCGTTATATTTACACGCGGCTGTCCCCCTTCGCGCGCCGCGTCTTCCATGCGTCGGATGAGCCTCTGCTGACCTATAACGTCGACGATGGCAAGACTATCGAGCCTGAGATTTACATGCCGGTGGTTCCCATGATTTTGATCAACGGTGCGGACGGTATTGGTACCGGTTGGAGTTCCTCTATTCCCAACTACAACCCGGAGGACGTCGTGGACAACTTGAAGCGGCTGATGGATGGCGAGGAGATCAAGCCTATGCAACCCTGGTTCCGTGGGTTCACCGGTGAAGTCACTGCTATTGGCGGCGATCGCTACAAGTTCAGCGGTATCATCAAGGAGACTGGAGAGAAGGAAGTGGAGATCACCGAATTGCCTATCCGAACTTGGACTCAGGATTTCAAGGA